TCCAGAAGTATTTAGAGTTTGACAACGACTTAACCAGTAAAACCTATCATAATCGAAACGTGTCAACCCAGTGAAAATAGAAGTCAGAAGCGAGGGGGTCCGAGTATATAATTGATGGAATAATAATATAGGCTAGTGGTTGTAGATGTGGATCACAGTGTGCCTACTCCTGATTTATTTTGGGGATTTATTCACTACTGCAAACCAATTGTACATTTTAAGCCTTTAACTAAGTCGTGTATGTAAAGTAGTACAGTTAAGCATATAAAATGTGAAGCTTGCACACTAATCACTTATGTTTATGATTTCAATAATCATCTAATATTTTTAATTAAGGGAGGTATTTCGGTTTTAAATATGACTGCATGCCATCTCCCTTTAGATGATGGGATGCAATGTGACAGCCGCAATAAGTGGTATCACAAGCTGTGCACCGGACTCACACCGACTGCATATATAAAAGGTGTTGTAAGCAGTTATCACGTTGGCTGTTCTACAAAGTCTCTACTGATTCTAGAGGCGAGTGAACTGCCGAAAACAGCTAGAAAATCACCCTCAGATAAACGGGCAGAAGTTGATGAGCAGAATTCCGTTTTCAAGGAAATAGAGAGAATTATCATGAGCTCAGCTCTGGATTTGAATGAGACCATATAGGTGAACCCCATCAGGGAAGCAGATAACAAGCATAGGGATGCGGGCATTGTCACAAGAAATAAGGGAAAGTGCTCTGAGAAAACTACCTATAGACGTTACTAGGGTATATGTATCTACGGTTTCAGATCCGGATTCACATATTGACGCAAAAACTTTATGGGGGAACCAAGTCTGGGCGGGAAAGAAGATGTGGTCAAGAGATAACATAAGGTTAATGTATGGCTCACAGTCACACCTAGAAAAAGAAAAGTGAGAAAACAAATTTAACCTCACTGTTTGACGCTAAATTGAAATCGGACTGGAGGGAATAGACAATTTCAGGAAATAACATTGCATAGCCTGTTAAGACGGACCTCTATGAGAGGTCAGTCATTTTTCATAAGTCAAGAAAATCGTCCGAGAAGGAACGAAATGCCAGATTTGAGCACGACCCCAGTCACATTAAATACTTGATAAGTAAGCTACTCTCAGAAACAGTTTCACGAGTTAGCATCTGTATGCTTTATAGAATAGGACAAATTGTGGATGCTGAAAGTAATCAGAGAAGCCGCCTCTTGAAGGCTACACTTCCTACAGTTGGAGAACGAAAACCGATACTGAGAAACTCGCGCAAACTGATTGGATCTAGATTATTTGTCCGTGAGGATCTCAACCTGGTTGACCATATTAAGAGACGAGCTGTATAAATAAAAATAAATGAGCGCCATCGAAACGGTGAGAGAAACCTCGTTCTTAAGAGTTTTCAAATTGTAAAGGTTCGGAACAAAACGACCTCCAAACCACTCTGGGTGGTAATAGAAAGTTCTCAATAAAATTAAAGGTGTGCTACACAAATGCCCGCAGCCTTCTAAATAAAATGGCGGACCTCAAGACAGTGATGGATATATAGAAAAACCGGATGTTGTTGCTGTCTCAGGAACATGGTTCTCGTCAGAAGTGTTTTATAATGGCACTCAATTGACTGGTTTTTTTATCCAATCGGACTGATACAATAAACCGTAGTGGTGCGGGGCTATCTTGTACACGAAAAGTTCCTTAACCATACGAGCAGTTGAAACGGTGGTACATGATTCAGGGACATGTAAACTGGTGCGTTGCAGGCTGAAATATAAACGGTATGATATTGAATTAGTTGTGGTATATCGCAGTCCAGAATGTGTAGTAGATGACTTCCTCTTAAGCAAACGTAAGTCCTAATGTAATAGGGTAAAAGCCTTACAGTAGGCAACTTCAACGCACTGTATATAAACCGGGTAAACTTAGAAGTAGGGTGATAGACAACGTCATTTGATTGCAAAGTGTTTGAAAGTTCAATTACACTAGCTTTACTACAGCACTTTAGAGATCACACCAGATTTGACTTACAAAGCTTCTCGTCTCTCTTGGACGTAGTCTTCACACACGTTGATGAAGAACGTCAAATGACTTCCCTATCAGCTCTGGGGAGAAGCGATCATGCAGTAATCTTATTGAAATTCATGGCTGAGATGGCCTGTCAAGCAGTTTCGTCGGTTTGTACTGTAATAGGGAATGGAGACATGGAGGCGATAAATTGCAACATTGGCTAAAAACTGGGAAATTGACTCAGAGGCATCGGTTGAAGAGGCATAGACTCGTTTCTGGAAGTTATACAATCGGGTACCTCAAACGTACATACCCTGGACTGTCCCAAAGAAGAAGAAGAAGCACGGCCATCCTTAGATAGGCCGAGATATTTGACGTTTACTAAGACAAAAGAAATGTTGAAACTCTACCATCAGCCTTGACACAACAAGTACTGTGAAATGGTGCAGGTCAGTAAGGAACAAGTGTATGGTTAGAATCCGGGAAGCTCAAAGAAAATATGAGATGCAGTTAGCACAGTATGCACTCAATCAGCTTAAGAGACTGTTCTCGTATGCAAATTACAAAACACGGATGCGGCAATGGATTTTCAACCTAATTAATGAAGGGAGTGGATCTGAAATGATGGAGAAGGATCAGGAAAAAAACAGAGGCTATGGCAAACTATTTTTTGGCAGTTTTCACTCAGAAGCCTCTTTTAGACGAAGAACTAGACCCGAATACAAATTCGACAAACCGTCTGCTCATCGTGGACTTTGATCGAGACGATGTACATAAGGCTCTTAGCACCTTAGACACGGAAACGTCGACAGAACCGAATGAACTACACCTAAAAATCCTGAGACATATTGCACAATATATCCCAGTCCCACTGACTGTGATATTCAATATGTCGCTTGGACAAGGTGTGTTACCTATGGACTAGAAGGATGCAATCATCACTGAAATATATAAAACAGGACCAAGCCAACTTCCATCGAACTACAGACCTGTCAGCAGGCTCACCAGTGTCGTAGGTAAAATACTGGATAGAACAGTCAAAATGACCATAATCACATTTCTAAAAACCAATAGTTTATTAAGCGGTAAACAGCATGTTTTCAGAAAGGGTTCATTTTGCACAGCAAAGCTCCTTGTAGCGATGGAGTATTGGATAAAGGCGTTAGACAACGGAAGCTCAGTGGTTATTGTCTAGTACAGGCCCCAATGTTATTATACGCTGGCGATGTAAAAGTCAGGCGAGAAATAACGGGAGATGCAGATGCACGCGCACTTCAGACAGACTTAAATAATGTGATCAACTGGTCTAAAGAGTGGCTGATGCTTATCAATGCGGTAAAGTGTCTACATGCACTTTGGGGACACAAAAGTTAATAGGTACAGCATAGGGGAAGTGTCTTTAATCGTGGTCCGGTCTCACGAGGATCTTGGGTTGACAGTGAGCCATGATAATAAGACCATGGCCCACTGCCGGGAGGTTGCAACTAAAGGGTTTAAAACCCTCTGGGCTTTAAGACGGACATTCACCAAGCTAGATAATACCATGTTCACTACAGTTTTCACAACCTGATATGTCTTGTAGGACTGAACGCTACCTGTTATATCTGTTCGGCGCTGATTATTGTGTCGGGAACCTTTATCACTTATGCTCGAAAGGAGAGACCTCTGCAATTCCCACGACGCGGAAGTAAGAGCGGAAAGACTGGTATAAGTGAAGATTTATTAACTCCCAAAACGCGATGATGGCAACGACCCTAGTCAAAAATACACCCATTTATATATTAATTGTACACACACTTTAATTGATAATTAGGATGAAATCACATATATGAAACATACTTAGAGTTATAACAAATCACATGCTGAGCATAGTTCATGTCCATCGAATGCAAAAATATCGTGTATTGTACAGAATAAAATATCATACGTGGAAGCAAAAATGCTACACTGAATAATCATCACAGTGAATGAAAACGGAAAGTTGAATAGAAATCATAATAAGTAAATCAATTTAATTTTGATTTTTCTTCTCATTATATCACCTTCCCTTCTTTCTTTGAAGACTAGAAGTTTAGATCCTGACTTTAAATTTTCGAACCTTATCCTCCCCTACCGAAATAATGTTGGGTCTTCATATTCCCAAGTTACAGTTAGTGTGAATATAGTTAAAATACATTTCCCGCATTGAACAGAGAGTCTACTAGGACTGACTAGATAGTGAGGATCAACGACACATGATATGAGGTTATTAAGGTTTGATTTTTCTGAAACATTTTTATCAAATTTCTTGAAAATCCCATTAGTAGATAATGGATCACTAAAATAACCAGCATCTATCAAAATTGTCACTGGGTTCCTGATCATCATTTGATACGCCCGACATATTTTTCTCATTTTTGTAAGAAATTTGATCAAAAACATGTGAGCCACTAAGGTAACTCATATCTGGTAGAAACAAATCTAAAAACCCCGATGTGTAGACTCATCAGTTACTCGGATATCCTGGCAAATGTACAGAGGGCAGCTACTCGTGCAATTCCAGAACTCTGGGGTTTACCGTACAAAGAGTGGATTGAAAAGCTCTGTTCCATCGCAGATTAAGAGATGATCTGGTTTTTATGCATAGAATACTGAGAAATGATTTTGGACCCAATGTATTCTATTTCATCTCATTAGATCGGGACATCTCAGAGGACATAGCAGGCCAGTAGAAAAGTCAAGAACGAACAAAATATCCGTGGCATACAGGTTTTCACACCGAGTCACCAATTTTTGGACCTGTTACCCGAAGCGGTGGTGTCCGCACTTTCAATCGACTTATTGAAGAGAAGACTGGACACTCATAGAAACATACCAGAAAAAAGAATAACATACTGGTGATCTGAAAAGTAGCTTCACAACTTTGGCTCACAAATATGTCAGACACTAGATCTTCCGAGGTTACCCAGTCAGAGACCCATTTATTTCTTTTTTTGTCAAATTGTGAATTTCACATATTCCTAAACTTGTTGGCGCGGTTTTTCGTTAAAACATACGTGGGGGGATTGAAATGCCAGATAGTAGTGAGGTTTCTGGTGGTGTTCGACAACAAAATACTTTATTTGTAAGTTTTTGAAGTACAATTTAATGTTCAGACGTACAAAATCTTTTATGAGTTGTGTGTTGCGTATTGTAATAATATTATGTATGAATCGTGTCCGTATTTATGGCGCAACAACTACGGTGTTCTAAAAGATATGTAGCTAAACGCATGGATTAACTGTCTTGTCATCCACATTAATATTATCCTACTTTATTGCTGTTTTTTCGTCGTTTTCTGTCCTGCGTAGGAATCGTTTGCTTATGACCTCTTAAGTAATTCTTATAAAAATCGTTTCAATTGTTTTCGGTCACTGGATGTTATCAATCCATACTTATTATTACTTAGTCTCATTTGTCCTCTTAATTTACGTCCCATCCTGTTGACTTGATATTGTGATATATTACGATATCTGTTCAGCAAACATTTATGGTTGGTCATATGCTGATTTCCAGTTTGTCACATCGTAAAACCTGGTGCTCACGTACGTCGGCCCAAGCTGCTGTACCTAATCAGCACAGCAAGGTAAGGATTTCCAGGCTAAAACCCAAATAGCAGAGGTGTCATCGGTGATAGAGATTTGATATCGAAAATGTGGAGCAAGATGAGGAATGGATGCACGTGCATTGTTGTAAACAGTTCCGAATCATGTTATTCAACGTAGCCTACCGTCCACCCATTAATCTCACTTTATTTCCGAGCCAAAAAATTTCCGTTTAAGTGTAGTATGTATGTGACTCTTATTTCTTCATGATTAGTTTGAGAATAAGAACTACTCTTTGCACTGATAATTATAACAGAGAAACAGATGCATCTGTGCATACAGGATCCGAGTAGCGTCATTCGTTTGACCTCACCATGTCAAAATAAGGAACCAACTCGATTCACACTTCGTGTATCTGGAAGCCCAGATTCTGCTTCCCGTGGCCTCGCCGGCGTAGGTATAGCATTGAGTCCTAGGGCAGAACTAGCTCTCTTAGAGTGGATCCCAGTAGACAGTTGTTTGTGCGCTGTCCGATTAAACGGGACAGTAAGGACTCGGAAAGATAGGGACACTCTTCGTCGTCTCTGCCTATTCTCCCACGGACTACAGCGCAGATGTTGTAAAAGATGAGTTTTACAGAAAGCTCTCCGACTTTCTCCGAAAAGCTAGGCGCTCGGATGTAGTAATAATGGCCGGTGACTTTAATGCTCAAGTAGGTAAACTAAGCGATCGGGAAAGACATATAGGTGGAATTTATAGCATCGTGGCTCAGAGAACAGATAATGGCGACCGTCTGTTGCAGCTATGCTCAGATAACCGCCTGTTCCTTGCAAGTACTAACTTTAAGCATAAAGAAAAACATCTTAACATGGCGACCCCCTAATTCGTCCCAACGTTGGACCCAAATAGATCACATCGCTATCAGCCACCGATGGAGGGGCTCGATAGAAGACTGTCGCTCATTCTGGAGCACATGCTTAGATTCGGATCACGCTCTTGTGCGAGCGCGTATTTGCCTACGTCTTACTGGACGTAGGAAAGACACTTCAAGGAAACTTCTTAGGGTCCTACTTAATGATAGTCCAGCTAAGGATATATTTCAGGAACAAATAGGAAAACAGTTAGGCAGCCATGTATGTGATGCCTACCCCGAGGCAGCATGGAATGATATCCGAAAAGCTGTGGAAACAGCAGTGACATCTGCTAGTACGGTAAACCACAAGGTTAGAGGGAAACACTGGATCTCAGCAGCATCTATCTCACTGATAGATGCTCGGAAACTCGTTCCACCTGGCTCTGAACATAATGAAGAGCGGAGTCAGCTTAAGCGCAAGCTGACAAGAAGTCTACGCAATGATCGTGAACCGTGGTGGGTAGCGAAAGCAAGAGAGATGGAAAAGGCAGAGGCAATACGTAATAGCAGACAATTGTTCAGACTTGTTAAGGGAACCGGTATTAGGAAACCGACTGCCAACGAAACACTCTCAGAGAAAGATGGACATATTATACATTCTCAATCCAGGAGATTGGATCGATGGGCAGAACACTTTAGTGATCAGTTCAACTGGCCTTCAGCCACACTTCGGTTTCCCACGATCTCCAGTCAACCTGAATGGCAAGTTAATGTGGGTCCTCCGTCTATTTACGAAGTTGAAAAAGCTATAGGAAATCTGAAACGAGGGAGAGCAACAGGCTCTGACAGGTTTACTCGAGATTCTTAAGGATGGTGGTCCAGTATTAGCAGTGTGATTGGCTGAGGTCTTAGGTAGAATTTGGGAACTGGACGTAATCCCATCTGACTGGTCTCAATCGCTGATTGTGCCAGTCTATAAGAAAGGATAAAAGTCCTCTTGTGACAATCACAGATGAATCTTTTTGACTAATATTGTGTCTAAAATATTAACTTCAATAATACTTCGACTCTTAACCAAAGCTCATGAAGAGCAGACTAGACCAGGCTGGTTTCCGACCTGGACTTGGTTGTATAGACCAGATATTCACACTACGTCAGGTTCCTGGGACCATCGAGTAAGTAACGCAGTTGTTAGAAAACAGGTACTAGGTAAGGATGGCAAATCAATTGATGAAGTAGTGAAACTTCATCAGTTGAGATGGATGGGACACGTGTTACGTATGCCCAACGACCGACTGCCCCGAAGTGCGATGTTTTATGGTGTAGGAGTAGGTTGCAAGAAAGGTAGAGGCGGCCAGACTAAAACAGCACAAGTCCATGAAGTCACTGATAAGTAGACTGAGCCATACTGGTAGGTGTAGACTACCTGGTTGGGGACCGCGATATGATAGCAACCGATGGTTAGAGACCCTGAATGACATGGCTCAAAATCGTTTGCAATGGCGCAGGTGCACCCATCTCTTTGTGTTCTCCCAAATTTTAATCTTCTGAATTCTTCATGTCCCTTTCTGTTTCCTCTTTCCAAATTTATTTCACTGGATAATACTCCTTGAATAACATCCTCAAACCCTAATTTTTCTGATTACAGCTTATAATTTTACTACATCTAGCACTACGGGATTTGAATCGACAATTGCATCTCTGTGCTAATGTGATGTGGTAACTCGAACTGATGTACGTACGTACGAAGTTCTACGTTGTTACTAACTGATTGTGTAAGGATGCGAAAATGTGTCAGTCAGTTGTAAGGAATGTAGAACCTGGCATACACTTACGTCGGCTCATGTTCGTACACCACATAACAACGATATTGAAATTATCAAAGCAGTATTGTCTGTTCATAATAGTAAAGATTATGTATAAAGAACGATACGAGAGTTGTTATTTAAGCACGACGTCCTATGTTATCCGTTCACAGCTATCTTTAACAGATCCTTCTCATCTAATCTCATACCGAAAATGTGGAGAAAGATGAAGATAATCTCTGTACGCAAGAATGTATCTGGTGATACGAATATGAAATTTAGGCCTATTGCAATAACTTCACCCTTCCTCAAAACAATGGAAAAATTATTGATACTTCCACTTCAGCCCACGATAAAAGAGCACACTAATCCGTATCAGTTTGCTTACAGATGCAAAAGAAGTACCTTAGATGCCGTTGCTGTTCTGCATCACAGTATAGTGTTCAACTTGGAAAAGGGAAAGTATGTTCGCTGCGCTTTTCTGGACTATACTTCTGCTTTTGATTCTATACCAAGACAACGTTTAATTAACAAGTTAATCAGCGTCAAAACTGACAGCCGGATAACCAACTGGCTATGATCCTACATCTGGAAGGGAACAGTACACTATGTTTGGAGGAAAATGTTCAGAGAGTGCACCACAAGGAGCTGTTCTTTCACCTCTTTTCTCTTTTTCTGCATGATCTGCTATCTTCCACAGTAAACACTTTTGTGAAATATGCGGATGTTCTCACTGTATGTATGCCTATCTCTGCCTCTTTACATCCCATAGAAATGAATGAGTTTTTGTCTCGTATTGATTGTTGGTCTGTTGTTAATGGTCTCATACTTAATCCGTCTAAATGTCAGATTGTTAACTTTAGCATTAGGCATGAACGGCATCTGAACTCCACTTTGGGATCCCATATTGCTTGTACCATTGGAGACTGATAAACACGGTGTCGAAGGTCAATTTTATTGGTGTTACCTTTTCCTCTGATCTCTCTTGGTCTTCTCACGTTTTATTGTTATTGAAGAAAGTTTTCCGTCTGACTTACTACATAAAGAAACTGCATGCTCTTGGGGTTACTCGTCATTTACTCTTACAATTTGTCAATTCTTGCATATTACCTATTATTCTCCATTATTCTTTCCCGGACTTTTGAAAAAAGACTTTGCTGTATTGCGGAGAGTACTAGAGGCAGTTAGCAAGGTGTGTGGTGAATCTTTCGAGGTCATATTTAATATGGTTGTGGATAGAGATCTCAAGTCAGGCAAATTCCTGGCAGGTGTTATTTTATCAGATACTAGCCATCCCCTTCACACTTATCTTTCTCCTTGTATATCTTCTGGTAGAACAAGACGTAGTTACATTAAAATCCATGCACGCAAGCAAAAGTATAAAAGTTCTATAATACTTTACCTAGCAAATATACTCTTTGACGAACAGGTTGTTAGAGTTAACCTAGTCAATAACCTGCATTCCTAACCTGTCTCTAATTTGGAAAGTTGTACAGTGTTTCAGATTTTTTTAACCTTTTTCCCTTTCTTTTTTGTCTTTGTCTTTGTTTTTTTGTAAAGGAAGCTTGTTGAAATAACCTGTGCTGAGAATTGTATATTGTACCCAAATATAATATTGAATAAAGCCACTAATAATAACTGGGAGTGGTTATATAAATTTTTATTGAACACTGAAACATAGTTTGCTGAGCTAATCGCCTATTACTCTTATAATGAACAACTCACCTGTAAAACACATAGCAAGTTGCATGAAACGATAAGTAACTTGAATATCTGTATTCAGTCCACCTTGACATCCTACGTCAGTTAAATGGACATGTATGCATCATTCTAGTAAGAGAATAATTGTTTTCTGCACTTTTCACCAAGTTGTATGCTTCTGCTTGTATCACTTTAGCTTAAGAATTGTTTTCTTAAAATGTCTTCATATTTTACAGGGTCGTTTAAAGTCTGACTATGTCAATACTGCTATGTACTTTGCTCGTTTGGGAACGCTGTTCTGCTGTGTCGTATTCTTCTTTGCGCCAATTTTTTCCCGTTTGCACCCGTCAGATCTGGAGGTTTGGTATCGAAGAGCATTGTTAGCAAGTGCGGCGACTTCAGCCCTACGTCTACATCAACGAATAAAAAGTTTGAATACAGGTTTCTCTCGAGAAGTCCTAGAGGTCTTAATTTCTGAGGATTCTTCTCATTACTTGCTGTTTTCCATTATGTTTGCTGTATTACCACCAGTTACAGGTATCATTTTTAGGCTGTTAAATTTATGCACTTTTTTGACGCGGTATTCTTTATGATAAATATTTGTTTGTCTTGTCGCTTAAATATTTTATGAAGAGTGCTTTTCTGTTTCTGCATTGTACTGCTGAACCATCCATCTAATACCACACTTTCAGTTTAATATGGTCCTAAACTACGTTTTTACACCTCACATGTTTTGATTCAAGTATGATTTTATCATCCAAAATTTTCTGTAGGACAACCAAAGTCCACATAAAAGATGCTGCTTAGTTTCAGTTTGGTATGTGTGTATTGAGTGAATCGTGTTCCTCGAAATTTAAATTAGTACAACTTTCTTTGGTTTAATATAACCATGTATTTAATCGTAAAGTTGTGCTGTTATACTAGCAGGTCTCATGGAGGTTTGAATATTTCACGAGTATTAATATTATCTGAAGTCATTGATAATTAGTTTTCAGACTATGAATATTTTAGTGAGAGTTCTTTTGCTATGATTCAGTTAATAGTAAGTAAAATAAATTAGACGGATAATCAGACCAACTTGAAAATATAATAAATTAGCTTGTTTTGATCTTTCACTACTGCTGATATTGTTACTCTTACATTTTCTTTCTCTCATCGATACCCCCTTACTGTCTTGATCTCGATTTGGTATGGCTTTATATAATTTATATTTATATTGTGCCATACTGTTTTTGTCCCTTTCTGCCTATCTGTCATGTTTAGGGTTCTGTAGATGCCTGGAAAGTGAGTGATTTGACTTTCAACATTGCTTCTATCTTTGAATGTTAAACGTTCTATTACACTAGTCATTCTCCGTCCCAGATTCATTCGCGTTCAGTTTAAAGTTTTTTTTGCCTTCAATTGAATCGTGCTACTGGGACCATAATTAACGTAATTAAGCCAACTGACATGAGTTTTAACACATGAAATTCTCTGTTTTGATTTAGTTTCTTTGGTGCCGATCTTCTTATTCGCCCTTTTACATGCGGCCAGCTTCACGAGAGTTCTTTTAAATGTAAGTTATTTTGAAAATCCTTCATCGTTTACATCTCAGGATTTTCTCAATTTATTTTCACAATAGGAATAATTATAAGTGATCGTACATCACAACCTATAATCTCTTGTTGTTGTACTAGATTATCATCCATTAGTTCTGTTTTTATCCTATTTTTTAAATTCATACGTGTATCAATATCACATTAAATACAATAATCTTAGATCTGAGATGAGTTCATGCTAGTTGATGTTGATCACCAGAATATAATAGCCACATTTTAAAAGAAATAAAAACTCCCTTTTTCTGTTATTTCTGTATTCTGTTGAACTATCTGTTATGACTTTGTGTCCGACTTTTTATCACGTGATTTATCCACCAATCAAAATACAACTTATACAATCTTAGCACTGTGCCAAACCAATGACGTTCGATCGCTATGAGCAGCCTAGCGTCCTTATTGGTCCTATATCCGCCTAGCCCGTCCACTTGAGTCCAGAACAACAATACCAGCTTTCACTATGCGAATCGAATCATTTATTTCAGACATACTGGGTTTATATATCAATCAAACAGATCGCAACGCACCATAAAATAGGAAATAACATTTGTACACAATAAAGCCAAAAAGTGACTGTGAACGTGGAAGGCAGTAGTCAATAAACTAAACATAGCTTACGAACAGTAAATTGTACATTAATAAATTATAGGTCAAAATAAAGCTTATAATAATAGGAATATAAATATACATTAATTATTGAATAGTTATACCATAAGAATGTATAGATAATATTAGTCAATTAATATGTCTCAGAAGTTACTCGTGATTTAATCTTCGCTCTGATATAACACTATCCATATGATTTCTGATTTTTTATTGGAAGATTGTTTTGGTCTTTGAATATCTTTACCTTCTGGACGGTATTTTGAAATCTTCCACTAAAAGTTGTTTAATTATAGGTGACTAATGATTAGCACTGAAACCTAGCACACGCTTTTCGTCCTATTTGAAACGACCACATTTATCTGGATCCCAATGTTGTTGATATTCACTCCAACAATCGAACGCGGTGTCTTTTGCTTGTTGCTGAACGACACTGTCAAGGGGATCCTCTCAGGAAGCACTTATGCCAAAAGCGACTGATTAAAATCCAGTCCTCAACACTAACAACGGAAAAATACACACAAAAATTAATGATAAAAATTGTTTGTTTACGTAAAATGTCCCCTCTCTTGATCACTGTCGAAAATCAGGGCTATGAAGAAACAATTAGCTCTATACATCCATCATCCACTGGTTGCAATGTTTATTTTTCAAGCCTCAGTTGTAAAGATATTTTTAAATAAAACTTTCAACATGGTACTCAAATAATCAGTCCATTTGATAAAATCCCTCGGTTTTGTAAATCGCATTATAAGCACAGAAATATACTTTACTTATTTGTTCATGCTCCAGACATCTGTTTCTCTGAATGGCGGCGGAACGAGTGATGGTTTGGATGCTTCAGTTGCTTCATCGAATATGTCATGTATACATCAAATAATACAAAAATCAATTGATAAAGTGAAAGCACATGACCAAAATATCTTACGTATCATAGCCTTAAATGAAATCATGTTGATGGTAATCTGTATATTTATGGCTGTTTCTGGACCTAGAATTTTTGTCCTCCCCTTTATTTATTATCCGTTCTTGAAAATGCGTTATAATTCAAGACGTAATCCTTATACTCGGTAAGTTTTCAACTGTTGATATATGTTGTTTAACAATGTCGTTTGTTGTTTTCTACCAAAATGATTTAATGACCCTTGTTAAAGCTTCAGACATACCAATACTCAATAAGACTAGTATTCATTGCATGTTACTTGTGTTTTGCTCCGTCTCTTATATTTCTAATTTTTGGTGTGAAGTGACTATACAGTTTGTCTTGTCAAACACCTTAGGGATGGCAAAACATTGTAATCCAGACAGTAAAAATGAAATAGGAAAGTTGAATAAGATTGTTTCTGGACAAATTTCTTTCTGTTTACATTATCGTCGTAACTTCATAGTCTGCATATGTGCTGTTTGACGTCTTGGTGAAGTCTGGTAATAACTAGGCTTCATAAACTAGTCTTTTCAGAGTTCTCATTACCCGAAAGTAAATATGTAAAAGAAGCCTCAAGGATATCAAGGGCTACACTTTTGTTTTGTTTCGATTTTATCCAGGTTCAAATTTTGTTGTTTCACGTATTGTTTTTTTACAGTAACGCATTTTTGGAACTGCGTATAGCACTTCAGAATGTAGCTTATCATTCTAAGTGTCCAGCACTTATTTCGCGTATAATTTATGGTCTCATCAATATTATATCTCGTTTGGGAACAAGCGGTTACGCTAGAAATTAGATTGGGATCCACCTGCTGGTGTTTTTTCTGTTTTTCGTAAGTTTGGTTTGTTTTAACTATTCGGCCTCGTTTTTCCCCGTTTTATCATATCGAGGTAAAAAAATTTCAAAAGTGACCACGGGCTTTTTCTGTTAATGTAGTTAGTTAGTCTCAACATAGAACGTGGTACATATGTAAATCGGTTCGAGTTGCCGTGTTCCATTTGCACAGTGAGATAAAACTTATCAGGCAAAATCTCAGAATGTTTTAGGTAGTAACAGTATCAGTGGTAATGATAAAGATTAGTCATCTAAGATACATTCGAGACGATAATCACGCGTACTTCAACCAGGTAGTTTGCATCTGTTAACATGGTTAAGGCCAGTAATCAATGACCTCATCGAATAGTAACGTGCGTTGGTTTTGCCTCCCACAAATTTCTCCCAACCTACTCCCACACTAGACAACACTCGTCAAGGTAGGCGTGATTGACCCCACGTAACACATTTCTTAACTACCTCAGTTGATGAAGATTTACCACCCTTATCTTTATCTGGTACTATATTCCTAACCCAGGCATTGTTTATTCGGTGCTCCCGAAATTCATGAGCAATACTTTGTTGCCACCCGTGATCGAATACTGGCAAAGTACGAATATCCTCTCCTCCTAATGGCCATCTTTCACATTCATAAAGTAGAACAGAGTGGAATGCCGCGCAGTAAACTCACTCTTTGGTTGAAGGACGGATATCTTGCTTACGCCACAAGTGACTCAAGTTGGCAAAAGCCAGTCGAGTCTTCTGAATTCGTGCTGAGATTTCGTCAGACTATCAGGACTAATGAGACTCTCAAGATAATTCGAGTGGCCGATGGGTTCAAGTACTTCACTCCAGGCGATGACACAAGTCAATCCAGAAGTAACATTTCTCATTTGGAGGAAGAAAACCTCATCCCAAACATGTTTGCATTGTTACTTAAGGTAGTCAAAGGATTGTGTTTTATCAGAGCCTTCACCAAACAGAACGATATCATCTACGTCACAAAGTAAATCAACTGGTAGGAGATCAACACCTGAAAAGTCAGACTATGAAAGTTATCTCTAAAAGCATGTCTATGACAGATTTAAATAAAAATGGAAAAAGCGGAAAACCGTGACAAACACCACTTAAAGTAACTAATTCCGATGACGGTTCGCCATAACATGTGCCTCGACTAGTAGTGTTCGAGCAGTGAACCTTCACAGTTTTAGTGTACTCTTTTGGTACATCTTTCAATGATAGACACTGTCACAGAACCTCGCGATTAACGGAGTCGAACGCCTCATTAATAAGGTCAAGGAATACAACCATAATTCGACGTCGAAAAGCACCTCTATGTTCCGAAACCTTCCAAAGGGTGAATATTAGTCCATACATCCACTTACAGGTCTGAAACTAGCTTAGTTTTCTCAGGTTCGCTCTTCATGAGACCAATATTTTAGATACTATTTTACTTAAACTGATTCCTTTGTGATTGTTACTAGAGGAGTTTTGTCATTTATTGATAAAGTAGGACGATCAGCAATCGAGACCAGTCAGATGGGATTACGTCTACTTACCAGGTTGTAGCTAAGGTTTCAGTTAATCTGCTGCCAAAACCGAACCACTACCTAGACTTCTCAGGAATTAGTTCATCTGTCTCTGCTGCCCTTCATCGCTTTAGATCACTTGTAGCCCTTTCCACCTCACTAGAAGTTAGAGGATTTACATCAGTTTGCCATTCATGTTGCTTGGATTTTTGGTTAACTGGACTGGCTGAACGCAAGTCGAAATGTCCCCTAAAGTGTTCTACCCATCGCTCCAATCGGAGACGCGGCATAGGTCGATGGCGCGAGATTTTTGTACCCTGGTTAAGGAAGTCTGTTGTCTTATCTGATAGCTTCATTATTGAACACCCCAGCATGTAGTTTAGAGCGTAGTTTTAGGAGACCATTAATAGCATTTCATAAACTCGAACGATTGGCATTGGTAGCTCGTGTTGCTTGCTATATGAGAGAAGGGTTAGTTGTGGGGAAGTATTATTAATTCGATCGTCTACAAGATAATCTCGGGTGCTGATGGAGGTGTGTAAGTAGTTGTCACTTCCCGGTTAAATAAACCGTGAAAGGATATTTCCTGAAAGATCTGAATAAAAAGTTGGTTTTGTGGTGGTCTTAGTTATCTAGGAGTATGACCGCAGAGCCTAAGGAACAACTGCTTTAGACCGGCCCATCATGGCTTTTTTGTGGAGAGTTTTTGGTGTACTAGCTTCTCCTTACCGCCGGAGATGGAAATCCGTGGGGTTATGGTGAGGTGTGACATTTTCGGGTCGACCTCTGCTAACCCCTTCGTTGCGTTGTGAGAAGGCAGGACCGATTTTCTGAGGAGAAAACCTTACTACTCTCACACCCCTCAGTAGTTCACAGTACGACTTCGTTCTCGGGCCTTAAGTTGCTGCTTTTTATTACACCATTTTCTAACCGACCTGCTTAAGTTAGTAGAACCTAAAGAAACATGTGTTTCAGCCATTATAGCTCGGTTGAATCATCGCGATAGACAAGCCCGAACAACACATCAAGGTAGCGGTCACAGTCGGTTATTACACAAACCTCAGTCAGTTGGTCCAAGCACCTGGCATCGCCACCTAGTTCAACGATAAACATCATAGATTAATACCATATCTTGTAATAAAATAGATGAAACCAGAAAATAAAAAACAAATACCCTACTTTCAACTTTTGTTGTTTTCATGTTACCGTTTTGAATATTTTATTAGTAACTGCTCAATTTACTGTCTTTTGTTCCAAAACTTTCCCTCAGGTGGTCTTTTTGTTACGTTGTGATTGGATTATTTTGGTCATTCAATATCAACATCGATCAGCTACCACTTGAAGAAAATATTCAAATGAGTTCGTCTTCACTTCATTTGTATAATCTACTTGTATTTCATCATTCATTTTACTACTTATTTGTCCTTGCTATCCTCAACAAAAAGTAACTTTGACAATTGATATATATATATATATATATATATAATTTTCGTGTAGTTTCACAATCTAATATATACGAAATTGTTCTCACTTGTTGTGGTCATTTGGATCTTTCACTGAACATTATATCTGTAAATTTACATATACTTTTTGCTGCAACTTTCTAAGTAATACTCAGCGGTTTTTGTTGTAATTTAAAGGAACCTATTTCAGAATTCTAGGTCATTTCATTTTTCATGCTTATGTTAAGCTCTGGTCTCATTCTTTTCAACAATCTCTTCACTCGTTCTCTACTCGATTCATTTTATCGAATGGCCGTTTTTTCCTACGGATATCAGTTACAGTCGAAATGACTTAGTCGTCAAATTGTTATCGTGTCATTCAAAGTCATTTTGTAAAAATATGCGTTTTGACTGAGCTGTTTGCTTTTTAGATGTTTCTAGTATACTGATAGCTTGTTTAGTTTTTATTCATCTCTTCCAACGTAGTCCCGACCGTTGTTGCTACCTTGACGTGGTGGTCGGGCTTGCCTATCGTGATGAAGCAATCGAGCTATACTGGCTGGAACAACCGTTCCTCAAGGTCCTACCATGTCAGACAGGTCGGTTGAAGAGCGGTAAGACTAAAAGCAACAAACCCAAGGTCTGAAGGCGAAGTCATACTGCTGACTGTACAGAGGTGTGACAGCAGTAAGGTGTTTCCTTCAGACAACCAGCATGACAGCGATGCTGCCTTCCCACAAGGAGGGGTGGGGTTAGAAAACGTCGACCCTAAAAATGCGCACCTCACCTTACCTCACGGATTTCCGTCTCCGGCGGTAAGGCCCTTTGAAGAACGGAGCTAACACGTCAAAAACCTCCCACGAAAAGACCGTGCGCGACCGGCCTCAAGCAGTTGTCCCTTGGGCACTGCGGTCACGCTCTCAGGTCACTGAGACCGCCTCTAACCCAATTTCCTTTTCAGGTACCTCCAGAAGAACCCTTCCACGGTGTGGGCAACCGGGAAGTGATAACCGCCCTCATACGTGTATCTGGTGATTTTAACCACAGAGTTACAAAGAACTAGTGGATTTCTTCAAAGTCTATCACACTGATGGATTCTCGCAAACTCGTCCCATCAGGTTCTGAACATGATAAAGAGCGACAACAAATCAGATGTAGGTTAAGAAAAAGTCTAAGAAACGACCGTGAGCAGTGGTGGGCAACGAAAGCAAAAGAGATGGAAAAGGCGGCGACTATAGGGAACACAAGACAGCTTTACAGACTAATAAAAGAAACTGGAATTAATAAGTCAAGTGTAAGTGAGATTATATCGGAAAAAGACGATACACTCATCTGCTCCCAGTCCAGGTGTTTAGAACGATGGGCAGAACATTTCAGAGAACAGTTCAGCTGGCCTTCAGCTACTCTACAACTACCCTCCATTCCCAGACAGTGTGAATGGAACATTGAAGTAGGTCCCCCAACTCTTGCTGAAGTTCAAAAGGCTATAGTCAATCTGAAACGAGGAAGGGCAGCTGGTCCAGATGGATTGGCTCCAGAGGTCTTTAAGGATGGTGGTCCAATTTTAGCGATTAGGCTGACTAATATTTTAGCTAAGATCTGGGAGTTACACGTTATCCCATCTAACTGGTCACAATCACTTATCGTCTCAATATATAAGAAAGGGTCAAAATCATCCTGTGACAACCACAGAGGGATTAGTTTAACTAATATAATATCTAAAATACTAGCCTCGATAATTATCAGACGCCTAACTAAGACTCGTGAACTGCAAACACGAGAGAACCAAGCTGGCTTCAGACCTGGTCGTGGCTGCATCGACCACATATTCACCACTCGTCAGATTCTAGAACACAGGCATACTTATCGGCATCCGACAATGGTGGTCTTTCTCGACTTAAAAGCAGCATTTGACTCTGTAGACCGCGAGATTCTGTGGCAGTGTCTGTCATTGAAATGCGTACCCCAGAAGTACATAAACCTTGTAAAGGCTCTTTACTCGAACACTACTAGTCGAGTCAGAGCTTATGGCGAACTGTCATCTACTTTTGCAACTTCAAGTGGTGTCGGTCAAGGCTGTCCACTTTCCCCATTTTTGTTTAACTTCATCATAGACTTACTGATGGAAATAACTTTCTCGTCGACTGAGTTCTCGGGTATTGACCTCCTACCAGGAGGTCCACTTATCGACTTAGAATACGCAGATGACAATCCTGTTTGGTGAAGACGCTGACAAAATGCAGAGTCTTCTGGTAGCACTGAGCAACAATGCCAGAATGTTTGGAATGCGCTTCTCTCCCTCTAAATGCAAGTTGTTGCTTCAGGACTGGTCTGCGTCAACACCTGAACTAAGGATAGGGAGTGAAGTAGTCGAACGCGTCGACAACTTCACTTATCTTGGAAGTCTGATCAGCCCTAATGGGTTGGTGTCTGACGAAATCTCAGCACGGATTCGAAAAGCTCGTTTGGCTTTTGCCAACTTACGTCACCTTTGGCGGAGGCGAGATATCCGTCTATCAATAAAAGGACGAGTATACTGCGCGGCAGTTCGTTCTGTTTTAATTTACGGCAGCGAAACATGGCCATTAAGAGTAGAAGACACTCGTAAGCTATTAGTATTTGACCACAGATGCCTTAGAAATATTGCTGGCGTCTGTTGTGATCACCGGGTAAGTAATAGTGAGGTTAGACGCAGGGTATTAGGGAATGATGGAAAATCAGTTGATGGGGTTATGAATCTTCATCGACTGAGATGGTTGGGCCACGTACTACGTATGCCTGAACACCGATTACCACGACGTGCAATGCTATCCGGTATTGGAGATGGTTGGAAGAAAGTTAGGGGCGGCCAAACCAAAACGTGGCATCAGTGCCTGAAGTCACTAACTTCTAGTCTGAGCCATGTTGGTAGATGCAGACTACTTGGTTGGCGTCCACGTGACTATCGTAACCAATGGTTGGAGACTCTTGGTGACATGGCTCAGAATCGACCACAATGGCGTCGGTGTATACACTCCCTGTCTTCCCTTAAACTAAGAGATTAAAATCGCTTCATATCTTTCTTTCTACGAACCAATTCTTTATTCTTATACTATATCTCTATATGCAATCTTTCTCTTATATATTACCACCTTTGACCTAACCACTGCTGTGAATCCGGTGTTCATCTTGTTGTGCTGATGCTGTATGGCAATCTGGACCGATGCACATATGTGCCTGGTCCTACGTTGTAGCTGACTGACTTCCAACGTAGTTGGGTTTGAAAATAATATTGAATCAAATTTACCAGTTTCTACTTTTAGCATTGGTAACGTTATCTAATAACATCTTCGGTTATAATTACGTCGAAGTAAGTGAGTGGCAACAAACCGATGGAATAACGCGTAATAGTTATTGCTAATATTGATCTATTGTTGGAAAAGCGAGAGTTGTTAGTTGCTCGTAAATGACCGAACAGCTGATTTAAAAACGTGACTATGCTGAGTTTGCTAGACTTTACCAATTGATCATTTTTCAAAAGATTGTCTCAACTTCTGAAGTGTAGTCTAGTTAGAACCCACTATGTTTTATCCTTGTTCAAACGATAGGATAATTGTGGTAGGAAAATGACTAGGAGACGTGCTATAAAACTTTTATAACTGCAGATTATTTTGTAACTTCCAGCTGTTACATGATGTAGTCAATCAGATTAGAATGGTTTGTTTGAATTAGAGTGGATTGGCATAGAATCTTTTCAAATTAAAAAGCAGTTTACAATATGGTAAAACATGGCGGAGTACTACCTTTCCCTAAAATAGATAATTCATGCAAGGAACTGATTATATCTTCAGTTGATGCACTTAGGTGTACAAACAAGTTGTAAAGCAAAATAGGATGTGAAGAGGATTAAAATATTGCGCTATTCGCGTCCACTCATTTGGCTTGAGTCTATAAGATTCATGGTTGAAGGAAACACTTTTAGTACGAGCGGGAACTGTGGTAATATGCTTGATGAAGTACTCAGTAGTTCAGCGATTATCCCAGCGAATAGGAATCTAGTATGAAGAAAAATGCAAGAGATGGTTGGTGCTCAGTAAAGTTATGATCGAAGTAGGACAATTATATACATACATAACATGATAATTGGACACAAGAAAATTAGAAATGGTAATAGTCAGTCGGAAAACGGCGGAGGCCGTGCAGAGATGTAGAGTGATAGTAATGTCCCTATGTTTTTCGTTACTCGAAATATATATATATATATATATATATATATATATATATCCCTGTTGTTCGCGATGAGAAATTTCGCATTCATAGTTTACTGAGTGTAGTTTACTAGGGTGAAGTCTGTGTTAGAGAGTCGAATAATCCTCAGATGGATTTCTTTGGACACAAATATTGGTACAAGTGTGCATCAGATATTTATGCGACACACAAAACAATCAGAATGCGAAGAAAAAAAGAAGGTAAGGAGCGTATGTGAAAAAAAGAAGATCATTAACGACCACAGATTAGTGTAAGGTAGTGTAATAATAATAATAATAATGAGGGAAACGAAAAGGTACAATCAGAAGAAACCCTTCAGTTAAGGAAGATACAACCATTTTTTATGAAGAAAGTAAAAGAAGATTACAGCACGATCGCCACTGGCTTCTATCCTGAACCATATCTGATAACGTCTCTAGCCACTGTGTTGCACCATCTCTCGGACCCCAACCAGGGAGTCGTGAAGGATCAACACAAGCCAGCCCTTTGCAGCTTTCTTTCATACCACGACACCATGTCATACACTGACCACCTCTCCGCTTCTTCCAACCAGTCCCAGAGTCGGCAAATAATGCACGACATGGACTTCTCTGGGAGGACATTCATAGAACAGGTCCAAGTCACCGAAGTCGATGTTTCAAGATGGTGACACCAATTGGATTATCATCTCTGTGACCGAACACACGATGCCGAACCTCTGCATTACTAACATGGTGTTGCCACTGGGTGTCAGCAATCCTTCGGAGACAACTATGATCGAACACAGAATGTCGTCTAACGTCCTCAACTCGGAGAGCCCAGGTTTCACAAGCATATAGCAAAACTGCTCTCATCGAAGCGTTGTAGGTCCGTTGTAGGAGCCGTGTCGCTCGATTGTACCAAAGCAAAATCCACGTGACTAGGATTTACTTCTAAATACGCTGCTTTGATGTGGTCGATGGTAATGTTATCGTTAGTTCTGTTCTTATCGACCATATAGTACTTGGGTTCGCGTTCAAGAACTTTGAACGATCTTTCGTATGCTGATTCGAGAAGTCGTCGTGTGCACTGTGTCGTAAGTCAGGTAGAACGAAATTATCAGTTTACTGCGGTCGAGCGGAAACAGGTTTAACTGAACGCATTGCGTTTGCAAGCCTGCTCATGTAAGGGGTTCGATCTATGATCCACGACTCTTCCTGGAGTTTGAAGTGTCATTCCATAAATGAGTCGAGCTACATTGTATCCAATGTTAGCTTTTACTGCATTGCGGATACTTAGTAAGACGAGTGGAAGAGCGTCGGTCCATTGTGGAACGTTTGCAGCTAACAGTGAAAGCGTTCTACCAACCCGTTTGCCTGTCTATGGTGTGCGGTCGTCCGGAATCATGCCAATCTTTATAGTGTGGTCAGACAACGGAAAAGTCCAGATCCAAAATGGCCCCCGCCATCTGTTGTGATGGTAGAAGGGCGGCGGGAGTTTGCTACCCATCGTTTGACAGAGGCGTGGGCCACAGTTTCTGTAGTAATGTTCTTGATGGACACTGCTTCTGGTCATCGAGTGAGACGGTCTACGCAGCATAAAAGATAAGATTGTCATTTGAATCTGGTGAAAGTCCTACCAAATCCAGATTAACTTGGTCAAAACGAACATTAGGAGTTTTAAATGAACTTAGAGGACATTTGTTGTGTCCCATCACCTCAGATTTCTGGCAACTTACACAGCAACTTGCCCAATCCCTCACGTGTTTATTCGCACCAGGCCAGCAAATACTTTCTTCTGTGAGGTTGATAGTTGCACGAACACCTGGATGGGAAAGTTTGTGCAGCGAATTGAAAACGTTGCGTCTATAATGTTTCGGCACTATTGGACGATCCCTACGTCCCTGTAAATGTGCCACATCATAAGGTTTCCTCACCTGTTCCCATCTGTTCAATGCTCAGTTTTAGGGTTGCTGAAGATAACTCGCGCTGAAGACCAGTGCCTTCTTTTTGAAGCTGGTTGAGTTTAAGAAGATCGATTCCTTGACAACTGCTCAAGGAAGTTATATGAGACAGGGCGTCTACGACTACATTGTTTGCTCCAGAAATGTGTTGTATAAGTGAGTAAACTGCGAGATGTAGTCCAGTTGTCAAGACTGTCAAGGTGAGTACTTGTCTGACGATGAGCTTAAAGAGAAGTTAAGAGGTTTATGATCAGTGAAAACAGTGAATTCTCGGCATTCGATAGAGTGTTGAAAGTTGCGTACAGCACAATACATAGATAAGAATTCCCTTCCGAAAGTGCTGTACCTCGATTCAGTGTCTAGCAGTCATCTCGAGGAGACTGCCAAAGGTTGCCAGGAGTGATTTACCCATTGTTGTAAGACTCCTCTGAATGCTGAGTTGGATGCGTCTACTGCTATACTAATGGGCATTTGAGTGTCTTGCTGTGCGAGAATGGTTGCCTTTGCGATAAGTTCCTTCATTGTAGAGAATGCTTTTCGCGCGGTATCGTCAAAATTGATAGATTTCGCATTTTCACGAAGTTGGTCAATTGGATGTTTCATAAGCGACGCACAGTTTGGTATGAACCGTCTATAGAAACTAACAAGGTCGTTAAACGTGTATAATTGCTAAATGGTGGTCGGTTCTGGATAATCCATAATGGCAACCACTTTGCTTCTTAGAGGTCGGATGCCTCGCACATCAATGGTGTGTCCTAAGGAATCTAAGGAGTCGGTCCCGATTTGGCATTTCTAAATGTTTACATTAATACCATGCTTTTTCAGCCGTTCGAAAACAAGGTCCAGGTGCCTGAGTTGGGATTCTCTTTCCGGACTTTCTATCAAGCAGTAATCAACGTACACATGTCCGAAGTTGAGAACTCAAAAAACATCGCATATGAACCTTTGGAATGTTTGGGCAGCATTATTTAGTCTGAAAGGCATGCGTGAAAATTCGTAGAGAACGAAAGGAGTAATGCTAGTGCTTTTAGGAATATTGTCAACAGCCGTGGGAATTCGGCTGTAAGCCTTAACGACGTCGACTTTCGAAAAAGCAATCGTACCTTTCAAGGTAGTTGTCAAATCGTGAATGTGGGGCAACAGGTAACGATCGAGAATGGTTTTCGCATTTAATCGCCGATAGTCACCAGCTGGACGACAATCGTTGCTCTCCTTTTTAAGGCCCATGGTCAAGGGAGATGCCCATGGGCTGCGTAACGGTCGGATGATTCCTGGCACTATCACGTGACCGACCTCAGCTTTTCGGGAGACAGTCGGCACGCTTTCGAGAATACAAGAGTTCCTGTAGTCATGATGTGATGCGTACCATTGCTAGTTACACACGGCGATTTCGGTTGCGGTTGGTATATCCCAGAGTACTTATCGAATAATGGTTGATAGAACGGATCTATCGTGTGTCTAGCTAAGACAGGAGATAATCCGCAACCGGAAGAAGTTACGCAAACAGATAAACTAGTGTTTCCATTTACTAGCCTCCGTTTGCGCGTATCGATGAGGAGATTGTGGTGTTGCAGCAGGTCTATACCAATGATTGGCACAGAAATATTTGCAGCGACGAAGATCCAGTATATGCGTTCGCGTAAACCCACGGTAAGGTAAACGTACCATATGTGGCATTTGCCGCCTGTAAGTTTAAGACTCATTCGTGAAGCCGATCGTTAGAATCTACTAGAAGAACGCTAACTTCTGCGCCAGTATCGACAAGGTAGTGAACTTTTGTTATCGCTACTGTGACGTATAAACGACGACTGTTTTCGCCGGCTACGGTTGTTGTTAACGCGTGCCGGCTTGGAAATTTCTCGAATTGTTTTTCGTGTCGGTAGATTTTCAGTTGGGAAAACTGCAGGATTTCCTGCAATTTCGAGATTTTTTGTACTGGTAATGATTCCAGCACCAGTCGTGGTTATCCGTCTCTCGTGGTCTAGAAACAAATCACCTAGGTGAATTGTTTCTTTGAGGGGTGTGTGACCGTTTACGGTCGTTACGAAATTTAAGATAACATGTAAATGGCATAAATGACACAACTGTGTAGAATCATTCTGGGTCCTTTGAGGCTTTTCTTTGCTTGAAAAAACCTCGGCATTAGAAGATTTCGTGATTTCTAAGATGCAGTTGGCAGATGCAGCCAGCTCGTTCAAGGCATTGTTCTGAAACGAGACCAGCACAGCTTGCACCTGTTCAGGAAGTTTAGATAAAATTTGTCTGAATAGGCCATCATCGAAGGTTCGCCGGCCGATAAGCTCTCTCATTCTTTGCAACATGTCCGTCGCTGAACCGTGTTGCAGGCCGATATTATCAAGGAGTTGCTCTAAACTTTGTCGATCGGTTAGATCTCCGCGTTTAAGGACAAATCTTTTACGTATTTCGTAGGGTTCCGAAATTTCACTGGTAATCATACTAGGTGTTATGTACCTGTTGAATTCGCGAAGTAGTGACTTTACTACTGCGTGGAATTATGCACGCCGTGCTCGTGGTAGTCAGCTTTTGTGTAGCAGAACCAGGCTTCTATGTTGTCTGGCCAGAAGGGCATTAGTTGAAACGAAGGTGGGAACATAGTACTTAACTTAAGTACCTTAGGTGTCTGTCCCGCCATTGCGAAATATCAAGTACAAGAGAGAACAAGGAAAAGATATATACCCAAAAACACGGGAAAAACATATCACAATATATAAAAATTAAAATAAAGCAATGGCATACAAAATCCCAAAAACGAACAGGCTCACAGTTTCCAAGTTGGTGTACCAGATGACGTCCGGCTCACCAATAAAGATATCACAGATATTTGAAGCTTGACAACGCTTTAACCAGCAATACCTCCTACTATGAACCGTACCAAACAAGTGAAATCAAAAGACAGAAGCGAGGAGGTTCGAAGATATATTCGATAGGCTATCAATACATAGAGAATCGACTGATCTAGACTGAGTAGTGATTGCAGGAAATGTTGAGCGCGGCGCTCTCACTCGTGATTTGGTGCGGATGTATTTCCGAGAGCCTTGAGCTAGGTGAGTTCATTAAAACTAATGTGGTCAGCATCCAATGTCGAAGACTTACAGAGCTACTGATTTTGGTGATTTATTTGTCGCTACACTTACAATTCATGCTGCGATTTTGACAGCTACCAGAGTAGAAATACAGTGCAGCAAGTCACTTTTACTGACTGAACTATCCACTATTATGTAGGCACAAACAGTATTTCAGTTGTTTTATATTGCCTGTTGTGAAATAGAATTTTTTATGAATTTAGGTTTTGGTTGTAGAAAACTTATTAGTATATATTTATTATGGGCAAATGGTGGAATTAAATTGCTTGTGAAGTGCACATAATCTGTGAAAGAGATACTTCTACTTAAAGTAATGACTCGGTGTTTGTTTTAATATGCTAACCTTTGATGACAGTCGATTTTGTTTTCTAGCGGACTTTTAATAATCAACGAAATGGTGATCGTACGTTACCCAGATTTTTTTAGCAACGTTTATCACGCATTGTTGCGCGTATCAATTAGTTTTGAATGGATGAATGTCATGTTTGACGTGTACTGTTTATTCTTCTGACCGAAATTAGGTGGGGTATTAGTGTGGATAGGTAAATTAAAATGGAAGAATCGAGACTTAGTGTGCAATCCTTTTCACAGGTTTTCATTCCAATCACAATACCAAGGCAATAAATAAACAATCTTTGAGCCCTCCATTCGGGTTTTATGTACTCTGCTATTCGTATTTAACAATCTGTGTCACGTGCTTTCTTTTTAGTATATATAGTTGTAGTATTCTGTTTTTGTGCTTAGATCGACCATTGAAGTGTTGGCCTGATATCGTTTTAGTTGTTTTGTGAAGAAATTGAAGCGTATCTTCGTGGTCTTCACTATAATGTTTGAACTCTTACTAGACTGTATAAGTGATAGAATATGTTTTATGGGTGCTCTTTCGTTAGCAATTTAGACGTCAAATGATCTGAAAAAAGGAAAGTTTGTGTAAAAATTTGTGTAACTTTATTTTGAACAGAAAAATTTGGCTGGAGTGCATTACATCTTTCAAAAAAACTGAAAGCATGTAACTACGATCTAGTTTCATTTATGGCTTAGCGTAAACCGAACAACATTCACGTCGAGAAATTATGAGTTTTACAATCTTTTTCTGACTCCGTTTCATGGTTACTTTTTAGGGTATCTTGTAGGTCCGTCTGACAAGCCAGAGTGTCAAAAGATATAGAACCTACCTTTTATTCTTAAAAATGTTGTTTATCTTGTTATTTCAACTTCTTATCTGTGTTTTTCATACGTGAAAGTAATACTTAATCAAACAATTGATTTCGTGTTCACAAGCAAGCAACAATAATATATATGAGTTAGCGTTGTCTGTAGCTGAAAAAATAGACTGTAACTCTAAGTGGCAAAATGCAAGAAGACATATGGTAGAAAAGCTTTAAATGTGAATAGTGAGGTGGAGCATGTAAGAGGTATTTCCAGATCAACACAAATACTGCACAAAAATAATGTCTAATTGTCCTTAAGTCGTCTCCTAAATAAACTTTAGAATCCCTTAAGAGTTTCGTCACTTTTTATGTCTAGTTTCCACGCGTTTTTATTTAGTCAGCATATACTTATCGGATTGATTGTGTAGTGAAATGGTCCTAACTAATCCGTTTTCCACATATGTAAAAGAAGTTAAGTAAGTCAAGCATCCTATAAAAATACGGGCCATTTTCGAAGAGTATAAACTTACGTCTCTAATTAATCTGAATCTTGAAAAGTCAGCTGGACCAAAATGTTCTTAAACAATCACAGTTTAATACAAGCCTTCTGGTTTAAATAATTAGGTAGCTATTTAACAAGTCCTTGAATCTATGTGACTAATTGAAAGAAGCATATCTTTAATGAAGTTACAGCCATTTGGCACTTTAGTTATAATATATAGCATAAGGAGTTGTGAAACATTTATTACATTACAGCTTAATTTTGATAACCTATAGTCAGAAAAATAATAAACCCGGTAATAGGATTTAACTGTATTATATATACGTTTATTGAACGTCTAATTGTTGTGGCAATTTTGTACTGTTGCAGTAGCATTTATTCAAATACACATATGGTAACAGACAAATATGTAGGTAGTATGCAAAGCAAAAACCTGATTTATTTATATTTCGTAAATCTATCTTTCTGGGGTTTCATTTCCACACTCAGATGATTTTCGTAACTTACCTTCTTGAAAGAAAATGCAAACCCTAACTTCACTAAACCTCATGTATGGTTCGAAACGTAGCACATAAACATTCTTGTCTTGTGTTTCCAATCCTAATAGTTTTGACCTAAATGTATCTATAATTGTATGCCTACTAACTTCTTACCTACAGAAGCAAAATAAGTGAAAAAACAGCTCATATTTTCAAAATACGTTTGAGGATTATTATATTGGTACTCTCTGATGGATTTCAAGTGCATTGGTTTCTCAGTTCAATACCGAATGACATTCACAGGGTACACTTTCTTGCTATTTTAGCTGTTTATTGTTGATCAAATATGATGGTTCACTTTTATGTAGTGGAAAAAATTAGCGTCTAGAACTTATACTTCAACTATAGGGTTTATCGCCTTTTCCTTAATGAACTTACGTTTCACATTCCTTAAAGTCTAATCTATTGGTAATGAAGATGAGCTGTAAAGCTTTTCGTGTCTCTAAAAGCGACATGCCGAATTAAAGTGACTCTAGATAAATTTCTTCTCACCTTTGATAGCGTGGACAGAACAACACTATGGAAGCTTCTTCGACACTACGGCGTGTCTGAGATATTTAATATCATACAGAATCCCTATGATGGATTAAACTGCAAAATTGTGCATGGAGGACAGCCGACAGACTCGTTCGAAGTAAAGACCGGTGTCAGGCAAGGTTGCTTACTCTCACCCTTCCTCTTTCTCCTGGTGATCGACTGGATCATGAAGATGTCAACATCTGAAGGGAAGCACGGGATACAATGGACATCTAGGATGCAGTTGGACGATCTAGACTTCGCAGATGATCTGGCTCTTCTATTCCAAACGCAACAACAAATGCAGGAGAAAACGACCAGTGTAGCAGCAGCCTCAGCAGCTGTAGGTCTCAATATACACAAAGGGAAAAGCAAGATTCTCCGATACAACACAGCATGCACCAATCCAATCACAATTGACGGAGAAGCTTTTGAAGATGTAAAAACCTTTACATATTTGAGCAACATCATTGATGAACAGGGTGGATCTGATGCAAATGTGAAGGCGCGGATCGGCAAAGCAAGAGCAGCATATTTACAACTTAGAAACATCTGGAACTCAAAGCAACTGTCAACCAACACCAAAGTCAGGATTTTCAATACAAATGTCAAGACAGTTCTACTATATGGGGCAGAAACCTGGAGAACTACGAAAGCCATCATACAGAAAATACAGGTGTTTATTAACAGTTGTCTACGCAAAATACTTCGGATCCGTTGGCCGGACACTATTAGCAACAACCTGCTACTGGAGAGAACAAAGCAGATCCCAGCGGAGAAAGAAGTCAGGATGAAGTGCTGGAAGTGGATAGGACACACATTGAGGAAAGCACCCAGCTGCGTCACAAGACAAGCCCTCACATGGAATCCTGAAGGTCAAAGGAAAAGAGGAAGACCAAAGAACACATTACGCCGAGAAATGGAGATAGACATGAGAAAAATGAACAAGAATTGGATAGAACTGGAAAGGAAGGCCCAGGACAGAGTGGGTTGAAGAATGCTGGTGGGTGGCCTATGCTCCACTTGGGAGTAACAGGAGTAAGTAAGTAAGTAAGTAATCTCTAATCAGATGCGACGTTTTACAATAGGGAATATGTATATTGAGTCCTAATGGTTTTGTAAATCGATGTCACAAGTGGAAGATCCACCCAAGTATTTATTATATATTCAACACTTTAGCCACCACACGTGAGTAGTAGATATCACTAGCTATATTTGTCTTTTTTATTGAGTAAATTGTTGGTTATACAAACATCAATATATTCAATGTTACTTTTGGTAAGTATATGGCCAGTATATTTTGTGATCTTTTATTTATGTTTTTTCTGAAACATTTTTCATACCATCTATCTGTTTTTCCTTATATACTCATAGATGTGATAAACTTTAACTGTTTTCACCAACTGTACTATAAGGAAAAATGATCTGTGATGTTATGCCAACAATTAACGAAGATATTGGATCTCAGGTAAACTTGAAATCCTTTGTATATACAAATCCATTGTCTATCTATTTGTTTAGATACTTATTTATTTGTCACATGACTTAATAGTTGACATGATATTTGAACTTGAATTATGCATAATCACGCTACCCCCTGATGAGTATTGAAATACTTAGAAAACTAACTTATTTAATTTTAAGGAAATCATGCAAATCTTTTATTAGACTGTACATGTAATATGTATACGAAAGGTTTGAAAAAATAAGAAACTGAGTATTCAAAAGTGCGTAAGTTTTTCAGTGACAATAATTTTTTCCGACCCGTGGATAAGCTGATAGAGTTATATTGACGTAGAAACTAAAAGTGACTACAAAAGTCCCTATGAATAAGTATGGTTTGGTCTTTGATATTTGAAACCCATAAGCAGAAATATATATTAGTCATTAACAAGGAGCATTTGTAGTATCAACGAAAATGGCCTTGATAACACACTTCAACTAATATTGTAGCTAAGCTACTAGGTACTCAAGTGAATTTTAAAAAGATTAGACTCAATAACTCAGAGGATCTGCTAAGAGTTTTCTGTCCTGTTTTTAATAATCACTGTTGATTAACACCATACAGATTTCTAGTTCCATAGCTTGGTTAATAAAACTACAAAAACTATTTAATAAAGTGTAGCTAACATAAATAAATAAACAATATGATACTGGTTATTTATCACTAATTGACTAATATTGTGGCATGTGCTACTTATATCGATATTAGTAGTATACAACGCCAATCAGGAATAGAATGTCTGACAGCAGGTCAAGAAGATCGAGGAGGAAATAACAGGAGCGGAAGGCAACTGGTATGGAAATAAAGAAACTTTGAAGTCTGAGACGATTGGCTGATATTTGCTAAAGGAACAGTCATGTTTGAGACAAGTGATTGACGTTTTGCAAATTAAGTGTTCACTGTATGGTTCTCAGATTTTAGTAAGATGTTCTGTAATTTTGTTTTTACAAGCACCCGATTGTCCCCTCTTGTGTTCTCGTTCAGTCCAGTATAAAACGTGGTTTTAAAGAAAAGCTGTTATTCAGTTCCTCTTAACAGAAATTTGGTTCAAGCATTTCAGTTTATCTATTTATCTAGTAAATAAAACTGTCAAATTATATATAACAATATAATGTATGGGGGTACATATTGTGGAGAATACGACTATAATATGTTGAACTTATACGAAGACCCGTGATTACTATACGTAATGATCATTTTCCTTTCATATTCAGCTGTTTCCATAAGTTTTTGGAAAAATTGTATCCAAAAGATGCTGTTAAACGAGACAACCTATTGAAAAACAGGAAAGTAGGAAGAGATACATCAATAACGGTTGTAAAAGTATGTGCTACGGTATACAGAATACAGAATTTATAAAAGTTTAGGAACTTAGTACGAGTGATCATAACAATATTAATTTTGCTGAATAGAAAGATTGGTGTTTTCCAGTCTTTTGGCTCGTCACAGGATGGATTGTTGTAGGTATTCAATTGAGACACAAAAATGCTCGAATTTTATAGATATTTTAGAGAAATTAAAGCTTGTTTATCGGGAGTTGAAAGTTATGAAATTAGTCTTGTCTTAGTAGCGTAAATCTAAAAATACTTCGTCTAACAACATTCTCCGTTTGAAATTATTAGTCCCTATGATAAACTTGGTAGTGTACTAAGACGACAAAGATTACCAGAACTATGTGCTAATGCATCAGATAGTGCTGATACTTTTTGTCTTCTTATTACACTATCAAAATTCTTTATTTAAACAGGTCTAAATTATTCCTTTACGTAGTTTTATCTAATCCTGATTTTCATCGGGATACAACTTAAATTTTCACATAGTACATGACTGTTGAAAATGACTAACAGTTTGTTTTCAAAATCCAGTCGGCAAATAAATTTAGCATTATGTCTTTCAATTTATCAGAGCCAAATAAAAATGAGATAAAGTCGAGGACTGGACTTTTGCTGAAATATGAAATTACTTAGACAGAAATGTTTACCAAAGAATGGAGCATTACCACTGTTATCATTATCTAAAATGATTATTTTAACATGTTTACAGGGTGATCGAGATTCACTGGTTAGTGCAGATGGTACGAATGTTGAAGATATGTTACTTAGCATGTTGGATGAACGTGACAGATTGATGGAAGGATTGCGTGAATCACAGGAACAAGTAAACGAAACAAGAACTCGATTGAACGAAGTTGAAAGAGAACGTGATAAACTTCATGCACAGTTGTCAGCTAAAATGCCTCAAGTATGTTCATTACAACAGTAGATTATGGTTGGCTTTCCTTTATACTGAACTAAGAACGGTTACAGACGTTCGTTTAAATGTCTTTACTACTAACTTTTTATAAGGATAAAATCAGTCAGTAAAATCCTTTTAGCTAATAATATGGATGTGTTTAAACAACAATTACAAGAAAAGTTAACAGCTAAACATTGTTTTGTAAAAAATAAATTATAACTTTGGAAAGTCAGACAAATAAAATAGTAGACGAATTATATTGAACCGTTTCAGTCAAAATGTCAGTTTTAATTATTTATGTTTATCAAATCGTTTACTTCGGAATTCTCACCATTAACAAAAAAAGCAATTAGAAGAACAATTATTTAAATGTCAGTCAAAATTTCATAACTATTGTGTTGTATGTAATCTGTAGTCAGAATTCATGAGCATAGTGGCTTAAATAATAGGACATAACAACATTTATTAGGTTTTCCCGATTACTTAGTATTATATTATTGGTCCAGGACTAGTAAACTGAAATGCTTATTAGTAAAATATAACTTCAGTGTTATTGAACTTTTGTTACCCTGAAAATTTGAACTAGGTCCATCAAAAATCATAAAGATGAACCTAAGCATTGAACTATTTGGAAACATCTATATAATTTGATCATGACTTTAGAAAGAAACAATATTTAAGAAGTAATCACGTATTATTGCTTCGTTGATTTGTTTGTGCTTGTATTACAGATTGATAAGACTTTCATCTTGTTGTTCAGTGACGAGAAACATACTGATAAATCAGTGAAAGCCAGCTATTTTAGATTTATTTTTAAGTGATACTGACCCGTTCAAATGCCGCGCTCATGTCATTACCGATCCATATTGTCAGTAACAGAGCTTTTCTTGTAATTAACAGGATTGGATTAGAACAACGCCAAAATATTATTATGGAACAAGTGAAAGTGACCTTAAACCCACCCAAAGTACACACTTGGATAGTGTAAAACTAGGAAAATCTTAAGTCTGAGTCCCACAGATATTCATATCTTAATGACTTTAGTGGTTCTACTATTTATATCGACTAGATCATAAAGAGAGGTTGAATTGAATTGAATTCCCTAAATGAATGCCATTAAAGCAATGCTTATGAAATAAAATGACAACATTAGTTAATAGATAAGATTGCCATCTGTGAATACGTTTGGGTTACCCTTTTTTATATATTGTTCATAAATTTTAAAGTTTCTTTTCTAGTTTGCTCAATTCAAGAAATATATAAAGATAAGTGAACTAAAATTCCAATCTAAATTAATTACAAGCAAGTGATATTCATCTGAGAGTTTCTAGATTAGGTCCTACCTAATCTTAATGAAATGCAGTTTAGCTTTACTGGTTGTTTATATATATATATATATATATATATATATATATATATATATATATATATATATATATATATTTAATTATCTGGTAACATTATTATATCTCTTGCTTGTTAACTGCTTAACATGTAACTGTCAAACCGAAAACTCTGATTAACATTTTTAAACATTCATATATATTTCTGATAAAGGAACGTTTATAGTCTGAGGAAGTTTAGTCTCTATTTCTTAACATGAGTGAAATAGGGCCATCCTAAGTAGAATATATGTATAAGATGTATTCATATAGTTATAGTCATCACCGGAATGACTTCTTTACGTTAGAATTATCTAGTGATCCGTGTTATCGTAGATCAAAAAGTATTAGGTAAGAGGTTGTATTTCAGTTAATGAAGATATGAAATTGACTGAGGTGGATGGAACAAATTTTGCACATAACTCAACATCTTCCACACTGAAGGACTATATTCATTGGGGCAGAGGTGACTTAGTTTAAAAATATCGTCAATTAGTTACTGATTGTTGATATAAACAGTGCAGAGGTACAAACTTCTTATTTGATGCTCTTAAAGTAATGTTAATTTTGTAGTTAAACAGTTAATTATGTATGATCAGAAATCAATAACTTTGAAGATGTATTCATGTTTTTTGGGTTTTTCATTTCATCATATTTATTTTGAAATAACATATTATGGAGTTGGTTTACCGCTGAAGCAGTTAAAATTATCTCTAGTTTCTTTCTCACTTGAAATATTGTTTAGTAATTAAGATGGATACATGTTTGTACTAAGCTCTATGTTACTGATGTTAAACCTTTTGCCATCACACGTCCAAGAATATATGTAATGTAATATAATATAATATGTAATATAATATAATATAATCAGATTCATTTTGAACTGGAAAAAACATAGCTTATTGCTTAAATGATATTAGATGAAATGCTATACAGCAAACTTTAAATGAAATTCATCAGAAAGATTATTTTTCTCGGTTATTTGTAGGTTATATTTTTGTTAAATAATATGAAGGGCATTCTACAATTGTATCATAATTTAAATAAATTGTTTAGCTGAACAAATTAAAACCATAAATAAATTAAAGCCATATAGAACTCACAAAATCACAGATGGATAGATTTTTTTCAAGAAAAGAAACTATCCACGAAAGTTGATGGTTATGAAGGTGAGTCGTATCTGACACAATTTTATTTTTTTCAACATAATATATATATATATATATATATATATATATATATATATATATATATATATTTATAGTGTTAAGACAAGAAATGTTTTAAAACATGTTAGAATCATGAATTTCGATAATTTGTAATTAGTTTTACTATGGACTAGCGCCTGTTGAAAAGAAAAACCGTTAAAAACAAACGATATATGATACTCTGGTTAAAGCCTTCTCAACAATCAAACTTATAATCACAATTCTACTGATTGTCATATGGAGATAATATCGACATAGACATGTGAAAAAAGGAAAGAATTTCCAATTTTATTGTTCCATTAACTATGAATATTTATTATTGTTATTATGATCATCCTATCAAAAACGGCACTTAATATTTTATCATTTATTTCTTTGAAATATGATATGAATTGAATCATTTTAATCTATAAAGAAATAGTTATTTACTATGTATTAAACTTAAACATATGGTATAAATTCAGTTGAATTTGAATTAAAGATAAGTGAACATTTATCTGAGCTATTTGCATTAAAAAAAGTAATTGTTTCTCCTAGTTAGGTTGTCACTAAATAGTAAACAGATAAATGTAATTTTTGAGAACATACAAAATACATGTTTAATCATTCTTTTTCTTATATCTTACGCGGCATTTAATATATACTCAAAGTAAAGATATTTGATCACAAATATCTTTAAAGTGATTTTATAGGAAACAATTCTTCTTTAAAAATATTTCATGAAATATAGTAACTAATCAGCTTGAAAAATAAGATCTTTTTCAATCACTTTTATTTTAATGCTTTTTAACATCATTAGATATGGATTGATTACACATATTTGCTTGGAAAAAGTTCAAATGTTCAGTAAATGATGTCTACTGTGTTAAGTTATTGGTGGTTATTTTCAGAGCTATGAACTTAGGTTTTGTGCTGGTTGGTATTCTTTCAGTAGGGAATATGCGTAGTTTCGAGGACAGTAATACTTCCCGTAGGATTCAAACCTTTGTCACTCAAGATAACAATCAAAGAACTAGCAAGAAAGTTATTTAGGGTGAATAATCTTTTCAGTGGATATTTTGTTAAAACTGTACAATTGCATATATACTCTTTCTTTGTATATTAGTTTTAACAGTTTATCTTGTCATGTTGCCCAAACCTTTTTATTGGTTATTACTCTTTACATAAAGTTTAAGATATTCTTGATGAATATGCAAGATTTTAAAGACAATATTTTAAGTCTCTTGATGAAAATGACTTTTTTCCGTGGTTTCGTAGCAATGCTCAGTAAACTGTTATCCTTAACAAACTCATAAGTATTTGTTGTTCAAAAAATATATATTTGTGACTATGCTGTTGAATATAAGGAAAAGGTAACCGACTTGGTATTTGCTACTGAACATCATAAATCGTATGACCCATGTAAGAACACGAAGATGATGAACATGAAGTTTTTTTATCACCAAAATAAATTAAAATGAATTTTGAATTCACTACTTTTTACATGATTTATTTACACTCAAATTAACATTCAAATTTATATAACTGAAATTGAGCAATACCTAAAATCATTTGATAAATAAGTTACAAAATAATCATAGATGTGTAATTTAGTAAAATTAACGGTTTATCATAGATATAACAAATATGATTATTTTTTAATATGTGTTTACATGTTATAGACTATTGAATAAATTAATTATTATCGTATGTTACTCATACTACAATCAGTTAAGTCCTTGCTCACCATATCTTCTTTAGTTTTGAGAATGAATCTGTAGAAAAGAGTACACTGTGTTCCACCGATCTTTCTTGCATTATTGATTTGAAGTAACATTTTCTATTGTTTTCTAAAAACATTGCACCTCATACTTAATTTTCAATTAATTGATCTTATAATGAAATTGTCTGTCTTAGTAAAAACTATTTAACATGAAATAACTTAGTATATCTTCTAATTTTGATTAGGTTGATTTATTTTAATTTATTAATGCTCTGTTAAACCATGTAACAACATTAATAAATTTATAAATCCTAAAAAGTTTCATATTGTTTCGATGTATTTTTTGAGTTAAGAACAGTAATGTAAATATTGTATCAATAAAGTTTACGTAAAACTAACATTTTGGTTAAGAATATCAACACTGTATAATTATAACCAACAAGGATATAAGAAGCCAATATAATACTATTTCACAATGTTCAATTTTATTCCAGTTTCCAAGGGCTTCAGAGTGATAGAACTGAAAACTAATACATTTTTTTTAACTAATAGTGTTTTGTGTAACAAGGCTGATAAGTTACATAACTGTATAACGTTTCGCCATTATAGTTTTCAATATGACCTGGAAACATTCAATTGTTCAATTATCAATGCTCAGTGTCAAACTTGATGATAGATATTTAATTTTAAATGAAACGCTAATAAATGAAACTGTATAAAAGTTTGAGATTACGGTTATGTACTTATACCATCTAATTCTAATCAAAATATAAATATTTTTCATTTATTAGCCGTAATTAAAAAGTGTATACAACGTTTATGCATAACTTTAACTGCAATATAAAACATTTGACAGATATTACAACTACCAAAGTTTCATCTATTAAAACGTCAGGAGATTTTAGTTAAAGCATTAAACTATGTTGAATACGGTGTTCTATAGAAAACATTGAATGTTTTAATAAATACATTTTGTTGATCTATTAACTAATCTAATTAGGAAGTAATGAACTTGGGAATTCTATGCGAGAAATGTATAGTTCTCTAAGTATGATGTTCTGAAACGTTTGTTAGAGCGGTTGATTAAGTTAGCGAAAAGAATTCAAACATAATGAGATGTGAAGCTTATTGAATACTCAGTTAGCTGGTTGCCTTAAACACTGATTTAAGGCAAGTGTGTCTGAAATAAAGGCCTTTAGGTATTCAGTGATTGCAACGTATGTTAAATTTAATTGGTGATTAGACTATTTTATATTAAATTCACGAGTTAAAAAGTGTCGAGTCCCCGATCAATGAATTAATTGTCAGATGACTGATCTTGAGATTCGGTTGTGCAAATCAGTTTGAAAATCGAGTATTCGATCGTTTTAATTCCGTAACTTTATAGTATTAAACTAGTTTTAACCCATAAGGTTAGTCATTGTAAGAATAACTTTTCTATAAATACTTCTAGCCATCAATTGAGATCAACTAGAAGACAAGTGGGAGTCATGAACCATTTAATTATCGTCTTGTTCTAGTATAGTCAAAACAGGAACCGAAACCAGGAAATCTGGATCTGGTGTTACATTCAAACTATTGGATTTGAATCTAGTAGTTCACATTTCCGGCTTTAATCAGTTTTCGAAACAGTAAAATTATCCAATTCATTAATGAATGAGTCTCAGAGTCAACATGAATGAAATTCAGCAGTAATAACCCAATGCAACTTTGGAATGCCGGTCAGTAGTGAGCACATGATTCATTATTGAGATAACAGTGTAGATTAGGCTACTTTGATGACATTATACATCACAAACAGACCTTAACATGTTTTCTTAATCTACGTCTTAGGAAAAATGTCTCTAAATTGTTAGGAAGTAAAACTATTTAAACCATATACTCGCAAATATTTAGTGATAGACTTGCATTAAATTGAAATTAACAATAACTGGTTAAATTTTCTGTTTTCATTTTAAGATTAATTACTTATTAGTAATATGAATGCTTTTAAAAATGTTTATTTTTATTTCTGCACAACTAATTTGTTAAATTCATGATATATATAATGGAAACTATTCTAATTATGTCTGGATAGAAAAGTAATGTTATTCTTTAAAATAATTTTCTTTTCTTGTTTTTCTATTAAAATTACCTTTTGGTTATTTCATTTAGGATGTTGTGGAAATGTCAAAAAAACTAACAGAAGTTGAAGAGCAATTAATTGAAAGATGTGATGAAATCGATGATTTGAAAGCTGAACGAAACAATATGAAAGTAAGTCTAGCTTATATTAAAGCATAAATTCAACTATTAAAGTTATGACAATCTTCCTAAAATTCCCATTCTGATAAATTGAATACTTGAAAAGAATTTTTTTTCTTGTTGAAATTTATTTTAGTAATTAAAATTATATTTACTGAAATAGTTCTATTCATAAGTTTAAGTTAATGAAATTGTATTTTTTTTACGACAGAAATTGAAGATGGTTTCAATGCTAGAAATAATAAGGTATTCTGTATTATTTAATTCATTTAAAGTAGAGAAGTAAATTGACTGATTTCAAAATGTAATTGTCTACAATCAAAGATAACAAGTTTATGTTGTAACAAATTTGCCATAAATTCATATTCAAACTAAGATACATTACTATATAATGTTAACCGTAAATGAGGGACAAAATGGAGATATAATCTCAGAATTTTGTTATATGTCAGATTAATAACATGTTTCAGTGCCTAAATTGTAAACATAATCAAACCGTAGCCACTAACATCTGAAGATCGGAATACACCCATTAAACATATTTTTTAATAATAATAAATCTTCTGACTTATTAGTTTTTAAGAGTTGTGTTACTGAATACTTTGGAAATTTGATCTACATTATGGCTCATAGCTGCGATTGTCAAATTATTGACTTCTAAATGAAAAACTGTGATTGTGAATGATTCCATTTGACAATGATATAAATAAACGTTTCTATTGTATCAAAATTACAAAAGCAAATTTCATTGAAAGTTCTTAAACTCATTTGAAAGTTGTAAAGTATCGCATAAATCATAAGCTGTTTGCTAAATAAATCGATTAAAGTAAAAAATCAGAATATTTAACTGTCATTGTTATGAAATTTTATAAAGACACTACTGAATAATGGCATTAGAAGCACCTTCCTTTTAGACCACAAGTAATTCAAAAACAACTTTTAAATAAGATCCTATAACGTTTTATTTGATTGTTCATATCAAGAATATGAAATCATTCATTAAAAATATTTATTTGAAGTCGAATAATTATCTGGACCTGAGTTCTTAGTTTCGTTCAAATTTTTTTTATTTCGGTGGTTATAACTAACTCACAAATACCGATTACGTTTAGAACTATACAATAAGTAGGAATTATGATAAGCTAATCAAGATAATTTTTAATTTGGTTTGTTAATCGAGAGGTAATTCCTGGGGTTCTGGTAAAAGGACTGGGTCAGTTAAAATCAACCTTGTTGTGTGAAGCAGTTACTCATCATCTACATCAGGAGATGGCTACTCAGTTAACTGATGTTGTAAATGTAAACCATTGAATGTCATCTTAGTGATATAAAGGCTATATTCTGGAATGTCTGATGATTCTTATTCGGTCTTGGGTGCTTCATAGATGCACAATGCTAAGAAGTCAACACTAAGGAAAAGTAGCTTTCCACCTATATTCAGTTCGTGATATGAATGATTTAATTTAACACTCTCCCATAAGCCTCTTGCATTAATAATCTTCGTTCAATTTCGTTAGAAATTTTGTGACGTTCCAATGGAAACCAAAAATAATCGATTAACTGCTTTTTTCTCAATATTAGATATTTTATCAGTACCCACTCATGAACATTGCATGTGTTGAACTCACAAAAATCATAAAATCCAACATAATATCGATACCTAGTGGATGCATAAGTGTACATTACTTAAGGAAACTCAATTATTTAACGCTATAAAGATTTTTAACAATCAGTCAGTAATGTAAGGCATTTCATTTAGAGTTGGTTTAACAATCACCTAACTGTTAAGATTTCAAAATAACGTTTATATTCAACAGCTTAATTTATAAAACTACACTAATCCATCTTCTAGACTCTTTTGATAACCATTTTTATAAGCTTCATAACATTGCATATGTTAGTAGTGTAAACGTATGCTTTAATTCACTTGGTATTGTTATGCTTGTATTTTCCGATTGAGGTTTAAGACTGCAAATGTACAGTCTGTTATTGGGATATGTGCATACCTCGATATTGCCTTAATTTACAAGCTTTAATAAACAAAGATGAATAGTGACTAGCAGTGGAATCCGGAATGCGTGTTTCATCCTATTTGGGACTCGTCAGCGCGCATCCTAGATTCTACTGCTAGCCACTACCCATCTTTGTATGTTTTAATTGATATGAATTTCAAACATCTTGATAAAGTGAAACACAACTCAAAGTAAAAATATCTCTTGATCAATTTTTAGCTTTTATTAGTGTTTTTCTTGATTTTATTTAGTTTTGAAGGATAAATTTTAAGACATTTATTACAATAAAGGAAAAAAACAAACAAACAAATTGAATATTGAGCATTTATTGAAATAAGAAAAAAAAGTAGAATAATAAAAATATTTTTTATGATTTTAATATCATTGATAAACACAAAACATCCCAATCTTGTATTTTTAGTCTAACACCTTTATGTTTATGGTTTTTAAAATTGAAATTAAACAGAAGATCTGGATAAGTATAACATTGTAAACATTTAATCTCTTTTACTTAGCGAATAAATGTGTTTAATGTAACTTATATAATTTATTATTATTATTATTATTAATTTCATGGCACAGAAACGTTTTGCGGCATAAATAAAAATAAGTTTTAGGCATCAAAATGAAAGGAAAATGTTCTCCTTTGGAAAGTTTTGTTTGATTAAAATAAAGCCAAGTATATTTATTTATAAGCTAAATATTTATACCATAGCTTTTTCACTGAATTTTTTTCGAAATAAAAATAAAAGACGATTTATATTCTTCAAGTACTTTTTTATTGTTTTAGGTAGATCAGTCAAAGTTATAAATGCATTTCCTAAATAGTAGAATTATATTTAAACTAAAGATATTACTGTATAGTAAACAGACTGTATTACAATATATATGAATCGTTGACTTTTAATCTAACATTCATCCTTATTATGTGCGTTGAATATTTTCAATTTGATTTAATAATTAGTCATCAATATGATTCGTTAATGTGGTCTGGAACAACGCCATACTTTTCTACTATTCTCAAGCTTCTTATTGAGAGGCTGAAGGTACTGGGCTTGAGTCCCATGTGCGGGATCGTGGACGCGCACTGCTGAGGACTCCCATATTAGGACGAAACAGGAATCCAGTGCTCCCAGGTTTTCAATTGCGGTCTAACATTGATCCGTTGATTGTACCATTCTAAACTCAACAATCTCCACAGACCTATACTGATAATTTCATTAAATTACTGTAGTGGTCGATTAATTAATTTGTATGTTAATTTACTTTACATAATGATTATCAGGTAAACCGAATATCTGTACTGAGAATATGTTGTTCATGAACTTTGTACTGTTAGCAAAGGCTACTTAAAGTCTACTCAAAGGTGATATCAAATGCTTCAGGTATCTATTGAGTAAACCTATGTATTAATCAAAATTCAGAAATCAAGTGTTTACAGATGGTCGGAAAAATGAAGCTTGCTATCTGTTTTTCACTAACACTATGGAATAAATATCTCATATGCTTGATGTTTTAGTGTTATTAAACGATCTTATAACACTTTAAATGGAGTTATCAAACCCTCTAATTTAGATTTGGAAACCCCAACAATGTATTTATTATGTTGAAATGATAATAAAGCTAATGTGTTAATCCAGAAAACCAGTATCTAGTAGATTTTATCATGTGTGAAAAGTGCTATTTCAATTAATTATGCTTATTCCATCATGAAGTTAAATTAATTTTAGCATTATGATACTTTATCTGCATAATACACTTACAGTTACCTCACAGTTTGATACGCAGTTTGAAAAAAATAATAAATATTTGGGTATTATTATTTAGAATCATCATAATAAATTACATATTAGTTTTGTGTACCATGTTAGACAAAGTATCTACAATCTGAAATAAATATCCCTGTAAAATGAAGAATATTTGAGCAAACAATCGTTCTCAATAACTTCATCATTATGGGGTCTGCAGTTATAAGTCCATAACTGTGATTTTTTACATAGGTCAAATTAAGGCAATGTATTAATAAATTTGACAATGTTACATGTAAAAAATGGTGAATGTTTACATCTGTTACGACATATATACTTCAAAATTGTGTTATTTGGAAATTAAAAAGATCATTTAATAAAGGTCATATTGGTTTGGAGTAAAGTGTCCAGTCACAATCCTTATCACAGTAATATACCAAAAATGAAAATGCAAAAACTCGTTTAAAGAAAATACATAGGGGAATTTCATCCTGTCAATTGAGATAATAATGATAATAGAAATAGTAAAAATAATATTTTTGTGTGCTTACCATACGTAATATGAGGGGTGTTATCAATATAATTACGATAAAAATATGGGAAGAGAGTAAGGGGTTTATAATACTCAGTTTAGTTATTCGGTGATCCAGTCGTAGGCCAAGGTAAACATAGAGGCTAGATATACATTCCCTGGATATATAAGTTAGATTTTCTGGAGTTGATCCAGATGGCTTCGACCATGTAGAGTAACCGTAATCCAGCTCCCTCAGGTAGATTTTCTGGAAATTAATATAAAACGGAGAAAGCTTCCTCTATTTTGATATGATAATCACTATCTACTAAGTGACGATGAATAGTGCTGTTGATCGATTTAGTAATTTCTTTTCCAAACCATCCTGATACATGTTCACGAACAGATGCAAACGTTCACCATTTTTATCATATAACATTGTCAAATTTATTATAATACATTGCTTTAATTTAGCCTATGTAAAATATTACAATAATTATGGACTTATAACTGTAGAGCCTGATGATGAAATTACTGAAAACAATTGTTTGCTCAAATATTCTTCATTTTTGAGTCTTCTATTGGGTTTTTTAAACTGTCGAAATACTTCTCTAACAAAGAGAAATGAATTTAAATTATATTGACTCAATAAATGAAAATATTATAAATTATTTTAAGCTTAATAGACATTTTAACATTAGTACAATATTATGAAGGACATAAACAATGTGATATTCCGGCTCAGTGGTCCAGTCGGTTAAGCATTCGCGCGCGAGACCGAAGGACCTGGGTTCGAATCCCGCGAGCAGGATCGTAGATGCGCACTGCTGAGCAGTCCCACAATAGGACGAAACGGCCGTCCAGTGCTTCCAGGTTTCCAAAGGCGGTCTAACATCAATCGGCTCATAGTCTCAATCAGAAACTTAATAATCTCCACAACCCCTTTACTAGTAATGTGATATGCCTTTTGACTTAATAAAGCTATTTTATTGATAAATGACCACAAGTAGCTATAAACATTTAATGGACAAAATAAATTATTCTGAATTTTAAACTTACCAAATGTAGCACAAAATAAAAAAATCATAGTCATAAAATATGAAGTTTATTAAATATATAAAGCTATCTAATTTCATTGTTTGTATAAATGAAAACAATCGAGAATCTTGTAGATAAAATGCTACAAAAAATAAAACCAAAACTTCAGTAAGTATTTAATTTAATGAATAGTATTTGAGCTGACTACTACACATGGGAAAACTGTCTACTGATATCTATCATAAACAAAAATAGTAAATTTTACACTAATGAAATAAGTCAAGTATGTCAAAAATTAATTAGGTAAAGTCAATTGATTCTTAGATCATTTACTTTTGCATCATGTTAAAAATAGTTGTGATCATCTGGGTAGATGTAAACTTTCACTTCATTGTAAGAAGAGGTACATGATAGTAAAGCAAATGTACATTTAGATGTTATCCAAACAAAAAAATTATTTCAGATTTGTCCTGGCCAAGTCAGGGGACAAAAAGAGGACGTTTTTGCAGGATGATTAATAATAGCCCCATGGGAGTATATCATGATCTGTAATTCTGACACATTCCAAAAACGAATCAAACAGATTTTTCTTGTTTCATGTGAAATTTATTCGCAAGTAAAATCTAATAAACCTCCAGTCTTATCAATAGGCAAAAGTTTATATATCTTTTTTTTAGTAAATTGCCTTATTTTTGTGTACTTTTAAAGAAATTGTTACTCGTATTTGAATATATTTTTTCTTTATCGTCATAGAAATCCAAACAGATAAATTTTTTTGGTCATCGATTTATCAACATTTTTTTTCTTGAGGAAGTAAACTCTTTTAGTAACTGTTTATAGTCAGTATCCCAACATTCAACGAATCTTTCTAAATTATCATTTTTAACCACTATGTGAATTTTATTAGATAAAATAAAGTATATGGTAGGTATACTTGCATTCATTGTTGTTATTGTTAAGCTTAACACTATGAATGTAAAACTAAATCTTCAAAAAGAGATGTTTTAATATGAAGCTGATCAAAATCTTTCCTTCAGAAAAGTTTACTTCCTTTTTCGGAATAGTATTACACAACAAAGAAATATTTAAATACCCTTCTCGAATTAACCACATTCAAACTTACGTGTTCCGTTGATACGTCTACCGTAAAAAACAGTAAAATAGTCAGTTTCAGTGAGTTTGTAAACTTTTAAGAGTTACTGCATTCATCAGTAGGATCTCTCAGCATCTGATCGATACAGAACGCTTAGCAGATGCTTTGGAACCCAAAATTATAACAATAATACCTAAAACCTCTATAATCTTCTGGTCATATTTCTGCAATAAAGGTGAAGCTAACATTCTACTCATTTGTGCGTCAGTAAATGTAAAGAGGCGATAGAATACACTAGTGACATCAAAATCCTCAACAAATTAGCAAAACTATGTTCTTCAGAAGTAATGTAGTCTTATCTCAACAGAGTTAAAACAAACAACTTTCACAACCAATATCGGACACCTTTATTTTAAGCCACTATGTCGAAACCTAATAGTCTTTATTTCTTACTTTAGTGAGTTTATGAGTTCAAGCGATAACCGCTCTTTAAGATTGGCAGTGCCTATATCAAGCCCGAATTACCTAAACTCGTTGCTCACAATGCGAGGTTGCAGATGTGTATGTGTCTTACAAAGACCAAACAATACCTAGTCATTCCTGGATTAGAAAGGCCGTTTTGCCCAAATTAGTCCATGATGTAAAACTAAAAATTATTTATCTGCTCTTTGACAATGAAGAATGTTGTTACAGTATAATCACAAAAATAGTAATATCACTGGTTTTCACAAGTGAAAACAGAAATATATTGAAATACAAAACGTTTACTATGTAGTAAAATTAATCAAATCAATTTAGGTCAATTTCTGTTTAAAAATATTTACGACTTGTTGGAAAATCTGACTAAAGTCATTCATTGCTATTAAATATTACTTCACATTTTCTTAACACCAAAAATACTTCACAACTTTATTGATTGTTTTAACTCAGAGAATTTTTTTAGTTGCATCACAGTTTAATTTATAATTACATTTTCATAAAACTCATATTGAACACTGGTATCACGAATATACTTAATCGATACTAACTAACACTCGTAAAATAGGAGAATTTGACCACCTAAGTTTAAAGGTTGATTTTACGATGATTTCTGCTAATAATTTGCAGTTTTATAAAGTATTTTATTTAAATTATACACTTAAGTTTGTCTATTGTATTTGATTACTATGAATTTATTAGCCAAATAATTAAATATATATTCAAAAAATTTGTTTCGAAGAAACTTATCACTAGTACACTTATACACTGATGATGCATCCTTTTACCTTCACGTTTGTTTTAACTGTAGATTCTCTTAGAACACTTAGAGAATTTGGTAGCTCGCCATGAAAGATCACTTAGAATGACTGTAGTGAAACGACATACATCAACGGCTATGAGTACTAGTACAAATTCATTGATTCCGGGGGGTACAATGGCTGATGGTGAAACAGTGTGCTCCGAAATGGATATTTTAAATTCTTCATCGAATTATTCCATGAATACAACTACTGGATCAACAAGTCCTTCAATGACAGGATTAGGTTCAGAAGTGGAAGTTTTAAAAGCATTGAAATCTTTATTTGAACATCACAAAGTTTTAGATGAAAAAGTTCATAATCGTCTAAGAGTGTCACAAAATAAAGTAACTGATTTAGAAAATGAATTATTCGAACTAAAACGTTCAAAGATAAATAATAGTTCCACTGAAAATACATTTAATAATAATAATATTCATCGAACAATGATATCTAGTGAAACACAAGTTGACAAAGATTTCATAAAAGATGATGATACAGACATAAAGAATAATCTTGATAAAATTCAAAAGTTATCACTTGAAGGTAAATTGTATTTTGATAGTAATTACTATTTGTATCTATTCTTGTTGAAATTTGGTAAAATATTAAAATTAGATAACTTTTTTCTTGAAACACTTTATTTTAACCTTGTAAATATGTGTTATATTAAATCAAATATATTATTTGAAAAGTGCCTAATAATTGAAGACTTGAGTATTTGCACTAAGTTTGTGAACCATTTTGTTGACGTTCTTTTATATACATACATATATTTGATTTCATTAATTAACCACTTTATAAGATATCTTTACTAGGCATTGCAATGATATAGAATTAAATTAGGGTTCTGTACGTGATATTGTATATAAAATGTATTAACTTGAATCATAGAATGTAATTCCTGTGTACTGAAATTCAGCGGATGTTCTGAACAACTATCTTGAGTAAAATCATTTGTGAACGAGGTGGCATTTTTTTCTAGGCAATCAGGAAACTAAAATATCACTCATACCGTTTGACGTTACACAACTGAAGCTTACACACCAAATGTTTTAGACAAGATTTTCTAGTTCTATAAGCTAATGAGATATCTGTCAGGTGTCTTACCGATTTAGTCAACAAAGAAAAACACAGTATGCTAATGATAAAGGCATTGATATCGTTCGTGCTTATAAAAGTAAAAAAGTGTGGGATTCCTTTTTTATCATATAGTTCAGTAAATGGTGTAATTTGCAAAGAGTTTTTGACATAAATTACACATAATAAGTTGATACTTTCCATTTATATGATACGAGATATGATAAAAGCTTCAATATTATTCTACTTGACAAGATTATATTATATCACTGAAAAACATAAAATAGTACTTTGAAACAAGTGAAATCATTTCATAATATTAGTATTCGAATTGAAAGGAAACATAAATCACTAAAAGCAACCTGTTTATGAAAATACAATTAAGTAATTTTAGTCTATATTTTAAAGTTTTACAGACAGATAAATGAATAAAAAAAAAGAATCAATTTTCTATACCTAAAAATTCTATAGAAATTGATCTAAATTTCTTTTGTTCATCATCTTCTGTAACACTGATTATGAAATGAAATAATATTTCTAATGTTTACATTTACCGTTTACCAAGTATCACTTATATATTTACATGGAAAAAATTATCTTTTCTAAAAATAAGCTAGTTTAGTTACCAAATATTATTTTATCGCATAAATTGCAGTTTCATAGTTGGATCAATATTTGGGAAAAAAATGGAATATTTAATTTTTCTAAGTAACCAATTTATCAAACTTGTTTATTTTGTGGGTGTTAAATGTTTATAATCTACGAGTTAAAAAAATGATGTACAAAGAAAAAGTGAGCGGAGAAAATGAAGGGGCAAATACAGAATTAATGATTATTTTCATTCAATGTTCAATTTAGAAAAGTGGAGTTATTATTTCTGTTTTTTTCTTGATTTCTTAGTTAATAAATGGTGAGTAACGTTGTCGAACAAAACGCTTATTATAATATACAATAAAATATGGGCTAATCAATATCAGCGAAATAGTCAAACAGTCATTTACTGTTGTTATGAAGATTTATGGAGATTGCTGGATTTTCATAGTATGTATCTAAATTTAATCATATGCACCGTTGGATACCAGGTCAATTATTTAAATGTTAGGCAGTTGTCGCGATGTGTTAGAGGCTGGAGTTCCATCTCTGATGGGAAAATGGATGCATCATACTAGAACGAAATAGCTGTCCGATGCTTCCTGTTCTTCAATGGTTGTCTATCTAAGATCACTTTACGATGTAAACCACAACATGTACTTCTCGTCCAGTCTAAAGATTTAAATTTTCCCCATCTTTTGCTTTTAGCAATATATTAAAATTTGTTATTGCGTCATAATCACTGAAATATCACTTTATTTTTCTACAAATTAGAAACTGTTTCATTCCCACAAGGATCAGTTGGAATAGGTAAAAGTTCTGAATTCTTATCTTCGTCATCAGTTCTGAATGCTCCTTTATCAAATTTATTCTGTGGTTCAGCGTCAGCAGCTGCTCTTGAAGCAGCGAACAGAATCAAAGAACTGCAAGAAAATCTTGAACAACGTGTATGTTTATATTGGAAATTAGCTTATAAATTATTTTCACACTGTTTACAAGAGTTCCCTTCAAATAATTATTAACTCCAAGTTGATGTCTCATCACTAGCGATTATATGTCCAGCAAATATCGAAAACTACTAAGTAAAAGTCGACTTTAAAAATTTCAAACAGACTTTATCTATTACGTTTTATGTGAGAAAACGGGAATGCCAGATTTTCCAAATGCGAATATAAGACTTAAAATGGAACATTTTTAATCACCTGAAAACCAATCACAGACATTTGATTTAAGATTTCTGATTACTACTTGATAATATAACTAAATGGTTTAATAAAATTAATTTTGTTTGACTATGAGGAATTATAACTTCTGAAAATAATGGCTCCTCCACGATAGCAAAAGTCACTGGAATATCGCTAGCTGATCGGGGTTTGGAAATTGAACTGAGATGTAGAATGATATGTGTTGGAATCTTTGAGCAAACTACTGGTTACCTGTTGTTTCGTATTACCCACGGTGGTGAGAGTTAACTGACAGGAAACCTAGATCTGAGGTCTTGGACCACTTGCCTCTACTCATTTAATGAGTTTGGCTTTAAAATAATTGCATAGACTCAGTGTAATTGCTTTCAAAAGAACTGGCGAAAGATATTTACGTTAACTGACCTCGAAAGTTAAACAAAGCAACAAAATTGTAAAATTGGATAAGGTAAGCATCGTTTGTTAAAGCAATGAAAACAGAGATTGATGTATCCTTCAACTTCGTTTCATGCTCGATAGGCTAATATAGTTTTTTTTTACTTTAATGACTAAAAATGTTGTCACGAATTTCGAACAAATAAACTTGTATTCCACCGTCTATGAATCCTGAATAAGATAGCAACTGTTGAACAAAAACAGCTAAACTCTATAATAAAAACAATCTCGAACCTAGTCCATTTATTCTTTCTAGTTTTACGACTTTACATAGTATTAATGGAGAACGACGTAAGTTCTCAAACGGCGTCATTGAATTCCAAATGTTAATATCTATTCTTGTACCTTCTTGGTTTATATATATAGTCACATTAATGTTCTATCCAAAGTGTGTTTGAAAAATATTATCATCATTCAAAGACCAACAGCTTCCAATGCTGAGGAGACGGGGTTGATCTGAAGGATGTGATATATTTGCTCAATACATTTTAAGTAGCCTGGTCACACATATACTTTTGAAACCATGGCATGTGAGAATTAATAAAGGTCAATTCAATAAATTGAGTGGAACGGAGAATGAAACTATAAACTTGTTCGATTATGGGAAGCTATCCTGGACTGAACAATATCCAAATTTGCACTGCAACACAAGCGGGGCTTCACAAAGTGCTACTTCGACAGAACTCAAAGAATATTCACTACAAATACGTTTAAAGACACAGGATTGCTGACTGAAAATCGATACTAAACAGATACCAATTAAAGTAGATGAATAGGTGTAAACGTTAGTTCTTAATTCGTCTGCAAAGAAAATGGTCTATATCTCTTTACCATTCAGAAAAGAATAAAACATTACAATTTTGTGATAGAAGCTAAAAGCAACCATCAAGATAACATATTACGCTGATATACTGGTTGTATTTAGAAAGATCAAGTTCTTGATTGCACTTTAGCCTGGACATTGCACAAATGATTACGTTACATTCCATTCCATTCCATTTACTAATCTGCATGTTTATTTAAATATATATACATAGAGAGGGGTAATTAAACAATTGTTATTATTTTATTACAAGCAATTAGTGATTTTTTTCACTTAATTCATTCATTATTTATATCAAATATTCACTTTTTATTTTAAATAAAGTTTTATTTAAAAGAATTATATCTTAATAAATTTTATATTTTCAACTTATCGAATCACTATCCACTTTCATTACATTATACACTGATTTCTGTAAGTTTAAAATAAACACTTATCACAAATATTTAAAACAATTAGTCCCTTTGATAAATTTCGATAATACAATCAGAAGATTTCATGCAATAAGTTCATTTAATGAATTTAAATAAAGCAAGAACAAATATTGATGCAGAATAATATGAATTCATAATAGTTCGAGGTTTCTCATCAGCTGCTTACAACCAAATATGTAAGAGAATTTTACATTGAGATACGAAATTGTGTGAAACAATTGACATAAATGATTGTAAATAATTGGAATGACAAACGTTTACAATAATAACTATATATATATATATATATTGGTGTTAGAATTAAAGAAACAATTCAAGATGGGTGATGTAGTAGTTGAGTGGAGTTCATAAATTTTGTGATAATTTTAAAGGCAGTGAAGGATTCATGGAGTTAAACATTGATAAGATAGGTTACGTAATAATTGAATAGAGTTCGAAAAGTTAACATAATTTAAGAGGGTAAGTGGGCGGAAATGTGTGAATGAAAAGTTGATTTAAGAATTTGGTAATAGGGGAGGAATATAACACAAAATAAATATTTTAAAATAAATAAATGAATAAAATAACACAAATAACCAAAGAACAATAAAAATATAAAAAAAATGGATTACCAGGGTAATAATAAGTTTAATACTGTCTCTTTTGAAGAAGACGAAGTTTATCAAAATTATGTGATATATTTGCGCAATACATTTCGAACAATCTGATCACACATATACTTGTTAAGATATTTTTATATCAAAATTAAGAGGTCAACTAGGCAGGTTAAAGGTAAGCCATAACAAGGAAAAAATAATAATATTAAAGTACACAAAAACAAATGTGATTACCACTCTAGATAATAAGTCAGTATTACCAGGGTAGGTTAAGTGTAAGGACAAATTGTTTCTGAACGCATAAAGGGGATTTCAATTTCCATATAGCCATGGCTTCAATAAGCCGTAGTATACGTCTTTGAAGGTTTTTATATAACACTACAAATGCTGACTTGATTTCAAACTTATGACCAATCTCAATCAAATGTTTCGCAATAGAGGATGATGTCTGTCTATTCTATGATCTTATTTGAACAGATTATTCGAAATGTATTGAGCTAATATATCACATAATTCTGATAAACTTCGTCTTCTCATTGCATTATCGAAATTTGTCACAAATATAATTTTCATATAAAATTTATTGTTAATTTTACTTGTAGAATACATGGTACCCTAAAACTGTGATGATAGATAGTATGAGAATCTCGTACAATACACAAAGTTTGCTAGATTACAAGTGGTTTAGGACTTGTTAAATGAATGGTCTTTATGTTGAAATATATACATACCGTATTTTTTTAAAAATTAACTTCAAAAAAGAACCTATTGTATAATATAAAAGGGTGAAAAATATATTTGTAATATTATTTTAAAAAATATACTAATGATTCATTATATTTGTCTTATTTATTTTATAGGCATCTGAATTACTCGCTGCTCGAAGGCAAGTGATTGAACTGACAAGTCGATCAAGAGAAAGCTCAAATTCATTGAGTTTAGCACAGAGTGAATTAAATCATGCTAATGACCAAGTAAATTATTCAAATATCATTCAACTTTTATAATAGAAGTATAAACTTTTTAAATGAATTAGTCTGTTTATCCAACATCATAAAATTATAGCTTAAAGTAGTTGTTCTGGAAACTTTGACGTATTTTGAAATCCTTGACATCGACGACATGAAATTATAGAAACCGTAAAAATGACATTTGCACCCGTTGCATTAACGGATGATCATACGGATTCAATAGCTCAATGTACAACATTTTGACGTATTTGTTTAAGGATACAAGGTTTGAGTCTCAGTGTAAAAATCAACAAGTAAATCCAACTGACGAGTCTTACATTGGATTATATTGTTAGCCACTGTTCATTTGATGAAAATAAATGGTTTGTCCAATAGCTGTTTATGTGTTTCCATACATAGTTTGTTTGCAGTTCAGAGATTCGAGAAATAATTTTTATGTTCAATTCTATCTGAGTTTAATTCATGGCTGCAATCAAAATCTGTTAATTTAGGTGCTTACTACTTTCGGCTTAATTAGTGTAGACGATATGATTATTGGATTATAGTTTTGTAATGATTTGGTTTCAGAACTCAAAATCTCTGGACTATCATCTTTGGATTATCACTTCGTTTTATTAGTCAATCCACCTTTAAAAATAATCAGAAGGATGCTATTTGAATAATAACTTTAGAAACGATAATTTTTTGCCAAAACGTATATGATATGTTCATCAGTTGTTTAAAGATTCTAATCTCAATGCACTTCCGAAAGTCTCTCACTAATTGATTTTTCTTCTCTAAAATTTTTGACGTTTATCGAATAAATATAACTTTCTATTATATAATGGAATTTATTTGGAGGATCTAAGTAGTTCGTGAATTTGTCAGTCAAGTTCTTGTAGTTCACTTCAACCTAATGATACATAGCAGGGTTCACGAGATAAATAATAACTTGATTGAAGAGGATGGATAGGAATGAAGACATACTGTTTAGAGGACTCATTACATTTCACTCCATACAAATGACTTGTAAAGAAGTGTGAGATTGAATCTTATTGTCAAGACTACATAGGTCATTCTAGACTATAAGCAGACAGGTCTATTCATTCTTCTCAAGCCACATTTTTACCCTGTCCCTTATTCGCTTATTAACCCTGGCTGTTTTTTTATATGATCGTATGTGTGTTAATTACTTACCCTATTCATCATGTGTCTGTAACATATTTTTGTTTGACTATAACTATCGATGAATGCTTGATTACATTGAGTTGATTAACTCGCCTTCGCCACTATGCATCGTTTCATTTCACTTTGCTTCCTTTTCATCGCATCCCTAATTGTCTGTTCCGATTAACGATTGTATAAAATATACGTAATTGAAATCCATTTTCGTATTTGACTTGTTTAATTCCGCGATTCACTAACGCGAGTCGATGAAAATACACGAGGGTTTGCGGCATGTATATTTCGACAACAATCATCGTAGGATCTAACTGGAGTCAGATACAAGGTCACAAAATTCTCATACCTTGACTACGGACGATTCATTGACTAAAATAAATATAATCTGATCAATAATAGCTCGTTTAATCCACCATATATCAAAAACATTATTCGGGCTCAAAAAATAATCTTTGTGGTATTGATACAGCGTCTTTACGTGAAATTCGGTTACTTTTACTCCTTTAGTCATCTAAAAAGTCTAAGTTAAATTTATTCTTGTTCTATGACAAAAATTATACTTTTTATGAAAGCCAACAGTTAGCATCGTTTCGGAAACCACTTTGGAATCCATGGAAAGACTGATAGTAACTTCATGATTTGTTTCTCAAGACCGAACTGAAATTTTCCTTATGACATTAACACCAATACAGACTGCAACATATTTTTGTAGATGGTCTGACAAAACAGGATGTTCAGAATAATACACAAGATTTAGAATTTATTAGCTCCCAATTTTAAAAGTGTACGGAAAATATATTGTTCGTACTGAGTATTTTCACTCATCATACAACTGAGACAGATTTGAGTGCTTATTTTACAGTTAAAACTATTAAAATGCAGATAATCATAGTACCACCATAAGCGTTTACCTTTTCGTCCTCTGGAGCGCCTAAACGTCTTTCAGTTTGCAGTTGAGCAACCTTAGTTTTTATGGATTCAAAATGCACGAAATATTTTGTTCTCGGTTTGAGAGTTGATTTTTAGACAGATATTTATTATTTAGGTTATATATGGATACTTATATATATCACAAAAATGTTTTAATTAATTTATTTTAGATTGAAAGGCTTACTCGTGAACTACGTGAATCTGAGCAACGAAGAACTGATCAAGAATCCCTAGCTACGAGTTTAGAACAAAGATATTTAGTTACTCAGCGTGAATTAAATGCAGCCCAAGATATGACTGACAAATTACGAGCTGAATTAGCCTTCAAATCAACGCAACTTAAACAGGTAAAATTTCAAAGTTATTAACATTCTTTTTTTGAAAAAGGCTTTCATCCTTTAAAACTATCCGATTTATTTACTGTAAATTTCTTTCATAGAACAGATCAATCCGCATTTTATATGTGACATAACATTTACCAATAAATAAATAAGCAAATATATGTTGTTAGTGATAGATAACTATAAAGCACACGCTTCGTTCAAATGGCAGAATAACTAAGACGTCTTAAATCTGAAAGGATACAGATGAGATAATAATAATAATACAAAAAACAAACCCAACAGTACTTATCGAAGGAGAGTTATTCTCATTAACACCGAGTTGATTGATTATACCCAACAAGATTAACAAAATGTCAAATTAACAAATCTACAGTGAATTTATGGGTATCTAGAAAATTAATATAATCATTATATATATTGTAGGTATCATTACCAAGGTTTGATTTGATGATTTCGAATAAACTGAGTATTGGGTAGATGGTTATAAATAAATAATAGATTTGTAATATCCCAATGAGTAGAAAAATTAGATTTTCTGACGTTTCGTGGCTTAGTGTAAGTCACTTCTTCAGAGAATAAGTAACTAAATTAAAATTAATCCAAGTTTAAATAGTACAACAGAACAATAAGAATATGTGATCAATCAAAAACAGGTCTGAACAGGTTAATGTCATGTCATTTCGGTCAAGGTGATTTATAAGTAAAACGTATGTAAATTTGTGTGTATGTATGTGTTAGGATATTTGGAAAAATATACCAATAATTATCATGTTAAGTCTAATGGTGTCCTTGGACTTTAAATGGACATTCCCTATTGGTCAATATTTATTTCACTTGTTAAATATTGTACAAATGTTGTTTTCTATTTTGTGGTACGATGTGGTCTGGTTGATTGGTATATAAACAGAGTATGTTTGGAATATAACGATTCATAACTCAGAGGCTGAGACTTGCGTTGTGGACTCAACTGGCTGGATTAGAAGGGGAAGCAGGGCCAATCGGAACTCTAGGTCGTCCTTACGTGTCACTGAATCGATCGATAACACGCCTTGCTCTAATCTTCAGGCCTCAAGTTACAACAGTATGTGTGCATTGTTTAAGGATGAAAAATTGTGTGACATTTATGGTGAGAAAGGATAGAGTTTAATTTGTAAGATGGTAGTGTGAATTGTAAATACGATCAGACTGAATGGCTAGGATAGATAGTCCACGTAGGATGTATGGTAAGGCCTTGTTTTCTATTGAGCGAAGTAGGATTAAGCATGATACGGAACGCTTCAGCTACTCTCCTTTCTGTGTAATGGGAAAAGCCTATTTGCAGTATTTTGATATGTTTAAAATCAATTTGGTGGTCGTTGAAAATGGCGTGAACTGCTATTGCCGACTTAATTTGAAGTTTATTCAATTCCATGGGATTGTTAGGAGGTTTCTTTGTGTACCTAATATGTTCTTCGGCTCTAGTCAAGATTTCTCGAGATGACTCTCCAATATAGAAGGCATCACAATCGATACAACCTAATTTGTAGACACAGTTCTGTGTGGACATGAAAGGGATTTTTTCTTTTAAGCGAACTAAAGTATTTCGAAGTGTGTTCGTTGTTTTGTAATATACTTTAATTTTGTGTTGTTTTAAGATTCTTTGGAGTTCTTCTGTTGTGCCATCATTATATATATTATGTAAATGAATAAATGTTTACCGATATTTTCAAAATATGTTAGTTTCATGACTGTATAATGCATAGTTTATTTCCAAATGTACATCACGTCATAATAATAATGATAATAATAATCGTTTGGTCGACCAAACCATCCAGCTCAGAGAACAAAACTCCACCAAAATCATCCACCTGAGCTACAAATCTTCTCCACCATCTCATAATTATTTAATTTTACTGTTTCATCAAACTAGAATTTGGCTAGATATCAGAAATTCATCTAAACGCCTTATGTATGCAGAATGCTATAAAACAGAAATGAACTGAATTGTTTATCAATTTTTATTTAAAACAAAGATAACCATAACCTGTAAAATCATATTTAGGGTGTTTCATGAACAAAAAGGAAAGCGTATGCTCAAGTAAATTGACTATTTCACAATTTTTCTATAGTTTTAATTGATTAATTATCATTTCCAGTGTACTATGGTCTCGGAGTTGTAAAATCAATATCTTCCTAAGACTTGGAGGAGTTTCCTGAGCTCTGTATATTGTATGATGGAAAACGCTTCTGAAGTCATTTGACGCTCGTCAAAAATACAGTGAAGTAAAGTTGTTTTTTCACTCACATTTCAGTTATACATGATTTTCATTGAAAAAACTGGTTAGCAGAAAGCAAAAACAAGTAGCATGGTAGAAGTGAGTGCTGTTTATAAGCAGTGATCAGCCATCATTGCAGGAGATATAACTTCCAGTCGCTTAGACGATGTTTAACATGTTAGATAAAAAGCTCAACTTATAAATAAAAAGAGTGAATGTTTACTTATTCCTAACAAGCATACTGTGAATTGTACAATGAGCAACAGTAAGAGAGTTTTTCATAATACCGTAAGATCTCTCATATAAACTTAGACAATTCAGAGGAACCAAATTACATAAATTTATGTAGTTCACTGTTTTGTTTGTACTGGAAATGCTGTAACTATGGTTTATCTGTCAATTTTATTTCCACTGAAAGAATTAATCTGTGAAAAATATATTTCTTGCTTCCGTGATAATAAGCCTTTTTAGGGCTTGAAACATTCTTAAGTGGTTACTGTTATCGAAAATTGGCATAAATTTACAGACTATTAGAGATTGCAAATTTACTAAACATTTATTGTCAGTGATTGATTGATCACGTTTATATTTTTTCAATAATTAAAACAGAAATGTGTTTTGTGTTGCATAAAATAACAAATATCACACACAGTGACTGTGAAATTTCACTAAATTAATGCTACAATATATATGATTGCCTAAGACTGTTATGTATTTATTCATTTATGCAATTGGAAAGAAAGAACAAAATAGAGCGAAAATGTTACACAACCTAATTTTCACTGTACTCCTAGTGATTAATTGACGCACCCCTTAACAAATGTAAGATTAAGAGATAACAGAAATCTTGTCGTTTATTTTTCATGCTCGGTCAACAATAATATAATGAGAAAGACTAGTGAGTATTCGTGATAAGTGCAGAAGTGCTTGTGAGAATTGGCCAGTAAGAATGCGAGTTGAAGAGGGGTAAACTTAATTCGAATCGAACAGTTTGAAATTGTCGATCATGATTTTAAGGAAATTCTTCTTTGAACCGTCCTGATTTATTTCTTAGAAAATAATGAATTTCCAAATAGTAGTGATTAATAGATTTGCTTTTATGCATAATTGAGAAACTCACTGATTGAAAAGAAGAAAATGGTTAGTGAGATAACAGAATTTTTACAGTGAAACATTCCAAATTACCAAAGTATAAAAGAACGTCAGATTGTTTTAAATTGCTTATAGATGAAAATATTTACGCATCTCAACGCATATAAACGTTACTAAACTCCCAAACTATCGTGTAAATGCTAATAGGTTAAACTTATGAATTCGTTAATCAATATGCATTAGCTTAAAATCAAGTAACTTGTAGTTAGGATGTTTGGAATAAGGTTCTAACTTGAGATCTATACAGCTAGACCATACTTAGTTCATTTATTACTACAGTTTGTTTGTTGATTCATTACCTAATTTAGTTAAAAAAGTTCATAAATTCAATATTCCAATCAGTGGAAGGAACATCTTCATAGGTTTCTAATATAATAATTGCTTATCTACTAGTAACCAGCTTCGAGATGAACTTTTCAAGATTTAGTTTTTAGTAACGTCTGATAGAGTTTGGTTATATTGATAGGAATAGAAATTTTACAAAACTTTTAAAACAATATTTGTGCTGTATCATGAACTGTTTAACAATAAAAATTAGAAACATGAAATTTTAACTACCTTATCTAAAAAAACCTTTTAACCAACAACGCTTGGAGGTTTTATGTTCAATCAATGGATGTGTATTATAAACGGACTCAGAGTTAGAATGGATGAAAATTTCAAAACAAATCATTCATCTAAACAAAACAATGAGAGTCAAATGACATTATTTTTCAAAACTATAATATTTCGTTTGTTCACTCAAAGAATTACTAATATATCATTATATATATATATATAACTTCATTTTCTTTCGAAAGAAAAATTCCGATAAACAAACACAATTTCCCTTTCTGTCTAATCATAATTCTACTTAACAGATATATATATATATATATATATATATATATATATATATATATATATATATATATATATGTTTCTGACAAGTATATCAAAAGACGATCAATAGTGTAGTCTAAATCACATGCAGTCTCTGTGTAATGAACAATCAGTTAACCATTGATTAGTCAATTGGTTAGAAATAAAAATGCATGATTTTCGTAAGCACCTACCCGTGTGGTTAAGCAAAGGTGTTGTCAAAACTTTTAGCAGCTCCATGTTAGACCATTTAGTCCAAACAGGACATATAGCAAACATGGAGCAATCTTTCGCAATAATCTATCGTGTCAACATCAGTCTACCTAATTCCGTCAGACTGCGAATCCTACAGACAGCTGAAGCAATTGCTATTCGAATAAAAAAGCCAGAGCTTTGTATCCAAAATAAGTATGTTCAGCCACTACTTTTACCCTGGCCAACTAGCTAATAATCAATCTTATAATGTGGTGACGTAATCTAATTAATGTTCATTTTATGACCCAAACTTATTGTTATTATTATTACTGTTATTATTACTATTATTACTATTATTATTATTATTATTATTATTATTATTATTATTATTATTATTGTCTTTACACTTGATAACCCCTTTTTGAGGAATTTATTCAATATCCACCCCTGAATCTACTATATTTGACCTAATTATTTTACATATTACGCAATTTCCGATTTGTAATCACAATATTCTCTCTCTCTCTCTCCTACCCTATGTTGACCATATTTCTTCTGATAATTTATCTCACAATTTCATTTCACTTATAAACTGATTCAAGTTAACGCTTTATATTAGTCAGCCCCAACATTAACGATTTTATTTGTATAACAAACAATTCCTGATTCACATATTACAATTTCCAAATGATGTATTTTGCCTTAAATCTGGCCAATTTTATGGATTATTATTCTGGTTTTATAATTGTAGAACCTGATGAGAAATTATTGAAAAGAATATTCTTCGTTCATACAATTGTGTTTTATTTTATTATTCTCTAATAAATAGTTGCAACAACATCTACAGATTGACACCTGTAAAATCTCGATTTTGTCCATTTTTATTTTCTGTTTGGCTTTGGGGCGATTTGTGTTCTTACAGTGATCGGTTTATAATTTCAATGGAACTTCGTTTTTATTTGACAATGTTTTTTTCTGTTTGTTTTTTTTTCGATTAAAATGCTGTAGTTACACGTAAATTCTAGACTAGAATTCAGGTTACGAAATTTCGATATTTGACTTAGGTTGTAACAGTGTTACATAATCATGGACTAATCGTTCATTTCATTTTTTCTATTCAGCAAGAAGAAAAAGTTCGAACACTACAAATTAAATTAGATACAATGGAAGACGATCTGTTGCAGAGTAGATCATTGTCAAATCATTTCTTGACTAAATCTTTCAAAACTAAATACATTCATGATGAAGTTGACATTGATGATGATGATGAGGATGAGGAGGAGGATGTTATTGCTGGAACTCAATACAATGAAGAAAATGCTTGCTCTGATGAAAGTAATCCTGAATTAATGAATAAACAAATATCTGAGGGGGAAATGGAACAAGAGACTGATTCAATCACTGGCCTTGAGAGCAAACGTGTCCGAAAAATCAAATCTATTAGATCAGCATCAAAAAGGAATCATTATTCTCGACAGATCTTTCAACAGGAATGGAATTCTTATGAAGATCAGGTAAAAGAATTAACAGATGAAATAGAAGAAGTTAGACAAGAATTAACGCGTGCAAAAGAAAGAGAAATCATTAATGAAGAACACATAACTCGTTTATCGGGAACAGTAAGTTAACAATTGTGATCAATCAAAATATATGTGGACTATTTAACTTTGTGATAGAACATATTTTTTTTATCTCCTTCAATTTTCGATTAGATTTAACTTAGTACAATATCTATATTTTAACTGATTAATGCAATCTGGTCACATGTGAGATAGTAATTTTTACAAGGTTCTTGTTAGTTATGCATTCCTAAAAAATATACTCTTATCCACTATGTTATATGACAAAAAGTGACAAAGCTGTGAATGTTTAATTTTCAGAATGAGTTTTGTGGAGATTTTAGTAAATTTCACAGGTTGAAATCATGAGTCAGTTGAAGCTAGACCACCATTGGAAACCTGGAAGCACTGGACGGCCGTTTCGTCCTAGTATGGGACTCCTCAGCAGTGCGCATCCACGAACCCGCCCCCTACTGGCTTGGCGCAACTTCGTGGATTCGTTGAAGTTAGACATTAACACCGTTGGGTGCCGGCTCAGTGGTCTAATGGTTAAGTGCTCGCGCGCGAAGCCAGTAGGTCCTGGGTTCGAATCCCGTAGGGGGCGGGTTCGTGGATGCGCACTGCTGAGGAGTCCCATACTAGGGCGAAACGGCCGTCCAGTGCTTCCAGGTTTTCAATGGTGGTCTAGCTTCGACTGACTCATGAGTTCAACCTGTGAAATGTTTAATTTGTAGGACAGTCGGTATATCACAATGCATATTTGGAATGGATTTATTTACAAATGTTATTTAATACAAAATCGAGATATATAGATCATTTGGATTATTGTTTATCTCGCAACGTGATTTTTATAAAAACTGTGGATTAAACGGAATGTTATTGGTTACAATTCAGTGTTACTTTGTGTTGAAATTATTGGTATTTTATCATTAGTTCCATGTAAAAAATACTCGTATGATTATTTTACAGAAATAGTTTATCTGTTTATTATGTTTAGTGTGTTACAGTAGTTTTGATATGTTGAATTATATTTAACATATAAATTCAAGGGGAATATTCCACACATTTTTCATCTTATGATTCACAATCTTATAAACATTAAAGGGATATCTACAGCTGTCTTTTGGGGGGGGTGATTTTCAAGATGTTCCAGTATGCTACAAAATAATTATTGGTCTCCTTCCAAATTTTTGGTTCGATTTTAATTATTATGAATATTTAAAAGGGTATCATCTCTTAAAACTGATTAATCGCTTTTTGAATTAATTTTAATAAAATTCTTAAAGGCTATTCTTTCAGCTCTGTGGCCTTTCCTAGAATGGATGTTTATAATTGAATCATAGGAATGAGGCTATTCAATCTAAGGGATGGAAGCTGAATGCAGAAAAAATTCGAACTCAAAGTAATAATTACTGAGCTAGAGTTCCTGTTTAGGCATCAAAATTGGTTATGAGAAGAAGACTGCTTCTTGAACTCCGAAAATATATAATGATCTCGTGGTTTGATCCAGGTGGTGATTGAACATATGAACTACGCTAACGCATTTTAGGGAAAAGCGCCTAGTGAACTATCAGATTTAGGGAATAAGTTCACATAGGTGAAAAATTTCAATTTTTGGTACATTATAATTCACTTTTAAACGATGGAACATTAACTAGGTTGATAACATTTTTATTTTCATTGAATATCAAAATCCAGACAAAAAAGGATTCCCACTTTCTCACTGAGATAAATGCTGGGATACATATTTTCCTGATATGTTTTTGGCGAATTATCTTATTTTCAAAGGAATTTTAGATATTTGGTATCGTTAATCTCTAATGTATACAATAAGTGTAATTATTTGCAATTCTTTTCTTCAAATCATTTTACATTAGTGCCTAAAGATACAATGTAGGAAGTAACAGTTGAATTCATGAGTCGATCATAGCCAGACCACCATTAAGAAACGTGGAGGCACTGAACGGCCATTCAATCCTAGTATGGGATTCCTTAACAGTTCTCAACCACGGTATAGAAATAATTAATAGAAAACCTAGTTTTTAACATTATTTTAATTAATAATTTATCTAAAAGTTAATAGTTAGAATTGTATATCTATCTTATTTATATTTAAAGGTTGATAAATTATTACAAGAATCTAATGAACGTTTACAAAATCATTTACAAGAAAGAATGTTGGCTTTAGAACAAAAACAAAATTTAAATAATCAAATTGAACAAATAAAGAGAGCATTAGAAACAGCAATAAGAGAACGTGAAACAAATATAACAGAATCAATGTTATTAAGACAGAAATTGTCTGAATTAGCAGCTGCTTTTCGTTATTCACAAGCTCAACTTGCAATTGCTCATACATCAACTTCTGCAGCTCAGGCTACTATTATGGCATTAGCCAAAGCATCATCTGAGAAAGTTAACATGGAACGACAGCGACAACAGCATAATACAGATATTTCTATACAAAATTCAGGTAAAATGTAATGTAGATATTTCTTTTTTGAAATAATATCAATGATATATATGTAAAGTCTACATTAATTGACTGAGTTGAATATACACCCTAAAACGTATTTCCGCAGCATGCATTCACCAATTGATGTGATTGCTAAAGTATAATATCAACAGTTTCAGTAAAAAAATAAACAATCATAAACTGAATCATACTTCTGAGCTTAAGTTCAATCATAAATCGTGTCGCTTGGTTGGGAAATGTTAGCAAAACAATTCACTTAGTATTGCTTACTTGAATCTTCCCATTGATGTTCAGGACTACAATTGATGTCTCATATTGGCACATGTAAATACTGTGCGTATTACCTCGATATTGCCTTAATTCACAAGAATTCCAAGCAACGATGGATTAAAACAATATCGAGGCAATACGCATAGTATGTATATGTGCCAATATGAGACATCAATTGCAGTCCTGAACATCAATGGGAAGACTCAAGTAATCAATGCCAAGTGAATTTAGACTTTACCCCATTGCACAAGCAAGTGGCTATCAGGACTCGGTAGCTAAGTGGATAACACGATGGCGTTTGAAGCGAACGGTACTGGGTTCGGATCCCGGAGTGAATATCAACTCCGAGATGCAGGTACATCCAGCTGACGAGTCCCAACTAGGACGAAACGCGCGTCCTGGCTTCCACTGCTAGCCGCTATCCCCTTTTGGTTAGCAAAGGAAGTTTTAACTTATTACTAGTCTATTACTTAAGTGTTTTAATGGTGCATTCATGAGAATGAATTTCCTTGATATGAGCGGAACTTGAAACAGGAATACTATAATTTTGTATTGTATTCTATTGAAATATTCTTACTGTCAAATTGATTAAATGTCACACTGTCCATTGGAACAGATATATTTCTTTAAAATTGCTAAGGATAATTTTAATAGCATTTTGTTTAGCATAAAAATGAAACCATGTCTACATTTTCAAAGAGAAAAGAAACTTTCAGAACAAGTATATTTTTATTAGTAGTCAACAGTTTGTTGAATAATACACAATGTCATCTTGTTTATCTGTTGGTACATATAAGAGAGATATTGAAGCAGAGGCTCTGTTTAAAACTAGAGAGCTTAAGGCATTCATTTTTTCAATCTGATGGTAAATCTACTACATTACCCGAGCTAAACTAATTTCGTGACAAACTACGTTCAATTCTTCATAAACCACCGAATAAGCTATAACTCAAATCTTGAAGATTACAACGTTTATGTCTGTGCCAGAGATATAAGGCACCAGAAAACATTATTCCTACTATTATCGCTGATAAAACCGAAAGGATTCGTGAAAGCAAAGTACACGGATTTTTTTATTAGTAACAATGAAAAACTTGTTGTTGATTTAAATAATTATGATTGAGTTACTGTCTAATTGGAAACCCAACTAACTTGATACCCATACAGCTTTCTTATGATTGTATCAATAGTTAAGTAACTTTTTTCATAACTTCAAATATATTTATATTTTATAATAACTACCGAACTAATCCAAATTAGGCTTTACCATAAACCACTCTGAAGTAACTTTTGCGTAGTCATACTTTGTGAGATGTTCGTAATAACTTACAATGAAGCAAGAGAATGATGTAATATTTAAGGAAAAATGTCATTACAGGTAATGTAGTTCTTGTAGTACCAGGTTCTGAGATTAAAGTTTCGTTAAATTAAGAGTTTCGTTAGCAAATATAAGCTTTTAGTTCAACAGACTCTGTAGCCGTTTCTAAGGTTATTACTGAACTGAATCAACCCACTGTATATGCGAAACAAAGATATTTTTTCTGCTGGCTACCTTGAGACATCAGTTCTTTTAGTAATTTATTGTGGATATCCATACGATTATTCCTATATGTCGTCGACCAAACAACCTATAATACCATAAATCCACAACGGAGTACAATTTTCAGAAGTCCAAACAAAGCAGGAAGAGCAGTTTATTTCTACGAACTATTTTAATCACACAACTCAAAAGAAAACAGAAAGACTGGTGAAGTTATGAATGTGGTCAAAACCCAAATATGTATTCTCTGTTTTTATGCGAATGAGTCATTAAGCGTCTGAGCAATTAACATTCAGAAGGTTATGGCAAATAAATATGTAGGCGGTCCTATGCATTCCACAGCAAATCCTTATTTATGATGTATAAAAAAGAAAGTGAAAGAATGCTATGATGTAAAATAACACGTACTATATTTGCCTACCAAATAGGTTGAATCGAAGTCTTAACTGATTTGAAACTACAGAAACCTATATGTAGAAAAAGCTACTATGAGTATATGATTTACCGAAATAAACAGAATTCAAGCATATAATGTTTTATCATGTTTTAATTCCTTTAACCAGGTTTGAATAAATAAGGAAAAATTAATTACCTACTGTATTGGAGTTTATATTGATCTTGATTGATAACCTTCATTGTCAATAATATTATACTTTCTGTTTCGTTGTAGTATTTATTGAACTTATTTTCTCAAGTTTTTACCTACTTTTTATTTTACAATATTAAATCATGCTATTCTTATTCAACTTATTAGGACTAGTACACCTGTCATCTTACTATCGATTTGTACTTTTTACTTCATTTATTGTGATTAGTTGTGTACCTTACTTCCTTGTTATTACTGACTTTTACTTTTTTGTAAATTAAAGCTTGGTAACCTAATTATCAATAATATTGTTCACTTATAAGTTGTCGTCTAATTTCATTCCTATATAATTTAATTTAAATTTTTATTCTTTATTTTAATTATAGTATGTCCTTCAAGTGTAGTGGAAAAATATGGAACTGAGCAAAGTAGTCCAATAGATTTAATCTCGAGATTGATCACTAATACATGGATCTATTCACAAGCTAATAATAATTCGGTAGGTGTTTAACTCTCCAAGTTATTTTAATATAGGCTTTATACTACATATCTATGATGATTGAAAATTAGTGTATACATTTAATATTCATACATGTAATCAGTTATCAGCGAGAAAAATTTGTTGACTCAAGTATAACCATGATTTTTATTGAATTAAAGAAAGACTTTATCTAGCCTAAATGATGTAAATTAGAGGAGCGTATTTGAAATGTATACCAGCATGTGAAAGAGATTGATCATATAAAATGAATAGAAAACTTGAGTAACGTAATAATTCCTAAACATCCTATGATATAATTGGTTACCATAGAATGGACTAATTACAGTTTACAGGCTGATAAAGGATATTTCTCAATTTTTATTAGGAAAAATGTAGATTTCTTACAAGACGTTTCATGGATTAAGATGTACAGGGTAAATATTTGGATTGTAAGAAATATATTTGTGTTTTACGTCAATCTAATAAATCTGCCTTACGGAAAAAAAGTTAAAGAATTTTATAATCAATTCGAAAAGGATATCTGAAAAGAAAATGTCTTACTGATGTTTCTGCTAATACCAGCCAACGATATTTGGCAAACTTAAATCAGACTGTAGGTTTGTGTGATTTGCACTCATATTCTTACTCCACTAAAGACTCCTGTAATGTTTGTCTGAACACAAACCAAGTGGAGCTCATTTATGACAGTAATCATGCACTTGTGTCTTTACAGCCTTAAGTGATAATGTTTTTTGAATCTATCTAGAGCTCTCAGTTCTTCAAATACAGCATGAAATTTTTAAAATGTAGTGCTGTTACACAAAAACTAATCATTTTACGTAAGTAAAACAATCCTAGTCAACTCTTCAAATACATTTAAATGCATATTCGTGAAACCTTCATTTAATACGGAAGAGTCTGTGTATAACGTATCCTGATTATCAATTCAAATAAATTTTTCTAGAACACACAACATACTAACAATAAACACGACTAATAGTTAAAACAAATAGCGTTTATAAGCAAAGATGGGCGGTGGCTGGCAGTGGAATCCAGTACGCGCGGTCCGCACTTATTTGGATCCGTTAACTGGATGTCACTTAAGCCCAGAGTTGATGTTCACTCAGGAACTCGAACTCAGTACCGTTCGTATCAAACACCATTGCGTGATCCATTTAGCTACTGAGTCCTGATAGCCATTACCTTGTGCAGTAGCGTGGAGTTTTAATTCATTTTGTATTACGATTTGAGACAATATCGAAGCAGGATGCACATATGACAATAAGTGGCTGATCAATTGCAGTCCTAAACATCAATGGAAAGATTCAAACAAGCGATTCAAAAAGAAAATAACTTTAAGTTATGGCCTTGCAATTATACATATCATCATAAAAACTAAGTTGTTTATTGAGATGTCTAAATTAATATAAATTCAAAATGAAAGATAAATCGTAGTTTCCACAAGCGTGCTTCCTGGAAATTTAACAGTCTTTTTGACAATAAAAACACGACATTTGCTGAGGGCATGAAAATATTAGAAACCGAAAAATTGTTGGTGTTTTTAGTTCCTGAGAATTGGATGTCATTGACTGTCAGCGGAACGACATCACAAATTTACCGATATTGATTATGTGAACTGATAGATTCCGACTCACTGATCTAAAGAAAATAAGTTCAATACCAGATTGCAAAATGTTTTAGTAAATCTCATGTGCAATAATAAGTGTACTTTAGGTTTAAACGCGAGTAGACGTTCGTAACACCAAGAAATATCTTTTTGTAGTGACAGGTTATCTTGTTGGAAAATACACAAAATAATGTCCATTTTTACAAATGAATTCTTTTGCTCATTTAACATTACTGGGTTGATTTTTGCATTATCGGAGAACAATAATACATATTTTTGGGGGATTTACAGAATATATATGCAAATGATCTCGATGAAATCATACATTATTTCAATTGATTATTGATCATTAATACTGTTTTTCTTTGTTTTTCTTACATCTCAATCCATAAGGATCAACCAATAGAAATGAATCCTGATGTTGAATTACACAATATTCAATCAATTCCTAATACAATTAGTGATAATAATAACAATAAATTTTATCAGTCGAATGAATTACAGGAAATGTTGACTCGACAAAATGTAATGAATTTCAATGATCCATCATTACAATTAAATCATGATACTGTTAATCAATTGTCCTTGAATGATATAGTCAATTTTATGAAAATGAAACAACTACCAAACACCATATCTCAGCACAATATTCAAGAAAGTGCAACTGATTCAACTACAGATCCACAATCTTTAGCGTATATGTTAAAAAATCAATTAGATGCTATCAATAATGAGATAAAATTAATCCAAGTAAGTATAGAAACATTATATAAATGATATGTATTCAATTTCTGAATGTATACAATGTGAAAGAAATATAGATGGAGAAGTGAAGCAACATTTATGAGAACTTGATTTTCAAAAAGTTAACAACAGGTTAGAATTCCACTTCACTTAATTCAGTTTGAGATAGTGGATACTGTCATTGACTTCACTTGAATATCTGGGCTACCTGTTCCTGCCATCTAGATATTTCAACAAGTTATCCGCCTTTCATGTTTCAACAGATCATTATTTCAATTAATTGCACAACTTATTCAGGTGCATTTGTGAACATTTCACGAATTTTCTCTGAATAAGTTATGAAAAAGTACAATCAGATACAATGTGGTTGCTGGCAATATACACCGAAATGAATGTTCATTATTCAGATGTCGATTCCTGAACTGCTAACATCTAATTGGCGATCACTCAATATTTATCGTCAGGATCGATCAAAATATATGAAACGTAAAATTGTTGAAATACCTTGCGCTGAGAATTCTATATTTTATCAAAAATATGATATTGAATAAAGCTAATAGTAATAATAACAATAATTATAATAAGTGAAAGCCTGATGCGTAAATATGTACTAAGTACATGACTTAAATTATATAGAAAAATAGATTAAAAAGAAATATAAAGCATGGTATTATTACTTATGAAGGATTTAAATGTTAATTACAAAGTGTTCTCAAATTATTTATTTGTTTTAATAAATGCATTTTCCAAAACATCGTATAAAACGTGCTTACTCATAGCCATACAAAAAAAATACAGGTCCCACAATCTGCATGAAACAGTTAGACTGCTGACAGTTAACAATTCGAACTTCAAGCGTGATTGTCCGAAAATAGAGTAAGACTTTCACATTGGTAAACACATTTAAAAAGCACACCTATTATTTATCAGCGAAGACTATGTTTGGTAAACCGAACGTACTATGACACAACAGTTCAAATTATAAATGAACCTCATTTATAAGTGTCCCTAGATAGAAAAATAAGTACACAATTATATTGCTCATGGCTAATTATCATCTAAATCTTGTAAACTAAAATGTTAAGCATCGGTCTAAATGTTCATAATTAAATTATTTAATAAGTTTTTTATAGTCGAACCCTGAATAAGACCGAGGTATACTTATGCTTGAGAACTTGTCAGTTTGTTTATTACGTTCTAAAAATAACATTCCTGTGGGACAAGACACACAAAACTCTTGCTTTCAACAAGGATACGAGAAAGATGAGAGGGAAGCGATTAGGAATTCGATCTTCAAACATTAAATCATCACTTATCACTTAACGAAACTGCAGGTCGATTTTATGACCGTTCACAGAATATGTCTAAATACATCATGATTTCTTTGTATCCAACTTTTTTTTAGCACGAGAAAGCCACTACAGAAATGCTAGCTGATGAATTAAAGGGACGATTTGGTACGACGGATATAAGTGTTGATAATATAAATAATGAATTTGAGACAAAGAATCAGTATGCTGAAAATCGACCCGATGGGAATGATGGTAATAATAATAATCAAGCGGATCGAAATGGCAATGTAAGTAGTATTTGTACCATTGTTGAAAACAACCGTATAAAATCTAAACATTTGGCATATACAGTATATCCTGTTCTAAGTGTTTACCAAGTCGATGATGGAAGAATCATCGTAAATTATTTACCACGTTTGGGTTTGCTGTCTTGTTAACTAACTAAACATGACAACTGATAAATAATGTGTTATTTGTTGTTATTTTATCATTTGGTATGTTGTTGTACCTGTGCTTTACATTATATGATTACAGATAAATAACATTGAAACTCACTCTAAGGCACTTTATATTTGAGAATAGTTAGTTTAGTTTAAGTCCTATGTAGACTAATCTACTATAGCACAACTTAATATATATCAAAAATACAATTACAAATACTGTGGCTACATTTATCTAGAGAACCTATACACCATCAGAATATAATTAATTTAAATCTGAAGTCAAACATTTGGGTTATTCAAGTACTTATGGTAAGAAGTGACTATGAAACTAGATAAATGCAAATAAATTAATAACATTTAGAGAAATCTTGCCAAACTATAACTATACTTGCACTCCGTAACATGTCTTAAAAGAATTTAAATTTACGAAGATGAGTATCTGACAATTCAACATCTATTTTACTATGATTAGTAAACTAAATATGTCACTTTGATATATGGTTGTAATATGAAAAGACATAACTGATTATTATCTAACTAGTAGTTAGTATATAAAATGAATGAGGAAATAGTTAATCATTAAGTAGACAATGTATTTTTATCTCTGATTAGAAAATGGATCTTTAGTTCAGTTTAAGGTAAATACAATCATATTTCTTTTTTACACTGACACAGCTTATCACAAACACTTATGTCTTATCATACAAGATATTTGTTAGTAAATTAATAATAATAATTTATAAGTCAAAATAAAGCTTACGGTAAGAAGAATATGAATATACATAGTTTAGTTACTTAATAATTACGCAATAAAAAGATACGTTTAGTATTGGTCCATAATGGATCCCAAAAGTTACCATTCATTATTTTTATCGGGACATAACATTTCCTTAGAATATGTGAATTACAAATAAACTTTAACAACACCAGTTCATCAGAAACTCACTTATTTTATACTTGTATAATATTCAACAAGAAATTGTGTGCCATATAAGTTTAGTAATATCAATATAAATTGTCTTGCATTACATGAATAATTCAACAAATGTTCCATATACTATTAGTTTATACATTTTAACGTATTTTCTAAGAATTCAAAATACTTGATGTCGTGAATTTCTTCAATCATCAATAAATTAAATCAATTTTAATTTAATGGTTACGACAAGTTGTAATAAGTCCAACCATCAGTTTGATCAGTACAAATGAAAAGATTTAAAAATTGATGAGCAAAATAAACTGAGAACATTTAGACTGATTTGATCATATTATTATGCAGTCAAATATTCTAAATGCACTGGACGCCGTTCCGTCCAAATTAGGATGGCCTGGTTTAGATCGATTCATGAATTCAACTGCTAAAATTACTACAATCTCCACAAATCCCCATTATTATTTGATTGGCTGTTGAAAACTAAATTTTATTTAAAATACATATTTTAGAGTACGGAGTGTTGTAGAAATCTTTCTAATTTATAGGTGAACATGTATTGATCTCAGTTAGGGAATGACTAAAAGACAAGCAGAATCAAACAATCGTTTCATTCCAGCGGAGAACTTCAAAGAAATCCTCTCTTAGAAGTCCACTAGACATGGAACCCAGAATTTTCAGGTTCTTAACCCGAAAAAAATTTATTTTACTTAATTTATTTTACCTGTTCTAGTTGATATATTCTGTTTCTACTATTTTTTAAAATTAAAATATTATGTCCAGGCAAACAATAATTTTTATGAGCTATTTTTTCAATTCTACATGAAAATTGTAGGATAATACTTATTGATAAGTTAAAATAGTGTAAATTATTTATATTTTGCTATATCTTGCTAAAAAGTGTAAATCTTTCAAGGTGAATTCGTCATTTTACTTGTAACGTTTAACTTGTAGAGGCTAGTATCCCCTATATCTGATTCCAATAAACAGTATCCGATTAACTGAGTATTTAATACAGGCTAAATCTCCTAGTAGAATTATAGATTTACTCGAAGTTATTCAAAAAGCCTGAAAACCAGTTATAAAGATAGTTTATTGTTAAAGGTTGGTAAAATCTGCAAGCGTACAGGAAGCAAGCACACAGGAAAAGCAGGAGTGTGTGTGTGAGTGTTAATCAAGTATGGATAAATTATTGATTATCTTGGTATTACAACCAATGGGAGGATCGATTAAAAATTGATATGCAGATAGGTGCTCAATTAGACTCACACAGAAAATTACATAGTGGATCAAGTGTCTAAATTACAGTGAGCAGATAAACAATACAATAGTTAAATGGGCTTACTACGAACTCACTAAACTCTAACAGACGAAAAATATTTATTTAAACAGAAAAAACATTCTATATTTACAAGGAAGTAATACATGATATTTATTAATCTCAAACTAGAGTTAAATGATTTACTGTTACACTTGAAAAAATCTAATCATCCTTTTGACTCTCAATTTCTCCTATGCGTATAATGTCAATATTCAAGAAAGTAGTTTAATTAGTGAAATATATGTTTTAATCTGAATGACAGATTATGATGCAACGGAACGAGCATTATAGAAGTAGTAATTCATTAAATTATTTCATGAACCGTTATTATATACATTCCTATTGTATGATTGCAAAACAATTGGATTATTATGTTTTGGTATTCAGTTTAGTGAAGCTTCCATTGGACTAATTAACTATAACTAAATGTCTAATTATTACACACCGATTACTAATCAGTTGCTTATTGCTTACGCTTTGTCCTTACCACTTTCGACTTAATTGTGCATAACTATGATTTTCTATTTTATGATGTAATATAGTCTAATATGTCTGTATAACACTAATTTGTAGTTAGAATAATTGGAATAGAAGCTTAATTGGTGCACTCGCCTTTCGGGATCATGGCTGGAGGATCGATATGAGTTAAGCTTCAGTAACTGAAGGTTGATCGTCTCAATTAGAACATATCATCAGTCAAAGTTAAGGACAGTAAACTACAGAGGAAGTTACATATTCGTAGTAGGAAAATTATAGTCAGCATTATGATTTGGTCGTCTAGAAAGTGATACTGATTGACGTCTCAGACAACAGATTAGTGTTATGATTGAGGTGTCAATGTTTCCATATTATCGTTTTGAAAATGGGAATTATTCAGTCATGTAGAAAAGATATCATTTTTAAAAGTCAACTTATGGAAGACATATTAACGTATAAAACATATAATTAATTTTCTTCATGAATACATCAAGCAGTAATATTAATTATCGGTTAGAAAATATAAAGATTTAATCCCACTACGGCAATTATCATTTCTACAAGAAACATTTCTGTAAATATCTCGAAATTGCACATCAGATTACATCATAGCCCTAAACAGAATACTGTGAACATGCTATATGTTCTTTTATAAAATTTCCGAAGTGTACAATGATTACTACAGAATTTAATTTGCTACGTTAGTTCTGTTCATATCTGCCTATTTTCTGTTCTGTGGTCTTAGTAATAAATCTTGAAATGTCTTGACTAATTGTTATTGTTATCATTCCATATAAATAAGAGAACATTTATTTCTATTTTCGAACTCTAAGGCATTAAAAATGTGTTATATAGATTTTAGTTACACAGAAAACATCAAGTCTCAAGACAATATAGATAAGTCCAGCTCTCATACCTAGAATAAGAAAAGGAGTTTGTCTCAAGTTCTTTAAACAACTTATCTGAGAATTTTAGTGATTGCCTTAAACTTATTATTCAAGCTAAATAAATAATATTACGTTATCTAAATACTGTACACTAATTGGACATTCATATATGTCTTTCCATATAAGCCTTTTCCTCTAACCATAGTTAGATGGTGGAAATTATTACTGTTAATAAGTCAATTTAACCACTGTTCGTTTTAGTCCAATTCATATATTGATAAGAGTAATGTAATACTATACAGAAACTATTCTTAATTAGATAAATAGCATCTGTTATAAGAAAAACACAATATCTATGCATTTTGAAAACGAGTTGAGCCGTATATTATACACTTGGTGCGTATAAACTTCTGAGCGAAAGTATTTTGCCAAAATTGGATTACCCTATTGTCAAAGCAATAAAGATAGCTGATGTACAGGTTATGGAGAGATGACTTTAGTTTTAAGATGATAATCACTAAACACTGACTTCGATTCAGATATGTCTGGAGTAAAATAGTTATCCCCAGCTTAACCGATGATCGTTGCGTTAATATGAAAAAATGACTGAAGTAAAAAGTGTGTCACCCCAGTGGGCCAAGGATTTCGGAGAGACGCGAAAGTCCTGAATTCGACCCTTGATAAGTTAGTGAGCGAGCACTTCTCTCTAGTGCTCCCCGGTTTGCAGTAGTGTCTGAAGTAACATCGATCCGGGAAGAATAATACCTACAAAGTAAAAAAATGATTTCAAAAGTTGATTGGTTTGTTTTAATTGTAAATTTATGTTTTTCAACATAATCAGTAATACAGGATCATATACTCGGTTCCTTATTTCACACATTTTAAAACTTTATGATGATCAAGGTATGGAATTTAATTGGCAATCAACGATCAGTTGCTAAGTCTTGTTTAATGTACAAAAGTATAAGTAAACAATCCAAATTCCAATGGTAAAATGCATTACTTACTTTACGTTTTGTTCAATAGCATTTAATCAGCGTAAGTAACTATGGGACGTGTTCTAAGACACCTATCGCTTGCTGAGTAAGTAAGCAGGTAATACGATCATAAAACGTAGTGTTATGTTTCCTTTTATTTAATGGACTTCATAATTGCCTATTAGTTACTAGGATAAAACGGTCATCCAGTGCATCCAAGTTTTCAATGATGGTTTAACAATGATCACTCCATGATTTAAATGAAATTCTTAACCAATTATATATTACAGTGTAACTCTACCAAAGAACGAAATAAAGACTGAGTTATTCACCTAATTAATAAAATAATACCAACTTTATTTCCACTATTTCATTTGTTAGTTTTCTTTTCTTTTTTCCCTAGCTTACATTACATGATTTACTGGTATGAATGTTGAGTATTATTGTAAATTTGTTATTTTTCCCCATCTACCGCTCATTATTCAAACCAATTCTTGGAGTAGTTATGTTATAGCATGGTTTAGATTTTGTTTTGTTTGTCATTTGTAACCAGTTAATTTAATGAGCTGAATAAAACGATTGTAGTTAATTGCATGAATTGCATAAAACATCTGTTGGAATGTCAAAAGAAAAGTGAAATTATCCGCATGATTCTTGTGATTTTACATTTTTGAGTATATTTTGTAAATTCAAGAACAGTTCTTATAAAAATGGGATCAATTGAGTATCCATGTAAAATGAATAGCATACTGTAGCATATTTATTTGAAAGCAAAGTTAATCATTCACATTTAAAATGAATTCATAAATTTAAAAGAAGTATTATTGGGTGTGATTCGTGTCCTAGTTTACACTGACTGGTCTACTGAATAATCCTGGAAACCAACCTAATGTTTTTTGTAAACATAGTGATTTCATTGATCACTAGTATATTTATGCAAACTATAACTTGTGATCCATTTGATACTACTGATGCTTAAATATTCCATTTGAAGCGTTTTCATCAACAGACATTCAAAATTAAATAAGAGAAATAATTAGATGCTATATAAGAATTTTTATTATTTGTCAATCAATAAAATAAGTTCTGATTATTTGTTAGAAATTATAACTGTTTATGTTAACAAAGTCCATAATATAAACTAAACAGAAGAAAATAATTTGTCATAGATTATGTTTAAACAATCTTGTAATTATATGCAGAAATGGATGGTGACTAGAAGTGGAATCTAGGACGTACATTTCGTCCTATTTGTGACTTGTCAGTTGGATAACAACCAGTACAAATGAATAAATCTTATAATTGTATGCAATGGATAGACTACAATCTAAGCTAGTATAGCAATTATAGGATTACGCTTTTAAAAAATGTTTACATAATATTTATCTTTTATACGACGACTTGAACCCATGAACTATAAATTGCCTTATTATGAGTGAATCTTATATTTCTGGGAAATAAGCATTAGTTGTTTTACAATATTCGTATTAATGATGAAGATAGTTTTCAATTATAACATAAATTTGTGTTTAGATTTGACAGGAAATAGTCGTACACAAGAATTATTTCGATATTAGGTAACGAAAATAAAAATATTGAAATGTTTAACAGTTACCTTTAACACTTCCCTTTGTCTAACGAACGTATTTGGTTGAAATATAACCACACTTCTGAGTTATGTTGTTATTTGTAAACTTAGTTTTACATAAATGTCTACGGATATTATGAGAGTTTTTAGAAAAATCAATTACGACAGTGTGGTAATAAAACACTTCATATTATATAATTTTAAATTGTTTGAGGAAATTTATGTGCTTCTGACCAACAAAGCGTATTCGTAATCTTATTTAAATACAGTATTTAAAAGCATTTTACTTACAGTGTTAGCATTATTGCAAAGATATATGGAAAAAAGAAACATATGGGATGACGGTGGTTTATTCGAATTGATGGTTGAAAAGATGTGTACAATTGTGACTATAGTTTTCATTGCAAACAACTATCAGCTGCATTCAAATCGCCCTAACGATCGCTTCATGAAATGAGGCACTGCATTCACAACAAAGTTTAATCATTATTGAATCACACCAGTATGGTCATGATGTCCCACTAGGAAAACCAAATATCCCTGTTTAATATCTTTTCCTCAAATATACTACTATTCGACTAGTTGTATTGTTAGCAAGGAGACACTAATAGATATTTGGACACTTTTATTTTAAGATGTTCTGTAGATATATCTTGTGATCTAACTTTGTCTTCGAAAGCATTTCCTAATATCATAGATTACATATATGAACTTGAGTGCAACGTCTTATTCATTGTAAGTTATCAAAAATATCCGGTTTTAGGAATATCAGGAATATTGGTTGAATACAATGAAGTACTAATATTCTGAAGTGGGAAAATATCAAGTTGTATATATGAATGCCCAAAGATCAAATAATTGAATTAAAATGCATGAATGGTTCGTTTATGTTTCATACTTTCACTACTGAGATATTTCTACCCTCTTGATTATTGTTATGAAATGTTGGATAAAGATCGTTTAATGTATATTGTGTACAGTCATAAGCTTCCAACTTTTAGCAATCTTACAGATACTGTATATTTAAACTCATATACGAATCTAAGAATTATTTCACTGTATAATTGAAAAAACCAAATCCATCAGAGAAGTTTCACGTTCTTTTTTTTACTAGTATTGTCATAGTCTCTTAATCATGCCAGTGAGGGATTTTGAACATAAATTTAGGCAAAATGTTCATTTATTATTAACAGCGTTATTAGTGTTCTTGCCTAATTTAATAAATATTTTGTCATCGCTTACAAAATGATCAGCAAAAATGTACATGTTACTACTCCACCATACGAACTGTCAAAGTGATCAATTAAAAAGCTTATGTAGATCAAACATGAAACTCTCTTTGCTGAAAACTCATTGATGAGATACCACAACATACTATATATGTGACATTTATTCAGAATTTAAACAGAGAAACTTTAATTTAGCTATATGTAAATATCATTTTTCCTCGTGTGATGGACAACAAAATCTGAACTATTTTCATTTATATACGAGGTTCTTAATGATTTGCGGGTGATACCACGATTACATCAACCAAGCATTACAGAAATCATGAATAAATTCAACAAACCTCCGTTTCAGTATTTAAGAATCAATATTAAACCACTCTGTTTACTTTTACTCAAACTATATACTTAAGCATTACATTAGCATCCCCTTTCTATATTCTCTGTTTACTATACTGATATTTTGCGATCATATATTTATATAAATTATATATTCCAAGCCCGTATTATGTTCACTTATAACTCTCGTGCTTCCAACAGCAACATCATACATACATACACTTATCTTTTATTTATTTGACCTCATAATTTTACTGACCACTCATCTTGTACTCATCAAAAACAGGGTCAATAGTTAATCCACTATTTACTTTGTAACATTTCACAAGTCGGATGTTATCGATTCATGTAGTCATAAAATAGATTCAATCAAATCTTTTATACATATTTATAAATTTACAGTTATACAGCTTGAATAGAAAGTCATTTAAAACGATTGTTAACATAAATATTCATAGCTGCAACATCATTAATCATTTTAGAGAAACCATCTAGGTAAATTATAACGGTACAATAAATACTTAAATATCGCTGAATTTAGTTAGATTTGTTATGAAATAGTGTAAAATTTTTTACACGTACATTTTTACAAAATAATGTACCAAAGAAGATCAGATAAACAGGCAGATATCTCGAAACCCAGATGAGTTTAAGAAAAGACAAAATAAACGTTCATTGAACAAAAACATAACATCAAAATGTTGTAGGCCATGTTACAGCAGCTTAATGTTCAGTATGAAGTTACTTTTTTGTTGTTTGTACTCAGTCATGATGAATGTAGTAGTTTCTAGGCTGCTTTTTAATAATGGATGAATATAGAATAATTTTTAGACAACTATCAAGCTAAATACTTTGATACATATTTGTATTTATTAACAAGTGTCAACTGTTTGATTCGTGGTTTGGTTAAAATGATAATGCAGGTTACGTTACGTATGCTAAAAGCGGTTCTGTGTTTCAAAACACGTTCGATTCTTCGCATATATTTTCCTTAGGATTCCAGGTTCACCTTACTGATGGGTGTTAACTAGCTTGGGACCACGACTTCATCATTCCATTAAACGAACAAAGTACATGAAATTCAGATGTTGAGCTTTAGTAGATGACTGTGACTATCGGACAGCATACTTTATATGATGAGAAACTGAGTTAAATAGCTCACTAGAAATTTATAAGCAAAGATGGACAGTGGCTAGCAGTGGAACCCAGGACGCGCGTTTTGTCCCATTCGGACTAGTCAGCTGGGCCCTGATAGACACTAGCTTATGCAATAGGACTGAGTAGCTAGGCAGATAACGTGATGGCGTTTAAAGTAAACGGTTCTGAGTTGGAATACCGGAGTGAACGTCAACTCGGATGAAGTTACGCACAGCTGAATAGCCCCAAATAGAAAGAAATGTGCGTCCTGGATTCCCCTGCTTATAATTTTTGTGACTTAAAAGCGGTATCCAGGCAGACTTAAGAAGACCACACTTAGTTTGGAAATCGGTTTCTCTGTGATTTACGAGCAAATAAGACAGCCTAATTTATACCATCTTAGTGTTTAGCATATAAAACTACTTCTTAATTTGAATTAACCATTAATAACTCATATGTGTGCCTACTTTTCTTATCATTAAAAGCATTCATCAGAGCCCTCTGCTCTTGCTTCTTTGGGCAATTTCAACTGCAGAACTACAACAGTTACTACTCAAATGAATATGGGTATTTATCAAAACCCACCAATTAGCTATACGCAAAACTTTCCAACAACTTACACACTAACGCCGCATCCATCCTATTTAGGATATGATACACGACTGCGTGCACCAGTAATGAATCCTATGGCTATCCGACAACCGGGACAATCAAAATTATATAATCAAGGAGTGTTTATCCCTAATCCCAGGTATACTAGTGATCATAATGTAATTTTTTCAACTGGAACTGCTCAACTACCAACTTTATCAAATTTTCACGATGTGGACTATAATACGCGGTAAGTTTATTTTAAAGAAGTAAATAAATAATTGTCATTACTTTTATTGATCGAAGAAAATAAAATGATTCTAGATTTTTAATGTATTTTGTAAAGTTAAAATTACAATGAGTTACTTAATATTACTATTCTTTTTCTTAATTTATTTACTCATCTTAAAAGGAAACGTGCACAAAATGATCTTTCAATGACTACATACGATAGCACAGTCACAACCACAACAATAACTGGCACACGAGATGATTTAGGAAATACAGAGTATTCAGATAGTAGTCAAAGGGAAAATGAACGTAAACGATCTATTTTCGGGACATTGGGTCGTATGTTCAAGAGACCAAATCCTGTAAATGTAACAAACTCACAGAATCAAGTGGAAAGTACAGTGAAATCAGTAGTTTCAAACAATCAACAACCTTCATTGAGATTTCATTCTAATCCATTAACTCATCTATCCCGTCATTATCATGTGTATAATATTCCTCAATCAACCTCAGTTCATAGATCAGACGAAAGAAATAGACTAACTAATGTTGTATACTCTTCACAAGATTCAGGATTTTCGAATATGGCACATTTCAATCGTTCAGTTTATCCAAACAATTTTTCTCAATATCATGTACAAGAAGGAACATCAAGATACAGTCCGAGACCTCCATCACACCATAGTTATTTTGGCAAAGCGAAACCTGGTATTTATTCTGCAGATGTAGGTACTAACCAAGAACAAAGTGCAATTCAGCAGTCAGTTTTATCACATACGATGAACTCTCAAGGTAAGTGTTTTGTGTAATTGCTATAATTTTGATGTATCACTAAATGGCGTAAATTTCTACAAATCACGTTCAAATTGTCATACTTCCTGATTTCCACTGCTTGCTTAGTTAAAGTCTTTTGGATAGAGGATGGGAGTGGAATCAAGAATATGCTATTCAGACTACTTCATGCTAGTTGTTTGGATGTTTACACTGAGATTTGAACTATGCACTCATGACTTTAAACGCCAGCGACAATAAAATATGAATTTATTAATTCAGTTACTAGTCATCATTTGAAATATAATTAACTTGTGACTGCAAGTATCATAAATTTATCTGTCAACAGAGACTATTCAAATATTCACAACGTGGAGGTACACAACAATACATTATGAAATAACTTTTGGTTTACTTTGTGGTGCATTTACAAACCAAATAGTCATTGGATTTGAGAGGTTTGTTTATATAAAAGATAGTTCGTCGACAATACATCGTTTACTGTGATTGAGTAAACCATTTAGTATTTATTAAAATTTTGTAACTTAAAGTTTTTCTTAGAATAATTTCCCTTTTTTTTAAAACCCATATTAAATGTTAATAAAGTTCAAAGAATAATCAAGTTTAGTGACATTTCTCGTCATGGACCGAATATAGACATTATTGACATAGTTAGGAATCAGTTAATGTAAAACCAATAAAGTTTTCAATTTAGTAGTCACTTACACTTTAATTATGAAGTCTGTCAATCAATAATTATATTTGAATCATATGTGAAAAGTTCAATTACAAACATTGGATTCTTTAAAAAAAAGTTGTATAAATCTTAGTCGTTCACACTTCAACTATCAGTTACCCATAGTGTATATTTAATTGTGATCCAGAATCAATAAAAATAACTAAACGATAACCCTGAAAAAACAGTTTCCTTAATAAGTAATATATAGTATAATCAGAGTAATATATTACAAGTCACACTTATATTAAATATCTAGGTTACTTAATAAGAAAACGAATTATTGTACAAATTGAAGTATATTAATATTTTAAATATTCTTTGAGAGCAAAAATATTTTTATAGCCAACATGATTATCAAATGTTATCCATTAAAACAGTATGTCCGTTTTTTTAACATTTTATTCTATCATTAAGCTGCTCTTGGACCGAAACAAACTCTTGAGGATAGACAGAAATCTCAGTAAGTAAACTTATATATATATAGGTTTATGTGTTAATGAGTGTAAACAACCTTTTGTTCAGTTTTCTGGTTTCCTAATTGTGTTACAATGATTTTTAATCATTTTTATGAAAGAATGTCCACTTGAAAACCAGTAAAACATGATGTTAAGACATTTTATTTTGAACTAATGAAGTTTTGTTTTGAGTGTACTTTGTTGGATTAAAAATAATTGGATTATATTCAACAAGTAGAACAATATTGACAAGTAGTTAGGAAAACGTTTCCATATAATTTATGTATCATGTTTTAAATACATACTGAGGAAATGATTTTCAGAAAGTTATAACTTATGACTTTCAATTAAATTCTATTTGAAAACATTTGAAGGTTAGTCTATGACAGTAATATGAAGTTTTTTAAAATGAAAATTTACTGCTCTTCTACATTTTGGAAGTTGATGATACACAGTACATACATACGTGCTATAAGCATAAAACTACGGATAAATATATACGATGAAAACATAAAGAAGCAAAGAATTTAAACACATAGTATAAAGACATTTTGAAAACAATCACAACAACATTGTGCATTAAAGCTGAATGATATAAGCCTTATGTAGAAACATAATGTTAATGAAACTGATCTATGCCACAAATTGTATTGTATGATCATTTTTTTAAAACTCGTCATCAAGAACTTGACATTTTATTTCATCGAAACGTTTGAGTATACCTACTAACTTGTTTGAAAACTGCCGTTCTAATAGAACAAGATTATGTGAGTTAAGAATGTAATTATGAAATAATTTTTCTTTACGTTCTACAGTTAGTTATATACATATGAAATAAATGAACTCAAAAACGTTATTTCCGATAACCGTTGGAAAAAACACTTTCGAAATGTTGTTAACCTGTAGTTGTCAGGACCTTGAATTAATCATACTTGCCATTTGCATGGTGTTTACAAAAATAGTCTCCTTTTTTCAATTAAAAGTTTTTTACTTGAAATATTGAACTATCCTTTATTTTACATGCTTTTCACTTATGTTATTAAGTTAATTATACTCATTATTAATTGACTTACCTTTTTGAATTATTATTATCAGCGTTTTATAGTTTACTTTCTGATAATGATTTACCTAAAAATAGTTGATTCTATTTCCTGTTCACTAAGTACATCATTTTGTACAAATAAAACCGCAAACACCCGAACTTAGTATCTTCAGGTTTTTTGGTGAAGACTATCATTTGTCAGTTGACTTTTTATCGTTTCCCATATGATTTCAATTCTAATATTGAACTATTCCATTAAACAGTCATATAAACTGCTTTTTTGAGTTAGCTGAAAAGATATTTGTACGTTTTTATTACTTTGAAAATCGATTCACTGAATATAGATTCCATTTGCTGAGTTAATACTTCTGTTTTATTTTATGTGTTTTGAATAAACTGTACTTTCTTGACATTTTTTTTTATTATTTTAAATGTTCTGAATAGAAAATTGTTACTTGAAGATACTATACGCAGTAATTTACCATTTACTTCATGGAGTAGTCCCATATTAGTTGCATGGTTAAAAGTAAGTAAATATTCTAATATGAAACATAATATGTGTGACAAACATATTGATTTGTTAGGGTGTTTTGTTGAAGGATCCGAAGGTGATTTTTAACATGAACTGACGTCTTTTAGATAATTATTAGGAGTTAGAAAGTGTTCAATACCGTTCTGTTTACACAGTCATATGATTAAATACTTAATTATGATATTACCAAAATATGTTTCTCTGTTTAACGTTATTTCAGTAGAGATTTAAAATTATTAAGAAAATATTTCCGAAACTAATAAACATTTAGTTGGAATAGGAAACTTATTTCTAAATACAAACATGTTTGAAAACTATTTATCTCACTATCCACTATAATCAAAATTGCAATACCTGTATAATATCATGTAAGACATAATTATCAACTGTGATTCCAGTGTATGACATACGGATACACATTTGAATCCACTTAATTCTTATGATCGTAAGTACTTACAGTATATATATGCTTTAATATTTTTAATTAATTTATAGTCATTTTTTTACTGAGTCTCCTCATCTTTTAAAAATCCATCACGCCTTTAAATCTACATTACTATCAGAAAAGTCAATGTTAATAGAATAAGGTTAAGCGTCTGTACAATAAACTCACAAAATGAGTAAAAAAATAATGCGATTGATTAAAATGTTTAAGTTATTTGATACTTTCCAATGACAAATATTATCTTACATATAACATTCCGTTCAATCATCTAACTGTGACTTGGTTGTATTTCTTCATTGAATTTATCTAACCTTTGATGAATTATTTAAATAATTAAATTTCTAATATTAATGATGAAATCGTAAAAATATTTTCTTGAATTTACACAAATAATATCTTCTACAACTGTTTAGGTTTCTTTTAGTAATGAAATAAACCATATGAACATTATTCAGTTATCCTCATATTGAATAAGAAAAAGAGAATTCAACGAAGAAGAAAATTTTCATTTCGACGAAATCATTTCCTTAAGCTGGACATTCGTACATATAGTTATCTGGAAAATATATGTTTATAGGAGGATAGAAAAGATTGCATCACAAAAATGGATTCGAGACTAAATAAATCTGATCCATAAATTATTTTCTTCTTTACCAATTGGTTAGTACGTAAATTCATTTGTTATTTAGTCTTAAATCCGTTTATGTGATGTAATCTTTTCTATCCTCCTATAAACATATATTTTCCATATAACAATATATACGAATGTACAGGTCAAGTAAATGATTTCGTAGGAAGGAAAATCTTCTTCTTGTTATGTCCTTAGACTGTCTACCCACTTTTGGTGCTGATGATACTTATCTAATCCAGATTAAGACCTTGGCGCGATAGGCTGACCGACCTAACACGGAGGCCAGTACACGTGAGTTCGAAGTGGGGTAGAGAGGAGAAAACTATTCTATCAATGATTGGCTAACAAGCACGCGATTGAGAGAAGACAAGACAACTGGAGCACTACTCAATCTATTCCCGATAACCTGATTTTCTCTTTGGATTAGTGTAAAAAAAAGGTACATGAATAAATAGGTGACTAACCCGACCACAACGTACAATAATTAGGAAAAACACAATTATCTCCAAAGCCAGGAATTAACGTAGAAAATAGGGTGCAAAACATTATGTTTAAATTACAATAGCTTCGGATCAGAAGGGTTATGGCAATGAATCATATATCAAACGAAAGCTTATGTCCTGTAGAATAGATTAGGGACAAAAATAAATGTTAGTGTTTTACAGGCTTTGCATAAAATGAATTAATGTCCCGAAAAATAGCTTTTCGTAGTTTTTCAGAGCTTCTTGTTTCCCTGTTCACATCACTTCTTCATTGAATTCTCTTTTTTTTATTCAGTGACACTATGAGTTATTTTAATTATCCTCATATTATTTATTAACAACGTAAAAATATCTAAATAATAAATAAGTAAATAACAAGAGGAATAATGACAACAAAAAAGTAATTGATTAATTTGATTTTTCAATATTCAATTATTCATTTATATATAGATAATATCTAGATTACAATGTAAATAGAATTCTTTATCAGTTGCTTACATCTCTTTTAATTTAGTTACACTAATTAATATTGAATAGAAGGCTTTGCTAATTATTGATTTATGTTATTATTATTGTGAATGAAATAACTTTCTTAATGAAGAAATAAATTTCAAAACTTAATTGTTTTAATTTTAATTTATTTATCAAGACATTAAGTTGAAGCATGAATTAAAAAGTTATTCTTTTATCTTTATTAAAAGATGTAGGTAAATTGATGAAGTAATCGACTATTCTAGTTTGTTTTAAAAGAAAAGAAAATTATGAATACTTTAATTCATAAAGAAAATATTCAGGTTGAGAAACTTACATAATATTCCATTTAAGAAAGATGAATTAAAATGATCTATTAGACTATCGATTTTTATAATAAATTGATAGATTGTTTGAATCAATGTCTAATGTGTGACTGAGTGACAGTTATTCATAAAAACTGAATTATCATATTCGATTCGTTCAGTGAGATAAAAAAATACACAGTTCACTGTTCACTGTTTATGAATGAACTCATGTAAAACTTAATAGAACAATTTAAACATGATTGAACTTTATTTAGTGATGTGATGAAAATATTCGAATGGCATTGAACATATTGAACATTAGTCTGTCATTCATTTTAACCTTTTAAATATTCTTCTTCTTCTTCTTCTTATTCTTATTATTCATATTAATTAATGCTGATTTGAAGAAGAAAAATATTTAGTCATCTATTATTTCATAGTAACATACAAACAAATGAGTCCTTCTTCAGTATTCATGCTATCTAAACCCTATAATTAAAAGTTTCAAGATCCAGATTAATAAATTATAGAACGAGTAGAAAGGAAATAAATGATTTCTTTTATTTATTTATTTTTATGGATCATTGATTTCTATTAAATTTTTTGCATAGATTTTTTAGATAAATATAATAAAATTAAACTATTTATTACTTATTATTATAGCTATGGGTTGGAATGCCAGCATGGTATGTTGCAGCTTGTGAAGCAAATATTAAATCTGGTGCAATGCTTGCCTCTTTATCTGAACAAGATATTCAAAGAGAGTTAGGTATACGTAATCCTTTACATCGTCTAAAGCTTCGTTTAGCTGTACATGAAATGCTTGCATTTACTGCATCATTAACAGGTACAACGACGAATCCAATTAAAAATGGTGAAACATCTACCTCTATGAAACAATTACACTTAGCTTCCCCACTTATAAAGGTAAATATTTTATACTAATTAATAGTTATTTAATTATTTGAAAGTAATTATAATAATGAATCGATATTATTTGAATTATTATTATTATTATCGAAATTCTAATAAAAATTAGAAATTCTCAAACATTTCTTTAGTACATCTACTGACTAAGAAAAGCTGCCGTTACCATTTAAATTTAGTGTTCTTTAGTTGATATTCTACATGTAACATTGAAATTAATCTCTGAAAATGAGATGAAAAGATGCTATGAAATAGTTCCTAAATATCTTATTTGCTTTCATTTCGCATTAATTAGTTGTTCATAACGTAAATTTAATTATTTTATTTAATTGTGACACAACAACCAACATCAGTATAAATTTAAAACGAGATATGAATTATCTGTACATCCATAAAAAGAAGTTAATAAATTGTGAAATATTCATGTGATGTCTTTGAAATAAACGGTTGATAATCTTGCATTAGCTTACGGTCGAATTAAAATTCCAGTATAAAGGTTTGTGGGGATTACTGAACATTATTAATATCAAAGACTAACTTAGGTTAGACAATCAATGAAAAGCATAAATAATAAGACATTTTTTTGCACCAGTATGAGACTTCTCAGTAGTGAATATACGTGGCTCGATGAGAGATTGAACACAGGACTTTCAATTTCTGTGGAAAGCCGTTAACCTTTAAACCACAAATCAACCATCCAATAGTGTACATACATAGGTTCAGTTAATAACATTCAGTGATCCCATAAAAACTCCATGCTGATAAACATCATGAGTTCGTTAGTAACTAATTTCGAGACGTACCTCCCGAGATTCTAACGCGAAGCCGTGATCAGTGGAGGTAAACGGTATCACGTATTACACAACTACCCACCAAAGAAAATGGAAGATGATTGATCAATATAGAGGGTTGACCTGTTCATATTACGATGTGGTATCTATTTATCTTATAAAAAAATACAAAGCCACAACAATCCTGTGAAGAGCATTATTAATAATCAGAAGATGAAGTCATATGTGATACATTACACGTGATACGAGTCTGTATCGATTTGTATGTACATCAAAACAATTAAAGTTGTCTACTGAATACTGCTTTATGTACTTTGCTTGGAGTGATACAATTTTTGAGGGACCTGGTATTATGCGTAGTCCTTCGGAAACCGAAATCGGTGAGTCAGGTTCGAACCTATGACTATTTGTTCGAAAACTGAATATCATCACTCCAGTGATAATTGATAAAACGAGTTAGATTCAGATGAAAAACGTTAGGAAATCAAAACTTCCAGTTATAAAATAAGTAATGATAATTGTTTGTTTGTGATACCTGATTACTGTATCTTTAAACTTCAGACAGAAATGTAAGTTACTTTTGGTTAGAGACCAGTTGTCGTCCACTTATGACGTTTTATTATACAACAGGTAAAATTTAAGGCTCTTTATAGACTTTTCGTAGTCATATTTTAATACATAGTTTACAATAGTATAATTAACATTAAAACAGTTGTGTTTTACATTCTTTATTCACATTCAACTCCTCACCAATAAACAATTTTTCATACCTCTACCCTTCGAACTCCTCAAACCTATCCCCCAATGATTTAAACAACTTTAAAAATGGTATAATAGGCTACTATGGTTTTATGATGAACATAAAAGCCAATAATTTGTGAGTGATTACCTTTTTAGTGAAGAGAAAATTCTAGTAATCATAATCTCTCATTCAGACTCAAGTTCGAATTTGATTACAGAGTTAACTTGTTTATCAGCATGCTGTATTTTCATCCGTTTGAGGAGAAAGTGTGCGTCCAGACATAATGAGCACATATCCTTGATGACGACTGGACGACTTACTTACTTACTTACTTACGCCTGTTACTCCTCGTGAAGGAGCATAGGCCGCTCACCAGCATTCTCCATCCAACCCTGTCCTGGGCAATCCTTTCCAGCTGGACGAACCACAGTTTTATTAATTTTTAGTCATACCCTCAAAATTTGTCGTAAGAGATAAAAAACAGATAGCTACTATCGCCTTAATGTCAACCAATTGCATTGGTTCAGAAGTATTTAGACTTACCATTCATATTTATTGTAGAACAACAAGTCCGTAATGCCCTAGTCTTTACGTAAACCCTCACCTTACCGATGTAATTTCGGATAAATATTACTAACTTTGGAAAAAGCTCTGATCACATTTCACATCCTTCAGTTAAAATAACGTGATGGTTATTTGGTATGAGTTAATCATCAGTTATCAGTAGAAATTTTGATTTCGATTAGATCAGGTTCAACGTTTACAATTATCAAACCACATTTATGAAACTGAAACTCTTAACGTCATCCAGATTAATAGGAAAGTATTTCCTTATGGTATTTTTTATTTAGAGAAAAACACAAATTATCGGATTCTCTCAAAGTTCTAATCCGCATCTCGAACAAATAAACGAATAATTAGTTGTTTTTCTGTTTCAAAGAGCGAGTCACGATTCTTCACATCTATTTCAAGCAGTCTCAAATTAACTCGGCGCCCAAATATTGTGAAACTATTCGTTCAAATTTAGACGAAAGTTCTTATTTAGTCCAATAGTTAGTTTTAGCCTTGATAGAACAAATTTATTTCTTCCTCAATGCTTATTGTCTTTTCAATAGGAAATAGTATAAAGATCGCGTTATTTTAAATTTCATTGGTTGATTGTTTACAACCAATTGAAATTAGATAGAGAATTGTCATTTTGAGTACACAAATACAAATGAAAAGTAGGTGGTTAAGTGATACAGATTTACCATTCAATCATACATAATATGATAAGAGTGCATTTCTAACATGTTCAACTAGGTTTTCTGATTTATTTCTTTCTTTCTTTCCTGAATGTCTAATACAACATCTATGTCTCAAAACGTTCCCAACATACACTACTATTATTCTTATTAGTATAAATCCACGCACTAATTTCTTGACTGTTTGAAAGGATTATTACTATTGATTCATAATCTTTAGTGATTCAAAAATTTTCAATGATACAGTTCTTTGATAAATTGGGATGTAAACATTTTCTTCACTGGATAATATAATTTTTTTTCAGAAGTGAAATTTATTTTTCACACGTCTTGACATTTCTTGTCCCAATTGTCGATAGTTTTGTATATTTAACAACGATTAGAATATATAACATTTCTTCACGTGATATGAATAAAGATAAAATTTAACATCATTTATGATTCTAGATAGTTTTAACTTCAGTTTGTTAATAGCTCATGATTTAAAGATCGATTTACTTTAGAAAAGAAATACTAAATACAATTAGTCTATATTGAAATTGTTTGAACATACAATGATTAAATACTAAATCAAAGAAACCAATATTCAGTTTTCATAATAACCCTTTATGATGATACTGGCGAGTTGTCACAGTGTATCCACTCAATTGCTGAAATCAACTGTCGTTAAAATATTTCAACTAGATAATTAAAAAGTTCATTCGAAAATTTGTTTAGTTTCATATAATAGTAAATGAAAGTGAACAAATTATCATCTCTAATGCATTCTTCACATATTAAGTATCTGAAGAATAGTAATCTTTTGTCGATATAGGTTTTTGTTACTAAATAAGTAAAATATAAGTCAACTATTGGTCATTCTAAATTTCTTCGAATACACTCGTAAGATTTCGCATAAAGGAACGTGATTGAGCTATTAATGTATTAAAATGACATATGTTACTTAAACAACATTTATTAGAGCGTCGTCGATAATGAAAAATCAAGTTTCCTGGATCAATTGACATACCAGCGTATATATATATATATATATATATATATATATATATATATATATATATATATATATATATATCACAATTCCAAGGCAGTGTGATCTAAACAGATTGCTTGTTTGTTTACCCCTTAGCCTCAAATTTTATCACATTCATTGAAACACATATTCAATTTCTGTCACATAACAAGCTACTTTTTCTACTTTCTATGGGTAAACAACCTAACATTTTACAATTCCCTCTGTCCAATTTTAAAAGGAAGAAAGCGTCTTATTTTCAAATTGAATAATTATTTCTAAATTAGTAAACTGTTTGAATAAGTTGTCTGGAAAGTAAGTGGCTTTTTTATGAATTAATTAAGTTATGAATCAATTTATTAATTCACTTCGATGTGTTTGTATTCCTGTAAATGATACAAAGACGTATACACTATTTAATTCAAACATAATTTATACATTAATTATTAATGTAACTCTTTAAAATAAAATCTTAAAATATATAGCTAAATTTTACGCTTTAATGTTAACCACATTATTTAAAATGAAAGATTCAGTAACGAATGTCTTATTATTAATAAGTTACAGTTTATCACTTGTATACATTGAACTGTGATTAGATTTATTTTACAATAATCTATTATCTTTACTATGTACGTTGGAAAAGACTTTTCTCCTAAGTCTCGTCAAATATCACGTGACTAAATTGTCAACTTATATAACCTTGGCCTTGTGCTAAACCACTGACGAGTTAACCACTATGAGCAGCCTGTAGTCAACTCTGAGTCCTTATTAGTTCTCTTTGCTTTACCCTGCTTTTTGAGTCGAGAACACAGTCTCAGCTTCCAATGTATCAATCATGTATTTCAGACACACGCAGTTTATATACAAACAAATCAGACCGTATCATACAAGATTAAGCCAATATTGTTTGTGAGTGTGAAACTGTAACTAAAAGTTTGGCAATAACTTGAAAATAGCAAATTGTATGATAGTAGTCAGTAGGTCAAATGGAAGTTTATAGTAAAAGGAATATGAATATACATATAATATGGTTACTTAATAGTTATCAAATAGGAATACATGCAATAACAGTTCATAAATAATTCCTAGCAGTCACCATTCATTTATTCTTTGTTAGGATATAACAGAAATTACTTTGTTAATTTTTAATGTTAGTTTTCAAAGAATATGAAATCTTTCTTTTAATTCGTTTTACTCATCACCATTGACTTTATAATTGCTGGTGAATAACATATATTTATGGATAGTTCTATAATTACTAATGAATTATATACTTTGTACGAACGTTCATTGAACAGGTAACAATAACATATTAACATTTTGAAAAAAAATTTAAATACTTGTATAGTGACTATACGTTACAATGAATGAGAAACTTCAAATGTATTTATCTCATGTATACCTCAATAAAACCATCTTAAGCTGAACTATTCTATGATTTGGACAGCTCTAAACTTTAGAAAACATTAGACTGATGAAATTTATCGTCTTGGAATTATCATGAAAAAGCAGAAATTAAAAATTTAAAAATATAAACTTCTGACTGATTTGTTATTTATTATGATTTCATAACCCTTTGTTTATAGTATTTAAAAAAAAAGATCACTGAACCTGTAATAGTGATTTCACAATTCCATATCGTTGTTTCAAAAAAAATGATTTTATGGATAACACTTTGGATTTTATTTGTTTTTTTACAAACGTACCTATGCACATTTATTACATATATTCCTGAGATGTATTGTTATATTACTGTTAGAAGGCTGACAGACAATCCAACGACTACTACACTTTGAATTCCAACATCGTAAACTACAATATAAACATCAATTTATAATTCGTCGTAAACGTTTTTCGTGATCTGGATGAAAGTATGGCTTATGTTTACGCACAACAATAATTCTCTGACAACCAATGTTTCTAAATGACACAAAATGTCTAGGCGAATTTTTCTCTGAAAACATTGTAGTCCAAAATAAGTTATGAAATATATTTATGATCTGAAAATATAAGAAAGCAGATAATTACAAACGTTTATCAGATAGTACTAGTTGTCATTGGCAAAACATAACTGCACAAGTACTAATAAGTTCTTTTCTACGATAAAATTAGCTCTTTTATTTTCGAAAACTTAATTTTATGTAACAGGGTGAATTAAATCATGAATGGATCGGGAATGTTTGGCTGCCTAGTCTTGGGTTAACCAGATATAGGTCATCATTTATGGAGTGTCTTGTCGATGCACGTATGTTAAGTCATTTAACTAAGCGGGACTTGAGGGTACATCTAAAGATGGTTGATCAATTTCATCGTTTAAGTTTATACTATGGGATAATGTGTCTCAAGCGCCTGGATTACGACCGTTCTGAGATTGAACGCCGACGTGAAGCATGTCAAAATATTTTAAACGGTTAGTGATACAAATTTATTCATTTTAAACTTCTAGAATCATTATATCTATTCTTGTTCATATATACATTTCTATGAATAAAAAATGTTTTTGTTTATTAAGTTTAACATTTAAATATTTGCGAAATATGTGCATCACATTTTCACTGTATCTGTGTTTGCACAAATCTAGGTTGATGATAAGAACAAATTCCAGATTAAATGTTATCTCTTCACTTTATATACTTAGATGACGTAAGAATATGAGTATTTTTTAGAACAATAAGTAAATATTCCCTAGGTAACATAGATGTGTTGTTATTTAACCACCAGTTGTGTGAACTACTTTAAGAAACAATCAAGGCAAAAAATAAGCATACCACATTATGTTATGTGTAATACATTGATAATATGGATAAATCATTAATTTTAATTAGAAATTTAGTCAAATATTTCATACAAACAGATCCCTTAATTAACTGTCGCGAGGCAGTTACTCACTGAAGAAATGGTGGACGGCTAAGTCATATCGTGGATTGGTTGAAGTTAGATATTAACACCGTTGGATGCCGGCTCAGCGGTCTAAAGGTTAAGTGTTCGCCAACGCGACCGAAGGTCCTGGGTTCGAGTCCCGAGTACGGGACCGTGGATGGGCACCGCTTGAGAGTTCTATATAGGACGAAACGGTCGTTCAGTGATTCCAGGTTCTCCATGGTGGTCCAGCTTTAGTCAATTCATAAATTCAACTATTAGAGTAATTATATTAATAACTAATTTCAGGTTTAGTGAAGCTGATTAGAAACCGTGAAAACCTTGTTATTCCTGTTTTATATTTGCTTTACTTGACTTTACTTCCTTGCAGCCGTACGTTCCTACGAATGTGTTCAAAAAACCTTGTATAAGCCCTTTTGTTCCTCCTATGTACTTACTACGTTAGGTACCTGTAAATTCATAAATGCGATTGTATGTGACATCGGAATTTTAATAGTCTATCTCTGAATGATATAATCAGCAATTAGTGTTGTATAGTGAAACCAGTTGAGAGGCGAGGAAGTTTACAAGTACCTGATGTACCAAGTACATATGAAAAACAAAGGGATTGTACAAGGTTTTTTGAACACATTCATAGGAACGTACGGCTGCAAGGAAGTAAATTCTTTACAAGTTCAATTGTCAGACATCTTTTGGATAGTGGACAAGTAGTAGATTTAAGTAATGCATTCCAAATAATTGCCAGACAAAAAGCACCAATCTTGCTCCTTTTGGTAGAGACGGTTGATATCATACGTTTCCGACCTGAAATATGTATACAGAAGGAAAGCTTGATTAGCCTGTCTCTGCCTTGGTGATAATTAAAGATATTTGTCTAATCATCCTACACTAAGCCGCAGGGACACAATGCGAATCCGAGCTGAAATGCTAATACGAGCAAGCGGGCAAATACAGAGGATTAGTTTGAGTAGAGTGAATTATCAAGATTCAAACACATACATGTGGGAAAGCGAATAATTCATCGGTCAATTTAAGCAACTAATATTTAAGTTAGTAAGAGGGACATGTGTTCAGACTGTAGCTCATGATCAGGCATACAGACATAATAATGATAAGACAAAGATAAACATAATTAATACTTTTCGAATGACACTGTCTGTTCAATGAGTTAATTGTTGGGCTTGGCAGAATTAAAGGTAAACATACTTGAGTGTAGGTGAGGTGCTTTAGCTTTATACCTCATAACTATCCTTATAACTTGGAGGTAACAAAAATCAACACAACTCTATTCAGTAATATGCTAATATTTAGTATTATTGTCAGTAAAATGTCTCAAAAAAGCACTTATTTTAATTACAGATTTACTTGTCTGGAGTAATGATCGAGTTATTGTATGGCTTAAAAGTATAGGTTTGAATGAATACGCCAAAAATTTGATTGATTCTGGTGTACATGGAGCTTTGATGGTGTTAGATCCAGATTTTGACGCGAATTCATTTGCTCTTATCCTTCAAATACCTAATTCAGATGTACAAATGAGGTTTGTGGTGATGTTTTATTCTAAGTTAATGAAATTTATCTCAGCTAAACAAACTTAAATTAACTGCTTTTATTTAACTCTGCCCGTCAGCCGATAGGAGTTTGTGAACCCGTCAACTAAATAAGTTATATCTATTCGAACGTCAGTTTATCACTCTGAATCCAAGTAGGAAATTGTATGGATATCTACTCCGTCCACATTGTTATCCATCACATTATCACAATTAAAAACGAAATGATGATGTTATAGTAAAGGAATCAAGATACTGATTTGAATAAAGTTTTAAAGCAAAGCATAGTATATATAAATGTACAATATATTCTATTCATATTTTTGCACCAGGAACTGGTTTGGATCGGACAATCATTAGAAAATGGGTAACAATCAAAAGGCATCTCGTCCTAGTAAGGAAAGCCTCATGAGTGCCAATACGCCAAACCATCAGAGATTGAACTCAGTATCTACAGGCCTCTCAGTAATCTCAAACATTTAGAATACTGTGTTAACATTCATTGGTTCATATCTAAAACTAGTTAATTCACAAATATTCAAAGAAAAACCATTTTTCACCATCGGTGATATTGACCTCATTCTAAATATGATGTGACTCTACGAGACTCAACATTCTGCACAACCTCTCATACTAAAAGATCATATCCTGACTAATTTGGGAAGCTAATTTATAGTTTTAGTGAGGAGCCCTGATTAGTAGAGTTTAAACGTAACAGGGAGAGACCGGATTTGTCAACAAGAAATTATGTTTCATAAACAATCATAATGAACTAGAATTATAAATCGTAAAAAGTTGATAGCTGTACCATTAATTGTAAGAATAATAGTTGAAAAGATAAGATGACGTAAACAAAGTTGATGCAAACTACGTAACAAGTATTGTGTGAATGACCAGCCTTAATATACTAGTAGTAAAGAAGAAACTTGACTTGAAGAAAAACAAGTAAAGTGTAGAAATAGTAAGATCGTCCACTACATTATCTCTCCCACTAGGAGTGGCATTGCCAGAATCTTTTTTTGTGTGTAAATAATCGGTCTACATATATATCAACAGAAAGCAAGAGATATGTAATATATGAGGACAAACCAAGCGAACTGTTTTTTAGTGATTTTTTCACCTGAACTTGATAATTTAATCATGAAGTCTTCGTTACGTTTCTAAACATTGTAGTCGATTTTGCCCCTTTAAAAAAGTAAATTACTATAAATCCTCCACAATTGATTAACAGCTTATTCTGTGAACATAAGGTTTTATTGACTGTTGTTCGTAATCACAGTTTCACTGTTGACATATCTGTATGTATTACCTTTTCCTCTGACTTAATTTATGGTTTAATGTCTTAATTAAACGGAAATTTTCATTAAATAGAATGTATTTTGATAGGAAGAGATGAAATGGAAGAAAAAGATGTACAAATTAGAGTTAATCATAAGACAATTGTTAACTACAATTAATTTGTTTCTATTGGGATTTTAATTAAACGATACGATTGTACATCAAGGTTAAGCAACTAAGTTGGTTTGATACGAGAGAGTTTGAACTGTTGAGAACCTAAGTACTAATATGATAGTGTATCGATTGAAGTAGTCGGTTATAAACAATTATTAAGTTCAACCGCTTTGTCTTTTTTATTGAAGTTAAGTTCAATGAGTAGTATATTATTATTAAGTTAACATATTTGTGAGAAAACATGCATCATTTCGCACAACCTGTAATTTTTCCCAGGCATTAAGAATTTGTGAACGGTTGACAATTATTTAAACAGAATAGAAGAACCAGATTCTCAACTAACTGTTTTAAAAAAATTACGTCTTATAGGCATAAACTTGAACGTGAACTCAACAGACTTCTACACCCTTATCGATCAGTTAATCAAAACACTTCGATGAGACCTACTGATTCAATCATGAATTATGATACGGCAGCAAGTTGGATTGCTTCCGTAGAACGTCCAGAACCAGCATATTATGAAAATCAATTTGAAATAGGTGATGAATTAGGTGGTGAGTCATCTTACAGACCTGGCACTCAACAACAAAGACATGGAATCAACAGGAATATTGTGCCTATTTCGGAAAGTTTAAATGGAGCTCCACCTATTCCTATACGAGTGCAAAGAAATACAGACAGACGATACCCTACGTCTACTTCACAGTTAACTGTTAGTTCTCAGAACCAACTTCCTTTGAATGCCAATCTCAACCGTAATCTTCAATATCGAAATGCAGGTATGTGTGATGACAACTATTCCTTTCTACAGAATGAAACATCACAACTAGAAAGAAGATTGAAGAAAAATTGATATTGGTAAGTTTTTCAAATAAATGATGTACTTTATATGGTGTCCACTTTGTTTATTCTGCTAGGTATGTGGTCGTTTACATCGAATACAAAATTGTTGAATTTGTTGAAAGTTTACTATGTATTGTTACAAACATTGTGTTGCCGGAACCCGTGATTCACACAACCCAAGGGAGAAGACAAGCAAATGATGAGCATTTATTATACCCTAAAAGCGAATTAAAACAATAAATGGACACCCTTATTTTTATTTCTTTGTTTAATTCAATCAATAGTCTGGTTGAATTATTGAAATGGAAACTTCAAGTTAGTTAGTCAGTGGTTTACCATCTGAACATAAATTTATTATACCATAAGATTTAAGACTATAACTAACATGTATAACTAACTTGATTAGCTATACTATTGCTTCTTAAAATGTAATTACATGTCATAGACAATTGGCGAAAATCAATTTAGCAGATCATCTATACAAAAATCAATTCAAACCTAGCTGATCATATCGCAATGCTATCATGTTTTCAAAAATTGAAAAGCGGAAGTCAGGACGTAAATAAATCTACCTTCAAAGAATACTAAAACACACAATAAGCCAAATAAACTATAGTGAAACTGTTGTTTATAGATATTTCAAGACGAAAATGTGAAGAATATCATAACTTGACGAAGTTTAGTTAAATCAAAAAGATGTGTTGCAAAAGATAATCAGCAGATGAGAAATACGAATCTAATTTACCCCGCATATATATACCGTGATTCAGCGTCTTAATGCCCTACTTCAACCAATCCACGATATTGCGCGACCATTTTCCATTGTCTTCGGTGCGTAACTGCCTCACATCCAGCCATTCAGTGCTTCCAAGTCTTTAATGGTGGTATAAGACTGGTTGGTTCGTAATCATATAATTGATACAGTCAGTGTCAATAGCGTTAAGTCAATAATCAGTTTGTGACATAAAAACATAACATTTTTATTGATGTCCTTATTAGTTAGACCATAATTTTCCAGTTTGTAAGTCTATAAGCTCACCACCTAATAACCCGTAAGCTTGTAATATTATTTCTAATCAAAAATACTTTAGTTGTATTTTTATATACTCAGATAACCGACAAGGTGTTATCTCTGATTGTTCAAGGATCGTAAAGGACATCCTTAAAGCAGTTTCAGTAATACGTTTTAACTACTCAAACATTTTTAAGTAGTATATCCTTCACTGCCTGGCACATAAATCACACTGAAGATATTTTCCCTATTAAACTAATGATTGTTCTGTGGTAGATAATCTAACTAAAATAACATTTTGCTGCTGTATAAGTCAAACGGGATAGATTTACTTTCAATATTGATTGATGAACTTAACAGGTTTCTACGTTTCTTGGTTAGTAGATAAATATAGTAATAATAATAATAATAATTGTAGATTCACACTGTTGGTTTGATAAAAGTAATGAGCTTTGATAAATCGGTAAATGGCTGCCATCTGCTTATATCCAGTCAGGATAAGGAAAGTGACATAAATTTCTCAAACAAAATGAACTCAATAATGAAAAGTTCATCAAGTATCTGAAAACATTAATTATAACTTAAAACGTAAGCCGTTATCTTCAAAAATCGTTAGGAGTATAGCAAATTTTTATTGACTCCATTTGATTCAATTCTTTGAACTAGACTTTGGTTACTCTTTAAAATTGAAAATGGTGACTATCTTATCATTTAGGTTTATCGTTCAAGTTCCGCTATTATATTACAATCATGTAAAAGAAGAATTCCTTGTTTTAACCTATATGTAATAATTACCTTAGCTTATATACGTATACCTATTTAAATGACTAAACATTAAACCTGTAAAATAAAGTTTTTTCTTGAGGAATCTACCCCTTTTCATTACTTGAAATTCATGCATATTAGATATGTAAAACTGTTAAAATTGTTCACACTTGCATCATGATATTTGTTATAATAATAAAATGAATTTTGTTGGATTATTACATCAGTACTTTTTTTTTGTTCCAATCATTTCTCATTAGGTATGAAATTATAATCATTGAACCAACCTGTAAATTATTGCAATTCAAAGTTATATTCTTTAATTCAATTAACATTTATAAATTCATCGAATATTCATTGATGTTTTTTTTATATGACTACAATTTTACAATTGTCATACAACAAAATCATACATTCACAATTAATTATCATTCCTATAATATATTATGTAAAAACAAAACCGATGAAATGTGAAACATGAATGATTTTAATTGAATAAATATTGTTTATTATTATTAAGATTATGATTATTATTATTATTATTATTATATCATTATTATAAACATATGGTAAATGAGAACATAGTAACTGTATAAACTAATTAAGATGATAATCAATATAATAAATTCATTATGAAACAATAAATGAAATTCTGCATATTAACAAAAAAAAAACTAGAATATACATAATGCCGGATTGTTTCACAAATAATCTGCATTCAAATATTTGTAAACAATAAACTATATCTTATGATCATGTAAAAAGAAAAAAAAGAAAAACAAACTATTCAATTTATTACGTAATTGTGCATTTCACAAAATCTATTTCTATTTTTGAAACATTTTTGATGAATACATGTAAAAATTTACATAAAATTAACTATTTTTTATTTTGATCAGAAACTCTACTTTTTTTGAATTTATTTATTTGTTTGTTCCTTTTTTGTTTTGCTTTTGAACTAAATTCATTTATTATTGATTAATTAATTGATTGATTGATTAGTTGATTGATTGATTAATTGATGATTAGAATTATAGACTTGATAAATAGAAAATATGCAATGAAATGAAAATATTTTATTTTTTTCAAATTTGTCAAATTAACCTGTTATTATTATTATTGTTATAGTTATTGACAATATTCAATTAATTCATAGACATTATAGTCATTTAATGAATTACTTTATCTATCACTCATATTATTTGTCTTTATTCAATAAGTGATAATATTTATTATAAGATTCATACAGATCATTCCTATTGAATTTGACTCTTCTTTATATATATATATATATATATATATATATATATATATATATATATATATATATATATATATACAATAATCATGAATTCAATGCATTTCAGTGTCATTACGTAATGAGAAAAAAATTGGACCAAATAATTGACTTTAAACAATTTATATGGTTGTACAAATATGACAACAAAATGGCGTTTGAATTGATTTAGTATTCAGTGTGTTCAATGCGTTTTAAAGTATTGCCCATAGATGATATGAAAATTTATTTTATTTTCAATGTTTCATTGAATTATACAACGTCAACATATATATAATTATTTTAATATATTTTAAAAAAAGAAACGAAATAAAAAGGTATTTTCAATAAATAATTGGTGTTTTCAAAATTGTTAATGAAGATCAATGTTTATTTGTGTGTAGAAACTATATTATGCGTAAAAAACAAACATAAATTCCCATATTTTAAGTTTTTGTTGGTGTACGTAGTTGAAATATAATGTGATTACATCTGACTCCTACAGGAGGTCGGTCGAGGCCCGGATAGCTCAGTGGTAACGTCTCTGACTGTGAAGCTGGGTGACACGGGATCGAATCCTCCAGGTAGCACCAGTTTCTTCAAGATTACACGTACACTTTGCTGACGAGTGCCAAGTAGCACGAAACCCGAGTCCAGGGTTTCCTGTCGACTACCTTCAAACATCATCTAATCTCAGTATATAGTGTACGCAGTGTCGAATCACCTACACTGGTGGCCACATTGCAACATGACCTATAGCATTCAATCTGCACTAAATAAAAACTTGACACACATGATATTGATCACCACCCAGTGATCAATCAATTGTGAAATTAATATTTCATTGTGTTTCATTCAAATGTAACTGAATAAAAAGCAAACTGGGATTTAATAAACTGATATAATCTGGAAAAGAATAAATGAATAAATAATTTAAGATTAACTATTCAAATATGAGTATCATACTACATTATTCAATATTGATGAAAATGATGACATTCACTTCTTAATTTGTAAACTTTAACATGAAAATTCAAATTAATTTTTACTAGTTCAGCAAAGTTACATTTTTCAACTTTCAACAATGTAACTTTCTTAGTTGATTTTTGTGTATCATATCTCAGCTTCAGAATTATAATTTGCAAACAGAAAATTCGATATATAATGATAAAGCAAAATAATTTGATGTTAGTTACTATACATGATGAAAGATATACATATAATACACTTTATAAATACTGTACAATTTCATAAATTCGGTAGGTTTAAACACAACACGAATAAAAGTACTTACAGAACAAAATGAACTTTTTTCTCCTTCATCATGTCATCTGTAAACTTGTTAAAGCCGCAATAAGTAGTATTATTTGAAATAAAGCTTTTATATGTTTAATTTAATGAAGTTGAAATAGAAATTCGAAATGTGACAGAAAAAAACTTAATAACAAGAGAAAGACACTAATAAGCAGATTAAGATTTATAAGCGTATAAATGTTTAATATCATACACAGACTTATTTATTACTCACCAGACATGATCATTTGCCGATTTGATTTTGTCCTGGTTATGATCATCGATCTTTACCATAGACATTGGTAGAAATGAATTTCACTTTCTTACTTTGAATAACTACATTTTCAAAAGTAAGTAAACATCAAGCTGAACTGGTATTCTTTAAAATAATCCTTCGATTTTTTGTTACTGTTATGGTTTTCTCTTTCATTTCAAATATCATCCATGTTAACTTCATTGACCAAAACATGTCAAACCTTCGTTTCCAATCATATTATTATCTGTAATTTTGGGCCATTGGTTGAAGTTGAGATATCTTGAAACTATAATGTGCCTAATAATTTGTGTCCAATTTACTCACAGCTAAATTGATAAGCTTTAAGCAAAGAATAATATTGTTTACTTGTACAAATCTGTACTAAAGAAATTGTACATGAGTTTAGTACGGTCGCTGTTGCAGTAAATATTCTTGACATGACAAAAAATAATATGTGAAAATTTATACAAATATCAGAAACTATGACAAAGATAATAGACTTTCCAAATAATTTAATTATTTACTTAGCTTCTTATCATTCAACCTGACTTTTGTTTGAAACTGAAACCTGAATCTTTCATTACAGTTGATTGGTTAAAATATTATTACAAAAGAAAACATCAACTTTTACGTTCCTTGGTTGACTGTGATCTAATGATTCAACTTCTGTAGAGTTTTATACAAACATCTTCGTATTATTTACTTGATATACCATATACATACACTAGAAAAATTCAACTAGATTGAAGATTGAAATGAGTGAGTTATACATATCTCCTTACTACTATGGATTGATATTAACTGACTCTAGCAATAAAATGTGATAGTCAAAGGAAAAAAAATAATAAACTTTGTTTTTGATTGAAAAATTAGTTTCACAACTAGATCCTTTTCTTAAACTATTAGCATGTCAATTTGATCAGAAGATAAATCAATAAAAATATGATTGATTTTTACAAAATTTTACAATTTTACGTTTCATGAGTGAGCCAAAGATAAGTGAAGCTTTTGCAACACAAACTGATAACTAGAACAAAAACTGCCACCAGTCAAATAGACAATTGAATACGTAGATGAATTTGTTGTCACCCTCGAGATAACAAATTGTAATTGTTTTAAATATATATTACAGAAACGCATATTTACAAATATTTTATGCAAATATGAGTATTGAACTGTTGGACTACATTTTCTGATAATATTCCCCCCCCCCTCTTTCATAAATTACTACACTAGTGTTAAATTATTTAACAAAATGGTTTTTAAATTCCCAGTAGGAATTTACTGTCTGAAGAATAGTTGTGAAACGCAAAAAAAGGATGGTAATATTATTTCTGGCTTGACAAATGTTTTGAATAGTGATTGATCGACTGATAGTTGAATATTATTCTGTAAATTCTTATTGTTTCCAAATAGCTTCTATCAATTTCAAGTATAAAGTGAGATATCAATCTTCATGATTTATAACGTTCAAATTCAATAATCAGTTTACGAACTAATTATAAAACAGTTAAAAAGTTTTCGAAAACAAAGAACGTTCTGAAATTTGACTTCATAATAGTTGAATCATTGGAAACCTTAGCTTGTATAAATTAGTAAGGTTACTGGAAATGAGGTCAGGCACCTAGTTTCCTCTGTAAAATTCAACCGAATGATTGTTTTTCTTAGAAACTGTCTAAGATTTTTCGGATTGTTTGCTAAACTGTTCAGTTAATAAAACACAATTATTATCATCAAAAAGTTTTATATAAATATTACATTCTCCAAACAAATATAACTGTGGGTTTTTGCGGAGATCGTAGTAATTTAAAGGTTGAATATATATGAGTTGATTGAAGCTAGACCACCATGGAAAACCTGGAGGCACTGGATGCTCGTTTCGTTTGATACCGGTTCAGTGGTCTAGAGGTTAAGCGTTCGCTCTCGAGACCGAAGGTCCCGGGTTCGAGTCCCACGTGCAGGACCATGAATATTTTGACGATACTTCCGCAACTCTGGATCTGAACAGAAATGTAAAGTAGAAATTTATTATTATCAAGTTATTTATCACTATCATTTGTGCAGGCAGCCATCTTTTATTATTTGCTAATTGGTTCGTAGTGACTGTTTGAAACCTTTGTGAGGTTCCCATATTTCAATACTTTCTACTAATTTACTGAGTCAGTTTGCACATGTAGAGAGCGTAATTTCAAACGAATTGGCCAACAATTTAGTTAGGATTGACCTTCATGATTAGGCAAAAATCAAACAAACTCAAAACACATCAACTTTTAATCACATTTTGTCAACAATGGTTATCTGGTGAATAAGACTATAACAGTCAGTTTCGTTTTATCCATTTAAATGCATTAAATTACACTGCTTGTTCACAGACTTCATCAGTTAATCGTACGTTAGTTTTAAAGATTATTAATCTTAATGAATTCCTCTAGGTTAATAAATGCTGAAATATTTTCTTTATCTTACTGCTATATCTTCATTATTCTTATATTTACTATTAAATCTATAATAATACAATCAGCTATTATTGCCTAATTATTATGATTAGTTTTACAATCTACACGGTTTTCTGTTGTTGCCCGACAAATAAACTTGATTATTTTAGTGTTTTGTGTATTTGTCGCTCAACAATGGTATCTAAATTAATTCAGTGCTGCCTCCTAACCGTAAAGTTTGGTTGCATTGACATCTGAAAATGAGATGATTTTATGAATGAAAAATACAATGACTATTAAAAACCAATAGAAATGAATAATAATCTTTCAATATTCCACTACAGCATTACATTCAAAAACGTTTTCAATAACTTGGAGAAGCATTTTCGATAATAAATCAATTTCCAATTTTATTGTTAAATGAACGACTTTCTAGTTTGGTGTTTTTTCTCATCTAAAGTAGTGCCGTATAGTATTATAAAAGGACTTAGGAAACTTGCTAAATATAACGTTTGGAAATTTAGTAGATAACCATGAGAATACATAATAATTTAGAATAAATTTCGTCTAAACAGCCAATCACTTATTCGGAAAGAAAATGTATATCACCAATGAATAAATTACTAAATGAACTGGATTTGTTGACTTTCTGTCTTAAAATAAGGTCAAATACACACTACAGAAGTTGTACCAGGTTCTAGGTATCAGGACAATATTCAATATTTTTTCAGCTAATTGAGCCTCTTGAGTTTAAAATAGACTGTGGAAAAAAGGAACGGTGATGAATAACATCTATGGGAAAGTCATCATTGGGTTAAACTGGAATTTTTCTCGACATTTTTTTAAATATATATTTATTATAAGAGAGAGTTTAATTTAATTCTTTTACCAATCAAGCTGTATTTTGTATCCAATTGTATTTCTTAAGTAAAAGGTCGGACAATTTGCTAGAGGCAAGTTGATATAATGCAAAATTGAATGATGTACCATTATATATACATTAAGACATATTAAAATATCAATCCATTGTCTATCTGAGTAATGACCTTCAGTTTCAATAATATTACATTGACCTCATGAATAAATAAAGATATTTTCGTTATTTTCATCTGTGAAATAGAATAGTGGTATAAAATATGTAATGTGTTTAAACTGGTCATCTGGATAGTGGATAGTATTGGAATCCAGAAAGCAGGTCTCAGAACTCATCACATGAATGTACTTATATACCAGTTTAGATGTTTCCATGAAGAATCGACATATGATACCCATCTCATTAAAGCTCTTTAAATTCGACTGCTGAGTCATAATAACTACCAACTTGTGCAACATTTACGACATTTACTATTAATTAAGGATTTCCATTTTCTCGTTGTTTCTTCAGTGATCCATTCAGCCTCAAAAGTCATGATATTTAGTGTGGAATCTGAAGTCTTGTCAATTAGTGTTAAAGTGAAAAACGTTAACAATAAACCAACTAAGTGCCGACTATCCTTCAGTAGGGCTGAAATGTTTGTATTACTTGATCGTTTTATAGAGATACAAGTAAATATAATCAAATCAGATTACATTAGGAATAAGAAAAATTAACAAATAGAGCTGTAACTGGAGATCAATAACTATGGTATTTAAGTAAATAAGAAAAATTAACAAATAGAGCTGTAACTGGAGATCAATAACTATGGTATTTAAGTAAACTACCGAATAAACATAAAACTATCCTCATTTTTCAGTAAATTACTTGCTTTTTAACCCCCCTCCAGTTCAGAACAAACCTTTTCAATTGTTTCCAACCGTTATTCATTCTATTGATGTCTACTCACAATTCCCGATGCAGTGTGTCCCGTCTTAATCTGTTCCATTTCCATTCAGGATCCCAAGCTACCGCCTACCTCCTGATGCAGTTTGAGGATTTGCGTAATTTATGTCCTATCCATTTCCATCGTCTTTTCCAAATTCCCTCTTCAGCTGGAAGCTGGTTTGTTCTCCCCCACAGTAGGCTGTTTCTGATGGTATCTGACCAATGCATATTGAGTATCTTGTTTAGACAACTATTTGTAAATACTTGTACCCTTTTGATGACGGTTGTAGTAGTTCTCTAAGTTCCAGCTCCGTACAGTAGAACTGTCTTGATGTTCACATTGAATATTCTGACTTTGACATCGGTTGACAGTCGTTTTGAGTTCCATATATTCTTCAACCGTGGGAAACCTGTCATTGTTTTGCCTTTATGTCTGCATCTGATCCTCCTTGTTCATCGATGATACTTCTTACCATCTACGTAAAACTTTCCAACTCTTTCAGAGCTTCTCCATCAAGTGTGATTGTGTCGGTGTTCTTCATGGTGTACTTGAGGATCTTGCTGTTTCCTCTGTGTATGTTGAGGCCTACTGATGCACAGGCTTCTGCTACACTGGTCGTCTTGACCTGCATTTACTGGTGTGGATGAGGTAGAAGGGCTAGATCATTCGCGAAGTACAAATCGTCTAGTTGCATCCAACCTATCCATTGAATTCCATGCTTCCCTTCAGATATCAAGGTCTTCATAATCCAGTCGACTACCAGATTAAAGAGAAAGGGATAGAGTAAGCAAACTTGTCTGACTTCGCTCCTTACTTGGAATGCATCTGTCAACTGTCCTTCATTCACGCTTTTGCGCCGTAGTGCGTCGTTTGAATTCCGGATGATTTTGACGATTTTCTCAGGTGCTCTATCGTGTCGAAGTTTCCATAGTGTTTTCCTATCCAGACTGTCAAGTGCTTTCTCATAGTCAAGGATGTTGATGTATTGTGACGAGTTCCATCCAACTGATTGTTCAGTGATGATCCGCAGTTTCGTAATTTGGTTTGTGCACGACTGATACTTACAGAATCCGGCCTGTAGATCTCGAAGCTGAACGTCTACTGTGTCTTTCATCCTGTTAAGCCACACTCTGTTGAAAACTGTCTCGGTACTGACAGTAGTGTGGTGCCTCTACAGTCTTCACATTTACTCAGATCCCTTTTTTGGTATCTTGACGAGATATCCTTCTTTTCAGTCCATCAGTACTTGTTGTTCCTCCCAAATGTTCTTCAAAAGAACGTGAAGCATGACTTACCAAAGAAAGAAGTAAAGTAGCCTTGTACAAACTCTATTTTCGAACAGAGCTTATAGTGAACAACCATCGGACAAGATAGACTGAAGTGGAGTTCATCTGAGTTGTTTGTTTCCAACAGTTTCATTCAACCTTTTGTAGATATCCTTTTAAAGACAGCGTTCCTATTGTCTAACTTTTCTGGAATTGATCTCCTACAAGGCTATCCACACGTTCACTTCGAATAAATAAATAATATAGTCCGATTTGGCAAGAATGGTGAAAAAATCAGAGTCCTCTGACTACCTTAAGTAACAATTCAATTATGTTTAGGATGTAATTCTCTCTCACTAAACAAAAACATTGCTTCAGGACTGCCTTATGTCAGTACCTTAATTAATGATATAGATTGAAGTGATTGAGTTCGTCAGTTTTTTCAGTTATTTTAGAAATCTGATTAGTTCTATTAGGCCAGTGTCTGGCGAATTCTCGGTGTGGATTCGGATACCTCGGCTTAGTTTTGCGATGTATGCAAGGTATCTGTCACCCAACAAAGGATGAATTTACTGCTCAGAATTCTGTAGTTTTACATTATAGCTATGAAACATGATTTTTTAAAAATGAAGATATATGTGGGTTATTACACTCACAGAGACCCTCGAAGTTTTGATCACGTAAATTGGGATTACTTAGTGATAAATGCTGAGATCAGACTAGGTATTAGGTAAGTATAAAGAATCATCGTATGTCGAAACACCGCCTACCTGGATCTATTATAATGGCCAGCGTAGGGGTAAGTTGGAGAGAACTAATGGCTGTTCGTGAAGTCATTGACTTTTGGGATGAGAAATGCTATTTAGCTGGAGGTTACCTGGTTAATTTCATCTCGGTTATCACGTACAATCGTTAGAGACTTTGGTTGACATGGGTTGTAATATTTCACAATGCTGCATATGTATTTTGTTTCCCTTGTCAACATAAGTTTCACAATCAACCTAAAAATTCTTTTATATCACACCAATCCATACTTCTTGATATATATATTCGACAGTTGATATTTGCTACTACCACCAGTTCTGTTATTATTGACACTATTCTGGTAACTCGTTATACTAATGTGGTGTAGTAACTTGAACTAATACATATATGATAGATGCTTCGTTATCTATGACTGACTGAGATGCGTTTCACTATAAATATAACTGATAAATACTGAGTGGTAATGAGAATAATTTAATTGATTTATAAGTAAACACAGTTTTAAACTTTCTTCTAAAATTCAAATGAAATGAAGTTTATTCACAACCGGTTATATCACAACCATTACTGTTTATCACAACCAAATTAAAGTTTTCAAATATTCTTTAGTGAATAAATAAGAGAATAATATTTTTGTTTGATTTATCCATCAAATGTTCAATAATGATTACGATCCATATGACGTTTATGTGCCCATAAATTCCAAAATTGTCGTCCATAATAACTTCCAGCTGGAACAACATCTGGTTCAGTTTTTCTACTACAATCTTGTGTACAACGACGTGCATATAATTTGCCTTCACAACACCATCCTGGTGGACAATCATAATCAGCTACACATAAATTTCGATAAGATCCAACAATTTTATTTCTAGCATTTCTAAGTTGACATTGTACTATCATTTGAAATAAAAATAAATAATTCAAAATAAGAATTCTTTTTAAAAAATCATAATATATATATATATATATATATATATATATATATATATAAGGAACATTTATAGATAATTTTAATATATTACTTAAATAAATCAGTTATATGATCATCAATGTAGAATATATCACAAAACAGTAATTTCTACATACATATGGCAACTATACAAATAATAAATATCATACATTGATAGATCATTTATGGAAATATAGATTGGTTCTTCATAGAATAATAAGTTCTTTAAGGCGTTGTATATTATTCATAAAGTGAACAAATCATGTCCACTACTATTCATTTAACTGATATTGATAAAAGACATTTATATTAACTTATTAAGGTCCATATCTATATTTTTTTATTATACATCAAACAAAGGTTAAGCAGAGTGGAAATTTGTAGGTTACTAATGTAAATCTATTTAAACAAGTTTCAGTGTTAAATGATTTCTTGATTCATTTGAAATCATTTCAGAAAGATCTAGTGAATCATAAACTTTGATAAAAGTCTGTATAGAGACTAACTACTTTATAATTTGTACAATAAGTGTATTTAAACAAAATGAAAATAACTTTTCTGAAATGAAAGTTTTACCTTTTTAAAAAAAAATTATAATAAACCAGGATATTTAATTAGAGATATGATGAAGCATTTAAAAAGTGACCTCAAAGTGACATCTACACTTTACAAGTTATACAAGTTTAAATATTTCCTACAAGAGAATATCGGTTAAGTCAAAAAATTGCTAATATCGCTTCATGTATGATAAATATTCAATTTTAAAAAAGATGAGTAGCTAATGAATATTTAAAACGAAAGAAAAAATGTGTCTTAGATACTAATCATTTGAAAATCAGTAATATATGTGCAGTTAGAATCACTTATTTTGTTGACTCTAAGTAATTAGTAAAGTGAATAAATAATAATAATAATTATTATTATTATACTTATTTTAATCGTAGAAGAAATACATCCACTTAACGGTGGTGATGATAACAGCTTACGTTTCGATTTTTTTTAAGAAAAAAGAAACAGATTTCGAAGAATATTGAAATTAACTACTACCCTTATTTAACTGTAGAAAACGAAACGTACTTTTGAATAATTTACCCTGACTTAGCTATAAAATAACTGGAATTTGAAGTAATATTTAGTCCATTAACAATTAGACTATTCTAACAAATTATTACAATATAAAGTAATTGAACTAAATATAAGAATGTATATTAAATCAACCGATTAAAGTAATCTAACTAAAAATACAAAGTATACTGAATGAATCGGTTTAATCTGTAGTTGAAATTTTAATACCAAATATTATGAAATGATTAAAATTTCTGAAAATAAACAAATAATTTACAAGGGTTAAAAGTTTTCCGAATTCAGGTCATAAAACTGAATATGATTAAATGAAATTCATTGAAAATAAAACTTTAATATGTATATTATTGAAATAAGTATATTTATTAATGAAATGAATGAAGCTGATTTGAAATATTTTTCTGATTGATATCATGAGCCGGGATTCGAACCCACGAGCGGTATTGTGGATGCACATTGCTGAGGAGTCTCATAATAGGAAGTAACAGCCATTCAGTGCTTCCAGGTTTTCAATGGTGGTCTATCATCAATCGGTTCATGATGTTAATGAAAAACTTAATAATCTCAACAACCCTGTACTGATGATTTGAAATAGTTGATATACAAAAAATAATCCTTATGTTGATAGTGTTGAATGTTCTCATATAATCTTTTGACTTTACATTAAATAAACATTCTTACACAATAAGCAATCGTGAGTAATTTTAATGTTAAACATGACAATATCAAGATTTCCATTTCTTAATGAACACTTCCGATTTAACATGGTAGGAGTATAAGAAAATCATGTTTATCATATTTCGATATATGTAAAACATGTTAATAGTTTTGAACAATACTTAGAGTGTTACTATAGATTCAGTATATGGTTTATTAACAATATCAGCATAACATTTAAATGAGTTACATTACAAGTTGAAACTAACAAAAAAATATAACAGCTATGAGTATCGACTGTATCTAAATCAAAAGATGCATTTTCAATGCATAGATATTATTATTTTGCACTAATTATAACATGACAAAGCTCAGTGAATAGTTCTGAACATTTTCATTTGTTACGATAAAAACATAATGCTTCAGCAGTATCATGGGAGAAACTGACAATATACTCAAGAGAATTACTTCATAAAACAATGGAAAGATTTGTTTCGGGTTTTAGAATTTTCAACTGATACCAACTCTTGATAAAAGCCGTCCACAAGAAAGCTACTTGTTTCGTAACAATAATGCTAGTTTATGTAATCAAAGTTTTAATTTATATGAAGTCCTAAATATTTCATCTGTCATACAAACATTCTTTAGAAAGCTATAAAATTAAAAATGTGTTCTGTAAACCGGTGGTTCGTTTATTCGGCTTTCACTATTATTAGTGATAATACCTGGTCGTCAAATTGCAGTAGGCCTTTCCTAGGTCAAATTTGCAGCCTCATTGTTTTAGGGACTAGTCTACCACTTGGCACATCAATACTCATGTAATTAGATTACATTATTACATAATCTAACTTCATGAGATACTCATAATGAATTATTTATGCTACCAATATAATAATAAACTTAATCTTACTTACAATCAGGGCTGCATTCATACTCTTCACAACAATTGAAATCATCCATGCATTCCTCTCCTTCCATACCACACTAAAATGTAGGAAGTTAAATAAAAAAATGGTCATATATATTCTCATTTATCTGTTATAATGTTATTCTCGTAATCTGATATCAGTGTTAACAGTGCTAGAGCAACCATTGCTCATAAAAACGAATACCATGCAAATAAATGGCGTCTGTAGACTAATTATTTTGTTTATTAAATAAATTCCACCGAATAACCAGACTATATACTGTTTTATCATATTAAAAAGTGTTATCTCAAAAAACAATCAAATTTAAAGACGTACCGGATGGATAGTACAATAACTTTGGGACTCTTTTACGGTCTGTTATTGTTTATATTTCTCTGTATGAGTAACTAATAGCTAGATTATTACGTTCATGTATTTCCCTTATTTTAGGTTACCAATGAACCTTTAACTGAAGGTGGGGAGAGTCAGCTCTCCCTCTCCAAACGCTCTCACATAGCCAAGCGTATACAGTCACTGCCAGGGAAGTCCAGCTCACTGCCTTTTCGTGACGGGGGTGTTGATTACGAAAGTGAATGTCCTGCGCTTAAACATGATTGGCGAACACGGAGAATCCACCTAGGGGAGTTAGAAAACCTTTATTCCAAACCAATGGTACACATGAGATCCAATATCTTGAAGGGAAAAAATGGCGTATGAGCGGTGGGACTGTAACCCCTGACGTTACTCCATTGCCTTGGTGATTAGACCTTTAGGTCGAAGGCTCCTGGTGTGGCCCCCTAAGAAAACCACCTGCTTCGATCTGGGCACCCACATATAAATGAAGTGACTTGTGTGGCGCATATGTGTTCGGTGTCCCTTTGTGCCAATATTTATGTATTCAAATAGTAAATAATAATAATAACTCGGACTACAGGAAAGTGCTGCAAAATTTTAATTAGTGCATTTATCTTGAGCTCTGGAAATGTAGGCTAGCGAAGGTAAATACAAATAAAAGTAATCATGAATTACTTCCCTCACAAGGTACAATAGATGTTTGACAAAGTGAAGCCTAATTAAGATCCCTATATAAAACTTACATCACTGAACTTAATGAATGACAACTATATATCTTTATGCTATATTCTACCTTAAAATATGCCCTGAGTTGCTACAACATAAGCAAAAGATAACTGCCAAATGAATTGACATATATATGACATATTTCAGACTATATCAATCGATAATCTTGCATGTTTGTAACTGAAAAATCTCTTCATTTTTGAGAGTCAAATATTAATTGCCCAAAATATAACCATATTATTTTAGTGTACGAATTTAGTAAGTAACTAGGTGATTATTGTTCATTATATCACTATTTCTGTGTTATATTTCTATGGAATAATAGCTGTTTTGATGGCTACATTCATTTTAGTGTGGTATTCTGCTGTACAGAAATATATCGAATAAATACTTGGAACATCATTACCTACTCTATCGGAATGTAATCGAATCATATAACGCTACAACAACGACAACAACAACAACTACTACTATTGTAAAATGGTATTACTAATTCATTCATTGATGTTCGTGCTGATACAGTAATCTAGCTTATACAAATAGAATGATTAAATAGATACTTATCTAATTCAACGTCAGTGTTAATCCTTGATAGATACACGCTAGCATCTTATGCAGTCTATGAATTTACTTGTGTTTTGAAATGCATGAGAAAATTCAGTCACAGCTTTTTTAAGCGAACATTTCTTGTCTTCTAAAGTACTTCAGATATTCCTAAAGTGATTTGAAGTTTCATATTTTCGTGTTCAGTCCTAAAATTAACTTTTTGGTTAAGCATTCATTAACAACACATATTAAGTTGAAAACAGAAATGCATCTAAAAGATCCTATATCATTTCTTAATAAATAAATTTTATATAAGTTCACTTGGTGTTGTTTTACTTGTATCTTCCCATTGTTATTTAGGACTGCAATTAATCAGTCTCATGTTGGCATATATGCATCCAGTGCGGATTGCCTCTATATAGCCTTAAGTTACAAGCTTTTTAAGCGAAGATGGATAGTGGCTTGCAGTGGAATCCAGGACGTGCGTTTCATCCTATTTGGGACTCGTCAGTTGGATATACCTGCATCGCAGAGTTGACGTTCACTTTGGGACAACAAATATATATATATATATATATATATATATATATATATATATATATATATATATATATATATATATATATATATATATATATATATATATATATATATATATATATATATATCAAACTGAGTTCTGATAATCTCACGTATAATCAAACTTTAATAACGAAAAAAGAATCTTGTCGTAAGTATAAACATTTTTACTGATAGATAGAATGATTCTACTTCGTAATAGAATATGATAAAGTAACATATTAAGCATTTACACTGTTTGAACACTAAATAATCGTTAATGTATCATTTATTCAGACGTCAATCTTGTCTTAATTCTATGGAACAGCTGACTGACACTTCTGGCTGTGATAATAGGCGACACCGGTTCTAGTTTCACGAGGAAATCCACTTGATTAATGATTGGTAGATACACTTGGGTGAGGAACGACAGCTATGGAAAAAGCTAAGTTCACCCTTACTGATTGTTTATAACCAACTTATATCAAAATTAAGTTATTTGACTAGTTGAGCGATCCCAATCAATTTAGAAAAGTATATGTATTAAAACTGATCGTGATGTTTAGCAACTTTGAAGAAATAATGAAATTGTCTATTTCTGGAATAGAGCAACTTCACTTTAAGCTGTCTCTTCCCTATTTTTAACAAACGTATGTGTGATATTTAATGAAAACATCCATGTTCGTTAAGATTGTGATGTCATCCCAATTCATCAACTCGTTAATAATACAGGAAAATATTTCTTTTCTTAGTAGGTATTTTAAAATATTTTAAAAATCCCGTTATAGTTCTTCTCCAATCCAATATTAAATGGACTGCTTGTGATGATATGACAAAATCGACAAAAAGTTGACAAATTGGCTTAAATATTAAGGTCTAAAGGAAAAAACAAACTAAATAAATACTTACCAGTCTTGTTACTGCTTTCACGCCCAAGTTTTTATCATAATCCTTTGTTCTTGTCCTTGCCTCGATGACAATGATGAGACAAATGTAACACAAAAATGTATAAGTGTAATATTTTAGCATATGAACCAAATACTATTTCTCCTAAAAACAACAGATTATTGTACTAGATACTAAAATCTAAGTTTTGTTAGTCAAAATAAATTAAACTGAGTTTATAGTTGACAAAGTTAATGCGTAAGTGTTATAGGAACGAAATGAGGGCGGAGAAATATACCCTTCATTTTATATATATATATATGAGTACACAAAAAATACAAACTGACAGTGATTCAAGGAAACATTTTTCAGATTTCAGATGGTCAAATACAACCACTCAAATTCCAATGGCCCAATCAGATTGTACAGAAAGTTTTCATTCCCCACTGTAGATGTAGTTATGCATACATATACAAAATAGGATACGTTAAATGACAAGATTTTATATACAAAAATAAAGTTTGAAATTATTGATTAATTTTCGCTTCTAGGACATTTACATATAAATATACTTGATTCTAATATGTAACATCTTGTAAAGAATTGAATAATGAACAGTGATATGACTGGAAAAGAAGAAAGAATTTCATGTAAATTTAACTCTCATCCTTGTATATTTCATGATAGTCAGAATCGAATGTTATAGGTAAGGAGTCATCTGTTCAAAGGTGTTCAGCTAAGAGGATAAAGTGGAAAAATGGTCAACGTAGATTCGATCTCGAATAAAGTGTTATTTTCCTGCGAATTGCTCATGAATAATAAAAATACACTACCAAGTCAGTTAGATAAGTTTTTATAGTGTATTCTTTGATATACATGATCCGTTAAATTCAGATATCATACTATGAACGAGATGTAATAATGATTCTTATAATTTAAAACAACTCATTTATGAAGTCTAAGAAGTTTAGGAAACTCCGCCTGGAGGCCCTCCGGGGGCTACTGCCGGTCCCAAGCCCGGATAAAGGAGGAGGGTTGGGTATGGGGTTAGCGTCCACATCCCGTAGAAAACTAACTCGCTAAAAAAACGCTAACCAGAAAAAATTATTCAAACCTTTTAAACTCTGCCCTGGGAGTCAGAAGATCTTCATTTAGAAGAATTATGACGCCTCATGATGAAAGCCGAATCCCTTCGGAAGTTACGAGGCCGATGCCCCTTCTGACAACCAGAGCGACCATTTATTTAGGTACATGGAATGTTCGTACAATGTGAGAGACTGGGAGAGTCTTCCAAATTGCTGCAGAAATGAGGAGATACAACCTAGAGGTGCTTGGGATCAGTGAAACACATTAGACGCAAGTTGGACAACAACGACTAGCTTCAGGAGAGTTTCTGTTATACTCCGGCCATGAAGAAGAAAATGCTCCATATACACAAGGAGTTGCATTGATGCTGTCCAAACAAGCACAAGACGCACTTATAGGATGGGGATCTCATGGACCAAGGATCATCAAAGCCTCCTTCAAAAAAAGAAAGAGGGCATTTCAATGAACATCATCTAATGCTATGCGCCTACCAACGATTACAATGAAGACGCTCAAGATCAATTCTACAATAGGCTGCAGTCAATCATCAAGAAGTGCCCAACAAAGGACCGGACCATTCTGATGGGAGATTTCAACGCCAAGGTTGGAACGGACAACACTGGATAGGAAGACACCATGGGACGACACGGACTGGGAGAAAGGAACGAAAATGGTGAGAGATTTGCAAACCTATGTGCCTTCAATAAACTGGTCATAGGTGGCACCATATTCCCACATAAACGCATTCGAAAAATCACATGGACTTCACCGGATCACACTACACAAAACCAAATCGACCATATCTGCATCAACAAAAAGTTCAGGAGGACGATGGAAGACGTGAGAACCAAGAGAGGAGCTGATATAGCATCAGATCATCACTTGCTGGTCGCCAAGATGAAATTGAAACTCAAGAAGCACTGGACAATAGGGCGGACAATATCACAAAAGTTCAATACGGCCTTTCTTCAGGATACTAACAAACTCAACAAATTCAAGATAGTCCTCAGCAACAAGTTCCAGGCCTTTCATGATCTACTCAATGGAGAAGGAACTACTGTGGAGAGCAACTGGAAGGGGATCAAAGAGGCAATCACTTCAACACGTCATGAGGTCCTGGACCACAAGAAGCACCATCACAAGGAATGGATCACTGTTGATACACTGGATAAGATTCAAGAAAGGAGGAACAAGGCAGCAATCAATACCAGTCGAACAAGAGCAGAAAAAGCCAAGGCACAAGCTGAATACACAGTAGTAAACAAACAAGTGAAGAGGAGCATCAGAACCGACAAACGTAAATATGTGGAAGATTTAGCAACGACGGCGGAAAAGGCTGCAAGAGAAGGAAACATGAGACAATTGTATGACACGACAAAGAAACTCTCTGGAAATCGCCGCAAACCAGAACGACCAGTGAAAAGCAAGGAAGGCGAGGTAATCACCAACATTGAAGAGCAACAAAACAGGTGGGTAGAACACTTCAAAGAACTCTTGAATCGACCAGCTCCACTGAACCCACCCAACATCGAAGCAGCACCCACGGACCTCCCAATCAATGTTGGCCCACCAACAATTGAAGAAATCAGCATGGCCATCAGACAAATCAAGAGTGGCAAAGCAGCAGGACCGGACAACATCCCAGCAGAGGCACTAAAAGCAGACGTAGCGGCAACTGCAAGGATACTCCACATTCTCGTCAATAAGATTTGGGATGAGGAACAAGTACCAACAGACTGGAAAGAAGGACTTCTAATCAAAATATCGAAGAAAGGCGATCTTAGCAACTGTGATAACTACAGGGGCATCACTCTTCTCTCAATACCGGGAGAAGTCTTCAACAGGGTATTGTTAAACAGGATGAAGGACTGCGTAGACACCCAACTTCGTGACCAACAGGCAGGATTCCGTAAGGATAGATCGTGTACAGACCAAATCGCAACTCTACGGATCATTGTGGAACAATCAATTGAATGGAATTCATCACTCTACATCAACTTCATTGACTACGAAAAGGCATTTGATAGCGTGGACAGAACAACACTATGAAAACTTCTTCGACACTACGGCGTACCTCAGAAGATAGTCAATATCGTACAGAGTTCATATGATGGATTACACTGCAAAATCGTGCATGGAAGACAGTTGACAAAGTCGTTCAAAGTGAAGACCGGTGTTAGGCAAGGTTGCTTACTCTCACCCTTTCTCTTTCTCCTGGTGATCGACTAGATCATGAAGACATCAACGTCTGAAGGAAAGCGCGGGATACAATGGACATCTAAGATGCAGTTGGATGATCTAGACTTCGCAGACGATCTGGCCCTTCTATCCCAAACGCAACAACAGATGCAGGAGAAGACAAACAGTGTGGCAGCAGCCTCAGCAGCAATAGGTCTCAATATACACAAAGGGAAAAGCAGGATTCTCCGATACAACACACTATGGGTCTAGAAATAAATTGTGAGCGATACATTTTCTACCAGACAAAAACGTATTTATTTCAATCTATTGAAATGAAAGCATGATGAAGTTAAGACATTCTGATCAAACAGTAATTTTTTAGCAGTATGGGGTTGTGGAGATTATTAAGTTTCTGATTGACATCGTGAACCGATTGGTGTTAGACCACCATTGAAATCCTGGAAGCACTGGACGGCCGATTCGTCCTATTGTGGGACTTCTCAGCAGTACACACCCACGATCCCGCCAGCGCGATTCGAACCTAGGGCCCGCGGTCATATGTACGAACACAACCTTTGGACCACCGAGCCTGCATCCAACGGTGTTAATGTCTAAATTTAACCAATCCACGAAACTGCGCGACCATCTTTCATTGTACATGTCTCTACCCGACACGGAGTGCCATTAGCTCTAAATTTTCGAATAAATACTGGAGTTGGATAGCACGAGTTATAAGTATTACGCATAAGTTAACACTGAAACATTTTAAATGTCTAAACAGAACAATTTAACAGGATCGACATTCAAGTGTAGTATTATTGACTTCCTACTAACTACAACAAATCCTGGTTTAGATGTTTTAAAAATATTTGATCCAGTCAGATCGTCCATCAGTTTATCTTGTACTTGCTATTTTCTATGTAGATATTGGATTTCTTATTTCGGCACTAGAATTCAACTCTTTGGACATTTGATGCGGAAGTTTTCTATAGCATTTTTTATTATACTGTAAGTATTTTATTCGGAGACAATTATATGAGAGTGGCCACTTTGTAGTCGTAAGAGATTTTCTCCGCACATCAAGTATTCTCTCCATTGAGTTGGTTAGGATTTAAAAATTAAAATCGGTTACGATTTGATTTATATCCAACAATGCATGATGAATTTCGGTTATTACACTAATGTCATCAAGATAAAATTATTATTGATTCATACCCTTTATTGACTGTTTAAATCCAACGTGAAATGGGTATCCATTTAATTCTACTGTTTGCTGGTAAAGCTTAAATAAAATCTACTGAAAGTCGGTCATTGTTTGACTAATATAATGACATTGTTATTTACTACTGCACTGTGATGGGCATTTACATCAATCACCTGGATCTACTCACTGATGTTTTGTGACGGGAAGCAATTAGTCTAAACCACAGAGCATCCTAAACATGTAACATAAGTGAAAAGGTTTTATTCTAAAACTTTCTTCTATATGAATTATTTTACTAATAATTTTTTGAGATTGGAATAATTGTCTACAGTCTATCAATGAAAAAGCATCATATCCGTCATTTTTTCATTGTATCAATTTGTGCTTCTCCTCTGAAACTGACTTAAATTTGTTTGCACCTCTAAATATACTTCATTCCACTTGTGAAATTATAGGAAAATGAAATGTTTTATAATCATTACTACTGAGCATACTGATTAAACCTTCCCTCCTGTCGATATTGTTAGGATAGTCGGGAAAAATCGACCAATAGGAAATGTACATTTAAAGTCCAAGGACACCATTGGACTTAACATCATAATTATTGGTCTATTTTTCCGACTACATAACACCTCCCCTTTTCGAAAGATCCGGAGTTCATATCTGCGTTTTA